TGACCAGACTGATAATCTGAGTCCTTTAATGGAAGAGGCTGACCAAATGTCGACTTGGACGGAACAAGTGGACTAATATAAGGATAGCCTGAATGAAAACCAGAGCTAGACTGGCTTAACTGGTTATCGAAATAAGACATTTGAGAAGGCATCGAAGATAGAGTTGGACAACGTGCATAAGAAGTTTTGCGTCGTAATCTGTCAAAGTGATTTTGACCAAATGACGCAGTTTGGATAGAGCAGCCATTTCCGGGTGACTCGGGCATATTTTTAGGTCTATCAGATTTATTTTCTTCTGCAGGGTCGAAGTCTATTTCTCTTGGTGAACTGGGTTCCGATGAGATAGGGGAGTCTGTAAATATTTAGCTTTTGGATCAATCTTCATAGAATGATACAGACCTAAAAGAACTGTCCCATCGATGCGGGTCTCCCATTCTTCAAGAAGGCTCTCCATTTTGGATCTTCACACAAATTATTACTGTTAATCCAAGCAGACTACTGAAAATATGATTAAGATATAAGATGTTGGAACCATGGTTTCTCGAAACACCGTGGAGTTTGATCTTTTAATAGCAGGACCGTAGCATTCACTGGCCATTTCGTGGAGTCAATGACAACCAATCAACAAGTAATCCAGTTGCCAAAGAGATAGCAAAAGTATTCTTGTTAGGCTCTATGAGAAACACTTTCTAAATCAATACTAATAAGCTGATATAGGGCTAAATAGTTTTTTAAGCAATGGGTGTTTCCTGAAGTTTGCCCAATACAACGCAGTGTCAATTTGATTATCGATAGGTAAGTACACTTGAAGAACAAATAGCATGAATCCGTAAAAGCTATAATTCCTCCTCCTCCTCCTCCTCCTCCTCTTCCTGGTCTTCCTCCTCCTCTTCTTCTTCTCTGAACACTGCGCTCTTCTGCTGCTGGTGCATTAGCTCTTGGATAGCTGACTGAAGAATCTGGTTGTGCTGCTGAACCGACATCATTTGTGTCTCTCTTCCCCCATTGAAGAAGGAAGACTGCTCTGCTCTAGACAGCTCTCCCATACCTATGTATGGTTGTCCATAGCCATTAAGCATATTGTTCTTGAAAATCCCGTGTCCGATTCCTCGATTATAATTGTTTATGGGGTTGAATTGGTGTGTTTGACTAGTATGAGGCGGCAGTAGAAGGGAAGGAATTTGCTGAGGCATCAAGACATCCTGTAATCTCATATCACTAATTCCTGAGATTAGTTCGGCTATCAACTTGTCTGCCGTGGATTTGGACCGAAGAATCTGGCCCAAATTGGATCGAGAAACTGCATTGCGCATTTCGCCTTTTGCCGGGTCAATGTGATAAAAGCCCACCACAATGTCCGGTAATCTTGGCTTTATGGAGTTGATGGGCAGTTTGCCAGCAGCAGCAAAGAAGATACCCCAATCGCCACCTTCCGCGACTCTATCTCTCAGATTTCTGATCTCGATCACATCCTGCACCACACTTGGCACGCCTAATCCCTCCGCCTGTTCTACAGCAGATCTCCCACCGTGGTACCCGCTATCAACAAGTCGCCACATCTGATTATCATCTTCTACAACAAAGTTGGCGCAATAGGCACCTCGACGCTGTATAAAGCGTATTCTTTCACCAAGCGATGTATAGCCCGGTTTGAAAGACCCACCCACAACGCGAGCTTTGATTGCAAAAGCTCCGTTGTTGCCTCGTACCACCTGACTCGGATTGCCTGCTTGGTTTGCAGCAAAGCCGGAATTCAGTATAGGACTGCCGTGATCTCCCATACCAGGAACGTTGCTGGAAGGTTGCCAATTTTGTGCTTGTTCCGGGCTTGGGGGTACCAGTCCCACTGGGTAAGCCTTTTCTTTGACCATAACCTGTATCTCTTCTCGCTTAGCGATGTAAGTCTGAAGATCTCCCTTCCGAAAGGCATTGATAACTTCGTCAAATATAGTAATGTACTCCTTGATGTCCAAAGTCATTGAAAATAAGCTTGTACCGCGTTTGTATTTCTTATCCAGCTTGTTTGATTTGGAGTCAAGAATCTTCTCGATACGAGCGCAGAATCGTTTCGAGCTTGGAGGCGTAGATGATAACGAGTTTGTAAAATATTCACCCACCAGCTTCGGCAGGGTATTCCAGAGAGCCTGAAACTCCCCAAAGTGCTGCCAGGATTTAGAGTATAGCTTTTTCCATTCGGAAGGGTACTGATTATTATCAATAAACATGTCTAAGTTGCTTTGCATAACCTTCATTGGATATCTGGAGTTCATGTACGCAATATGTATGGCTTTCCACTTTGCAACAAGACCCGGAACGTCGATAAGGCCGGTATTCGCCTCGAAATTGTTGTTTCTATTTTGTTTCATAATCTCGTTATTGATCTCTTTCAGATCGTTGTATGCTTCTATTCCTGCTCTAGGAAGGCGGTATCCCGGGTCGGGGGAAGGCTTGGAAATCTGAATGTCTGGATTTAGACATGCGGCCTCACATAGAATGAGTAAACTGTTGTAAGCTTTTCTATAAGCTGAGATATGATAGCTCTTTCGGGTTAGATCGCTAGATTCGGGCTTAAGTCCCCCTCCCCCGAAGCGAAATCTGATATCGCCACCTTCGGCCCGTTGTATAGCCTCATTTAGTCCTGAGATTTATTAGCCTAGAGCCTTTCAACTTCTATCATCAAACTCACGCTGAGAAGCCTCGGTAGCTAGTTTCCTATGTTCATCATTGAGGATATGCTTATCTGGGTGAATCTTCTCTCGCAACTGCTTGGCATCAACATCAGCCCCATCAGGCAAGGCTTTCTCAATTGCAAGTGTTATATTTTGTTGATCGGATTCTACGATCGCTTTCATGATATCAATAATATTATCTTTGCTGAGATTGACAGGACTCTCATAATCATCCTTCTTGTCAGCTGTGCCGGAAGTTGTTTCACCTTTGGGCGGTCCATTAATAGGCAAAGGATTTTGAGACTCCATTTTCTTTGAGGATGTTAATCAAACAAACAATAGGATTATTATTATGAGAGAGACTAAAACTGGATTTTCGAATACCTACTCTACATTCAGGCACCTTTATATAGTTTATTTTCCATGGTTTTTGTCAATCATGCTATTTGTCCATGGTCTTATGCATGAACCATGGTAAAATATTCCTATATCTTGTGTCCCACCTTTCAAGTCGTATCCTGTGTTACCTGTATCACACTGAGTTTTAGTGGAATACTTCAATTGAATATGCTATACTATTCTATCTTGGTCCTATCTTGCGTGCTCAACGCAGGTGCTTTTCAGTAAGACTCATTGAATATCTGACTAGGACAGTTGACTAATACAGACTAAAGGTTTAAAGAGATTATAGACATTGATCTTGAACAGACAGATAGAAACACACACTATGTTGCAGTCGGCTGTCACAACTCACTTTTATTTCATCCTAATAGAATCAATGCGAACATTGGTGATCAGGTCACATTTAACTTCTGTTCTCTAAATCACACTTTAACTCAGTCAACTTTGGAAAGGCCATGTTCTTCAGTCTCAAAGTTCGACACAGGATTTAATCAATATAATCCTGATGATGTGAAACATCTGGCTCTGACTTTGACTGTCAACACACTCGACCCGCAATGGTTTTTCTGCGATCAGAGCCAGCCCATTTCCCACTGCCATGAGGGAATGGTTTTCGCTCTTAACCCTGGAAATGAGATGGATACTTTCCTAATGAATGCACGATTCTACCAGTATGCTACTGATAAGACTCAAACCAGCATGAATGATATGCAAATAAGCAAGTATGAGCTAATGAGCTATTTCAACCTTGCGACTTCATGTTGTACTAATCTTAATGATAGATCTACTGCTAAAATTATTCCTGCAAGTGCGAGGGCCTCGTTTCCCGCAGTTACCAGTGTCTTTCAGGCCATTGCAATCTCTACAACTGTTGTGACCTCAACAAATTATGTGACTATCTGTCCTTCATCGTCGAATATTCACTCTCCCAGTATGAGTAGCAGTAGTGTGGGCTCTATCAAACGTCAAACTGTCTCTTCATCTTCTAGTTTTACAACTGTCCCCATTGTATCTGTTCTCTCGCTCTGTTTGGTTATCATGTTGAATTTTCATTGATTTTCTATGCTTTCAGAAGCGATATACCTACTCCTGACCAGAGCCGGGCTGCGAGCAATGCTATCCCGATGAACACTGGAGTAGATGACTAGCTAGTTACTATGTTCGTAACAGCTTCAGCCTAATTGCAAATAATTAATGTATGAGATCTTTTATTCATATCATAAGTTTAACTCTCTATCACTAGGGTAGTATATTGAAGCATAGATTTAGCGAAAAATGATATAGTATTTATACCATCAAGAACACAAGAAATAATCTCTGCATTTCATATGCTGCTTTCTCCTTGCCTACAGCCCTTGACTGCTTCAGACCACCCCTGCATATTTTGTCTCTTTTCTAGAGGCCAATAATCGCCCACTTTTCTCAGGCTGGAAATCATGCTCATGCAAATCAACTCGTTGAGCGGAATCCAAGACCAAGTCTCGAACTTCGTCACGTGTCTTCGAGTCGGAAGAAACTAAGGCCATGTTATTACTATATTATCAATTGCTTCCAAGGAGACGGGCAAAACAAACTGATTACTAATGCCTTGCCGAGAGATTCAGACAGTTCTTTGTCCATGATGCCTCTAAAGTCGGGTTTACCATAGAATGCTGCCCCTCGACGTCCTAATTTGACTCTCTGACCATCACCATGGCTTTCGTCGGCTCGACGAAGAATATATAGGGTATAGTGAAGTACCTAAGTCATCTGTCAGTGGCAGAATTAGTAATAGAAGCCAAATCATACCAATGTTTTTGAGTCGTCGCTAAGAAGCTGATCCATCCATTGGTAGATCCAATCTTCATGACCTGTATAATTTAGTGGTATTCCAGATAATGGATAGAAATCCTACTCTCTTGCTCAAGCTCCCAAACAATAGAGATGCGTTTAGGGGTTGTGAGTCCTTTTAAATGCTCACTCTCCACTTTCAATTGCCGGCTAAGAAGCTCTTTGGCGTATGGTAGCTGTGCTGCAACACCTATTCCTGTTGCTATTAGGATAACACTGTCATATTGTTTAGTATCAATACATTGGCCATAAGGTCCATCTATCCACACGCGAAGGTGCTCATGGCTAGAGGATGCTAAGGCTCGAGTAAAACCTGACTCAATCTTGGCAAGAACGGATAGAGTTATTGCTTCACCATTAGGGCCCTCCTCCCACCAAACGATACTGAAAGGATGCGATTCGGCGAATGATAATGCTCTCACTGCCGGTATGGTCAAATAGACATATTGACCTCCCCGTACCTTCCAAGGCCGTGCCAATGTTAGAGTTAGTTTCACCGCATCCTGATATTTGATAAGTTCCGCAGCGGCTACTGGCCGACCAGCGACCAAGTTGTAGTAAAACTGTCGTAGGAAGTATACAATGTATGTAAGCACGGAGATTCCCAGAGCAAAGTATAGACAGAATGCATCGAAGCCTTTCTTTTCCTCCAGATGCAACCAAATCATGACCGATGCCATGATACTAAGAAAATTATGACCTTTGAGAAATATTTCGTACGCCCACTGGCGGATCAAGGGAAGAAAGAATAAAGTTGCTGAGCTCAGAGTAATTGCAGCCTGCATAGAATTAGTCAACTTCTTGTTGGGAAACTGGACAAAATACTGAACTATAAAACCGTTCCGGTGAGATGCCTCGGCTAGGTCGAAGGAGTATGTACGCATGGCAAAAATAATATGCACTCCGCATTGGATAAGAGTCATCCAACCGAAAGCACGATGAAACCTATTGTAGGCTGACAGCGATAGGTTGAAAAAATGCGCGCCAAAGCTAAGTTGCGGAGTCCAGAGTGCGGGTACTAAATGTAGTAATGCCAGGGAGCCAGCCCGAGACTGAGCTGCACCAGCGCTGTTGACGCCAAGGATGTTGCAGATCAAGGTACCACTCCAATGCAAAATATGTATAAAGGCCGCGCCCCGACTAATAGGAGACCAAAACAAGCTTCTCCGTACAATGTACGGCAGCACAATATACCTAGTAAATAGATAGAAAAGAGCTGGGTTCAATAAGAATTTGAGTATGAATAAGATAAAATGTTGCAAGAATAGGAGTCCAATCGCGCCCGATAGGAAATAAGTGTAGATCATCAGTACGTTCATGGTTGGAAGAAATCTGGTATAATGACTCTAAACTATTCGATTTAGCAGCAAGTGCATTCTTATACTTTTGATCAACAACATACCACGATTTTCAAATTGCCGCCGATGCTTGTTTCAAGCGATCATTTAAAAATAGCATCCGCGAAACGCCGCCCTTAAAATAAAACACGAGACCATGGTGTAAGACTTTTCATCACGAGTAATAAATACCTGCAGTCTGTCCATGATTATGGGGCCAGATCATGGAATTATTTATGATCTCTAACTACGATAAGCCACTCTTCACACAAAGCCGAGACCATGCCTTATGAAGTTTGGAGAAAAAAGCGCTTGTCACGAACTCATGATGTGGACCCGGTCAAGAACACCAAAGCTGAGCGAGAGAGATTTCGCCGAGGCTGGGCGGCGATGTGCAAAAAGGCAAATGATCTCTATCTAGATGGGATCGAGAATGGGCGTGATCGCCGTGTTTACATGGTCATTCATGATGTACGAAAAAATCGACAAGGGAAGGGGAAATATACGTCCTTCAACTCTCATCCTCGAGAATCCTGGGTTCCATCTCAAGACGAAGTTGTAAGAGACCTTAAGATCCTATACAGAGATTATGTACTAATTCAAGTCAGGATGAGCATTATCCAATCACCAAGAAAGTGACACCAGCTGATTTTGGCAACAATCTCGCAGGAAAGCCAGGGGCTGGAAGGTTGCAGAGCCTTTCAAAAGGTCGACAACGCCTGTTCAAGATTTCCAAGCCGCCACTTTGGGCTTATAGTTAGGTCCATTTGTGTTGATTTTTTCTACTTTTTTTTATTGATCAGTGAACATGTATCTGATAATACAGCATGCCTTATATCATATGAACCACAATTCTTTCAAAATGATTGAGCTTGGTACTGAATTTGAAGTCGATGATTGTTATTTCATTCAACTATTGTGATTAGAGAAACCACTGACTGATCCAGCCTTGTTTGCACACAACTCAACTTGCCACTGGCACTGTAAATTATAGTAACCATAACATACGTTGATCTCTTCCGCAGCAATGCGCTTTGGGTATCCCAGGTCTTAACAAGTCCAAGAATGTGGACAGCTCATACGGGCCTATGATGCCACTTTCACCAACTAGCTGGACATTGCAGAACCCGATACAACGAAGAGTTAGACGATTAGTGTCTAAGAAAGTGCCCAATGCAACATGACTGACTGTGATACAGCATAATATTAGCTGGCGCAAGCTTGGTGTTGCGCTAGAAATGGCTTCTAGGGGGAAATAACGATAGTCACCTTCCAGAACTACCTCTTTCATATGGCAAAACAACTGTTGAAGAGGTGTTGCGAGCATCCTGGTATTCAAGCAATTCCAGTCATGTCCCCAGAATAGAGAGAAGTTTGAAAGGCGGAGGGTGATTGGATGCAGTCTCGAATCCTTAGCATTTGACAAAGCCCGTTTAATAACCAGGGCATGGTGCTCAAATGTATTTTCTCTCATTTCTAAAGCCGGAACTTGCCACTGGTGCAACAAGTCGTCAATGCTATCACTGAAACCGAGGCTGAATTCAAATTCTGACGGCAGGATTTTGAACGCATGCGTGAGTGCGTGAAGGTCTGTATGATTCTCAAGAATAAGGCGCTGTTCTCGACAAACACGGCTGATTTTGGTATAAATCCAGAAATAGGAAGAACCATTGCCTGAATCTGGAGACAAATCACAGTCGCGTAATTGTTGGTTGACATAGTCCTCAGGAGTGAATATCTTGGATTTGAAATACTGAAAATCTGTTACATCTTTTTCTTGTCAGTAGTCCTTTATGAATATGATCAAGACAAGGTGCATCATACCTGGTCGGATAATATCTGGAACAGAATATCTGAAGCACCGAACGTAGGGAGAAATATTTGATCTATTGAAGCGAGAAAGATTTCTCAATCCCTCTTTTGAGAATTGGAATTCCACACGTTGAAAAAGCAGAGGAATACAAATATGGCGCAACTGCCTGTTCACACATGAAAGGCTTTTTATGCCTGAAAATTGGAGACTTGTAAGAATAAGAAGAATAATTTCAGTAGGAATAGTGTCTAGGTGCATTGCATCAGTATCATTCATTTAGAAGTGTAGAAAGACTCTGATAGCTTAAGTTAAATCAATCTTAGGTTGATGATTGGAAAAGAGAAGATTCTTAAGAGTTCTCAGTATGAAGATCGGAGCCGAAAAACTTGGCTAATGCTTCTGGGTGAAAGCCCTCCAAAGTCCTGTAGCTGATCTTAGTACAGCGGCCACTCACCAAATCCAGTTTAGAACGAGATTTTCCTGCGCTCGGCTGTAGAAAAGTTATCTAGTCGACCTTGGACCTGTTGTAGAAGCAATACAAAATCATAATAACCTGTCTCCCAAAACTCCTAATTCAAAGTTAATCCTATGATACGGTCAGAATGGCATTGAATACTCCAGAGCGAGGGATCATGGCAATCAAAGCCATAATCAACACAGATCAGCACAATATTCAAAATACCCAGTAGGTTTTTCTTTCATGCCTCATTATCATAGCCTAGACTAACTCTACGAATCAGACATACTTATCTAGAGAATGGTCGCACATACCCTAGACATAATGGAAGCGATTATATGCTTCCATGCGATGAACAAGAACAGGACCGACTCGACATGCTTCACAAAGTGTTCTTAGTAGTCAAGGGATCGGCGAACATCTTAGTCTCTCCACTCCCCAGGACTGGCAGAGTGCTGGACTTGGGATGTGGAACGGGTATTTGGGCACTCGATATGGCTAAGAAATACCCAAATGCCATAATTACAGGAGTCGATATCATGTCTACGCAACCTGCGAATTGTCCTCCGAACTGCTTTTTCTTTTCCCCCTTCGATTATGAAAACCCAAGAGCTTTAAGAGCTGAGTCATGGGACTTAGTCCACTTGCAACAGGGTTGCGGAAGTGTTTCTTGTTGGCCGACACTCTACAAAATGGTTCTAGATTGTTTACTGCCAGGAGGGTGGTTTGAACAAGTGGAGATTGATTTTCAGCTTCAGCTGACACAGCGCTCGAAAAATGCCACAGCTCTCCAACATTGGTATCACAATATTCGACGCGCTACCGAGCTTTCTGGTCGCCCTATCACCCATGACTCTGCAAAAACGATTAAACAGCTCTACAGCACTGGTTTTACGGAGGTCCGGCACATATGTATGATGCTTCCACTCAACCCATGGCCTAGAGACGAACATTTAAGGGAAGTTGGCAAATGGTACAGTCTCGCGCTATCGGAAAGCATTGTAACATTGAGTCTCGCGCCTTTCAGTCGTGTATTTAGATGGCGGCTGGATCAGATTATGGATATTGTAGGAAAGGCGAAAGCAGAAATCGTGGATGAGGACTTGGAAGGATTCAATTTGTTGCATGTATATATGGCTCGGAAGGCGATATAAGTTTTACAATTCAGCCTGTCTCAATGCTTGCGTGCATCCATTATAACTTATTTACAAGAACGCTAGTTTGTGCTGATTCTTGGGGATTACTGCTCTAATAAAGATATACCATGTATAATTTTGAAGATGGCCAGCTTTTCTAAAATTTTGGGATTCGTCACCCTTTACGGCTTCTTTCCCTGCTCTTCCTGGCAATTTGAAGTCATTAATGAATGAAAACGATTGCTGACATGGGCAAAGACATATCCAGTCGACGGGGGTGCCTTTGACTTGGTGCGGAAGTAGCCAAAAATCTTCTGTTTTCTCTCAATAGCTTAACATGTTCAAGTATATATGCTGCCATCCTCAAAGGGCTTAGCACGAGAAACAGAATATGTTGAGATAACTAATGTTCTGTTGATTATTAATGTTCCGAGGTACCTATACTATTCGCGATTCGGCTCTTCCCGACTAGCCTAGTAAGGTTTAGCATGAGCAAGAGAATGATCAAACTTATAAACATTGGTTATACTAGGATACCGCGTCTGGGCATCCGCCAATCAGCTTGCATGAGTTTGCGAACTAACTCCAGCAAAGCTTAGCATGAGAAAAGATATGTAGTACGGAGCAAAATTGATACCATCACATGTATTTACATAGAATCACCAGTACTAGGATAGAGCTTTCATCTGATACATCATTCAATCCAACAAAGCGTAAAAAAAGAGAATCCAAAGGAATAATCCTATCATGATTCAAACATCCGGAATTCTGATTCGGTTGCTGAAGCCGGTGGCTCTCCTAATTTGTCAAGTGCTTCTGTGACTTCCAGTATCCAAGGACGCAAGCTAGTCAAATAAGACCTGAGTTCAGCCACCATACTAGCAATTTTAGATTAGCCTGGGTATTCATTTTGAGAGCTGCGATCTTTACCTTTTGAGGGAATTGACCCTAAGCCACGATTAGCTATGCTGCAACATTTGATTGGGAGATACCATACTCAGATTCTAGTCGCTTGACATAGTCTTTCACACCCTCCATTTGCAAACCATCCGAGGGGATTTCGTGCTCATCCACCTCAGGAGTGCTGGCCTGAGACTCTGCCAATGATGGTAAGGAAGGGAAAAATGAAAGAGAAGATTGTGTGTATTCATTCATCGAGAGGTATGATGGGTCAACATCGTATCCAAGGAGGGGCATGGATTCGTTTGAGGGCAGGTCATCCAGACTTTGTAAGAACTGTATAATATCTTCATCTGTATAAGGCAATTGCTCGCTCATCTTGAGAAATCTGTGGGTATGTGTGTTATGTGTGATGTGACCTTCAGAAATGTCTGAGCTCTGAATTTAAGTAAATCAAGACCATGGGTCCACGGTCATGATCTAGTAACTGTGGAATACTTGGGAAAGGAAGGCGGCTATATCTGGGCCCGCCCACAAGGAGAAATTGCCAATTGGTTGGACAGAAGTGTTTGAAAATAGATCGCTAACCATCATTGCCCTATTAATAGGGGCCTGCCTTCGTATTATGGGGCATCCTGTGCATAAATCAATCAAGACCACATTTTACGGGAAATGAGGGACAAGGACATCCCCAGGAAGGACGGTGGCACCGATAGCCAGGTTCATATACTTTTCTTAAGCCAACCCTGCTCAACACACTAACAATACTTAGAAACGCATGAATGCTAATTCTCGCCCCGACGGAAATGACCAGTTGAACAAAAATACTGCCTCAGATGATGCGAACTCCACAATTGCTTTATTACAGAGGGAAAATGAGGAACTCAAGCGGATAATAGCAGATTACAGGTTTACTATTACCAGGTGTATCAGAGCCCTCGGAAAGACTATGGATAGGAGGGAACAGTGAAAGCTTAGGGATCTTCCTGGATATCCATGTACTTCCTCTTCTTACCACCCTTCTGTTTACCTGCTTCGCAACCATCACAATGTATTCCGGAGGGTATATCGTGGTTAGTGGCACCAAAATGATGATCCAATCCTTGTTGATCCACAAACCATTGTATAGACTTGGGGAAAGCACTTATTCTATGCTTCTTCTTGCCTTGGCGGAGGGAGATTGTGAATACCTCGTCCAAATTACGGGCATAAAAGTATACAGGACACGAGTAACACTGACAAACTAGGCAAATATCTCGTGGTGATAGACCAAGACCAAGGTTTATGTCGTCTTTGTAAAATATTGATTCAGTAGTGTCCTTCGAATAAATGCGACTGATCAAAGCTTGGGCTGGAGCACGGCAACGAATGTAACCGGTACAGTAGTAGAGCCCCGTTCGAAATTCAGGCGCAGCCTTTAAAGTGAAATAGAACGACGTGGCCAATAGAACTAAGGTAGCTGCCTCTGTGTCATAGGAGAAAGTAGGTTGAATTCGAGCCCAGCTCTCTAGTTCTGCCATGCTTTTGGTATCCGTCATGGAAGGGGCGGAACCTGGAAAAGTAGTGTCAAATCGAAAGTGCTCTTGGCCTAGAGCCAGCAATTCCCTTGATGCGTGTTTTCCATCAAACGAGCTTATGAAGGAGCGATAAATACGTGGCATCCAGCCATCAGCGAAAATATTGCGGAAGTGAGATGCCGCCGAGGAGGAATGCAGTGTTTCGGAACCAGTTCCGAGAGATATCACGATGTCAGGTTGAGAGAAAGTTGGCCATATACGTTTTGATTCTGCGAACGCTAGCTGCGTGGGATTATTGTGTCTCCTCATCCCACCGTCTTGAAAAGTACCCACACCCGGGATGTCAATTGTAGACATGTAACTAGCAGGTCAATTAATACGCCGACTTATCAAGACATCAGAGACTTACGGTGGAGCAGCTGCTGTTGCACGAGCTCTGTAGAAATTTAGTACTTTTAAATTGTAAATTAGACCATTAGACTTACACCTGCCACAAGAACGGCTCATCCCTCACACTTGGGCGGAGGCGACTGTATGCTGTGACTATTAGCCTGGAGAAGCTTCCCGCCAAGAATGAAGAAAAATACCGGATTGCATCTTGTGAGAAACCATGCCGTTGTAATTAGTGAATATAAAAGGACTAGCGTCGTCAATAGAACACGCTGTAATTGCTACCTTAGTAGCAGATATTGTTGATTTTGGTGAATCGAACATCTTTCCTGAGCCGAAATGCTCGCGAAAAAGATCATCTAAGAGATCTGTACTGTATGTTGCATCTGACATAAAAAAATTGAGTAAACGCTTCCGACGGCTCTGAAAGAATCGTTTAAGCATGTTTTTGAAGGCAATTTTGCAGCTTGCGATATCCAGCTTGAGCATGAAAGCGCTAAGGACTATTAAGCCACCAGAGCTGGTACCTGTGGCAAAGTCAATCATGTCCTGCAGTACAAGGTCTTCGCCTAAGGCGTCTTGAAACATCTGGAGGCATTCAAGAGGTATAATGCCTCGCGGACCGCCCCCATCAATGCTCAAGACTCTAGCCGCTGCTGTTGGAGGTTTCAACTTGATCATAAGAGAACGTGCTTTCCGACAATAAAGACAATTTTGAATGGTGAAGGCATGATCTATGTGTGGGACTTTTTCTCCATAGATTTCGGTACAGGTATCGCATATAGAGTGGCCACATGACATGACATGCTCTGGAGATCGCCGAATGCACAGGAGACATGTCTCATTAGACATGATAGAGAGCCAGTATCCTTCGAGGCTCTGTAGATGCTGGCGGTGGATTTGTGAGGATGTTCTATCTTCATATTTCATAACATTGAAAAAAGCCTGGAGATGATATTCGATACGGCTGCATTGTAATTGTGCCAAATCATCAGTGCTATAAACGTGGCGCAATGCTGTATAACACGCGTCACGGTACAAACCACGAAAAACTGTTTTGGGACAGAAGTCTGAAGAGCATTAGCAAGTATTTTATATTACAAAACTGATATTATGAACAACTGACGATGCATGCCAGGTGGGTAAGCATCCATTAAAATGGCCGAGGCGATATAGGAGGCAAGCCCGTCATAAGGAATTCGGGATTTACCTCCTACTGTGAGGAATGCGGTCAAATGAGCCGTAAAGGCTCCATCCAACGGATTCTGTTCCCTTGCAGCTGTGAGATAATTGTAAGGCCTCACCAATATAGAGGTCGTCTGTCTAAGTTTGCTATCAAAAAGAGCGCTTAAATGATAAGCAGAAAAATTCATGCAATGATGCTCTCGCGCTTGGCGAGCATCTCTGAGACAACGGGAAACATCCCTTGCAAGTGGGATGTGGCGAGCATCGGAAGACAATTCTTCCGATGAGAGTCGGCTAATTTGAATGTCCGAAAAAGCGGGAAGATCACCGAGGTCCAGAAAAAAGTCACTCTCGTCAAGAAGAGTATGTGTGATGCTGCTGGCGTCGCCTTCAAGAACAATCAGGACGCGTGGGCTAACCGCCCGAGGTGAATTAGATCCTAACCCAATCCTGTCCCATAATCGTAGCAGGCTTTGCACAGCCGTGAGACCTCCGATGTCATCGGCAAATATACAGATAAGATCAACAAAAGCAAATAGAACTCGCGAGAGGACGAGGTCGTGAGGGGAAAAGTCTGTGGCTGGCCAGTCTACCGGTATGCGATTATCGGGGTGGCAAATTCTAGGAGTGACGAATGAGGATGGCATTGATCGACTTGTGGGATCACAGTCAGCAAAGAACCGCGGCTGTGCCGCTTGGAGTGAGCGGTTATCTGAGCGCAGGTTGATTGAGCGCTGGTGGCGTTGGCTATTTCGGTAGTTACTCTTGCAAAATTGTCGCAGAGCCTCGTCCTTGCGCCGTCGGCCCATGAAAAATGTGATTTGGGGTACCTGCTCGCTTGGTCGAGGTAGTTCCTGACTCAATCTGCCCAGGCGCGAACCAGACACCAGTTCCGGCCATGGTCTGCCTTGATTATACAGTTCGAGCCACGCTATATGATCGCACCTTGACATTCTGAAAATTCAACAAGGTCACTTGTGCTTTTACCTGGTAAAGATAATCCATATTATGGAATTATGGACTCTCGACGTTCTTTAAAGTACAAAAAACACCATGGTTATGATACCGTGGCATCTTCAAACGTGGCATTCAGGCCATTGTCTGATATGCATTTTTATGCTGAATACTTCTATCACAATCTGATTTAAGTTCTAGTAGGTTTTTCATGCACGGCAGTACTGTAACCAGTTAGGTGTTGTTTATTCATGTCTGAGTAGCCTGTCTGTAGATTACTATGCAGATTTCAATGTTGCGATACGCTTGTCCTGCTCTTCGATGATTTTTCTGTACTTTGCTTCCATCTGATCTTCAAGGTCGAGTATAACATCCGTTATCTGCCGTGAGCGATCTCCCTTCACAAGCATGCTGTCCTCTTCCAGGAGCATGGTATCGACGATAGAATCTATCAGATGAAACTTTCTTTGTGTCCGATCAAGCTCTAATGTCAGATCATGACACTGTCGCTTTTCAATGTCTAGCATCCTTTCAATCTCTTCATGCGCAGCTTTCAATCTGAGCATACTCTCTTGCTGTAATGCAATTGATGCTACCAGTCTTTGTTTGTCTCTCCTCTCCAAATCCAAACAGTGCTTTGTATAAGCGTGGTCTGAGCATTCTTCCTCAAGCCTCTGCTTGTGGAAATTATTAGCCGCAGTGAGATCTTGCAAGGTCCTATGCTGGGTGTTGTGATCGGCTTCCAGCTGCTGGAAGGCAGCGTTGTTGACAGAAGACTGGCGAAGTACATGTCGCAAATAGACGATATGGTTTCGATAAAAGGAGACTCTATCACCTGTAGGTGATCCAGGCGCGAATAGTGGTTCCTTTGCAAGTTTCAGCAATGTGTAATGTTAAATAGCAACCACAGTCGACCTACATTTTCTATGATGGATCTTCGTCCTTGCGGAATATCGTGATTCATAGTGGCTCGTGTGCTTGAATATTTGATTTCTTGTGAAGACTGAAAGCAAGTGCCAGGTTTAGAGAGAAGGCAGCTGGAACTCGGAGATAAAATAGACGGTAAAGGGCGCCCCTAATATCTCACTCTATTGCGTTTTAAGCTAGAAATCGCCTCTATCTAGTCCACCAGTCGGTAGTATCAGTAAAGTAAGAAAGTGATGACTTGACTAAAGGCGCTATGATAAAGATGGTTTAGAACGAGGAGTGGATCGCATCGATAAACATTGAGAGCAGTGCCTAGTGATACAGCTTAAACTATCACCTTATAGAACATTTTTTAATTGGCCACGATTGGCGCAAAATAAACTATTACAATATTATCCAGAGCCTACCATAGCATACTTGCGAATTTGACTGCGCCGCTGATTTGCGCCGCTTATATACCCTGGTCGTCGAAGAGCCTTGGAGGCGGCACAGCTCCCCAATGACCTCAAGGATAGCAGTATATAAGTACCGCAGAACGATGTTTCTCTGAAAACAATGAGTCAAAATCATGGCGAGAGTGGCTTGGACCCCGGAAGAAACTGCAATCGCTATAGTCTTCGATATGTGGGGCATCGATCATGAATTGATTGCCAGGCTCATCACGGAGCGATGGTCTATACTCATGGGTGTGAGTCCAAATGACTCCGTATCCCAGTATGGGCGGACTACAAAAGCATTAGAAGCCCGACTAGAGCGCATTCGATTACGAAGCCCCGTGCTCTGGGATGGGCAGGAATGGAATCCAGATGCTGTTAGCGAATTCCTCTTCTCCACAGCCGATAATGACCTTGTTTTGAATTTATTGGCACTATCGGCGGCCGATGCTCATAGGATAGCCCAGGTAATTGTCGGTCAGATCCATATTATAAACACTACTTTAATCATTTAGCTGTCCTAGGATCCAAGCGTCACCCTTGGTGCTTTCAGCAGTTTGACTAGCCAAGCTGATTCTAACACCAGAAATTGAATACTCTCCTGACCTTAGTAAGTTTAGCCTCCCTTCGAAGCACATCCTCTGATTTTTGGAAAGACAGTAATCAATAGTGGTGAGGGGTGGGAAGTTGAGGGATAGGCGGCCATTATTTACTTCGCGTCTGAAGGCGTTCCGCTTAACTCTATTGTTGCTATTCGCCACCAAAGAAACTTCCTTTGGATTTAAAATGTGGTGAATCGTAAGCTGAATGAGCTAAGGAGAAACTGAGTTCACGGAAAATAATACAGTTGGAACTCGCAGACAGTCAATCACTACTTGGATGAGATGGAGCAAATATGCAGTACAAATGTTGTCAGTGGGCCTATCGAAGAATGTTATACAGTATGCATAAAAGTCTTTTGCCAAGTATTGTCTTTTTGACCTATCTTCTCGGGTTCCACATGTAAATGCGCTCATCTTAGTTCAACCAACAAGGTTTGCAGAAGCAGCACAGACAATCATCATCCAAAATATAGAGGTTGTCACATACATTTTAGCAGTTGATTTTCTGTGCTTGTAATGCAAAAGGCGGATTAGATGGTGGAATGATGGCATTGTCCAAACATAAGTATTTCTAGATAAATCGCAGCTTGGTTCCTCGCACAATAAATTTCGTCATGAAGCAACCTTTGTGTGTCTTGTCACAACATCTTAAATAAAGAAGATTCTGCTGCTCTTGCTGCTCATCTGCGTCTCCAAGCTGGGATAGATAAAATCCTCTTGTTGGCTGTCTGCAGTAAGGACAGCAAGGTCGAATATCTTCTGAAATAAGTCTTGCCTTGGCCTGTGCAAAATCACCATTTGTTGCACGGTAGACATATTGATGAAATGTTTCTTGGAAGCAATCGAAGCACCACGGATGGCCGCAGTCGAGTACGATATCAACTGCGTTCTGGTAGCAAATCTTGCATTCAAGCAGTCCAAGTCGATGATCTCCCTGTGCAGTATGCTTGGATTTGCATGAAGTGCAATGCATGGAAAACTCATCATCGTCATTGTTCTCTCTCTGTTCATCATCTTGAGATTCAAGCGTAGCCACGTTTACTACGTAATGTAAGCACCATGCCCATGGCTAGAGATAGATATTACATACCATCACTTGCCCCAGATAGAGAGAGAGTTGCATAGCCGTCATCGTCATCAATCACAATCGGATTCTCTGTAATCGGTCAGTGTCATATCCGGCCGATTTGAGGCGATAGCCGGACCTTTAGAACTCCCTGGTAGGAAATAAAGATAATCAGGCGCTCTTGACATCTTCAGATATAGCCAGACACAAGCCCAGTACAGCACAATAATCGTAAAACAAGTGTAGATAAATGACGCTTGTGAGGGTGTTCTCTCTACTTTAAGTAGAATCCAGAGCACAAGTACGTCGGTTTCGATAAGGAGTAAGCATGCTGTGCAAAGAAGCATAACCACCAGGTTCGGATAACCACAGGAACGGCTCATATTGGAATTCAGCGAGACAATAGAGTCATGAGTGGGCTTCGTGTTGTGGTCTACCTATTCAGGCGGCGAGATTGCCATTATGGTAAGACCTACCGTGTGGTCTTGCATGGTTCAGAAATCTAAGCACATTAATCAGTCTTATGACAGGACGTACCGTAGGGCGCTACTCCCGGTACGATCAGATCTACCATATGGAACTCCATGCTTTCTGAAAAGCATGGCTAAGCGTCAAACCATGTGAATAAATTGGCCATAGGATAAGTCTTACCGTGGGGTCAAGCTAGCCACGAGGTACTCCATTATTTTTAGTAAACATAGTAGGACGGCTAACCGCTTGGTTGTATTATACGTAGGGCGCGTTTCACAGTACGGCCAAACCCGCCACAGGGTACCGTAGGTTATCCAGATTAGGTTTAGTTCGAGGTTCGCCTGGTCGTATTATCCACATAATTTAGTGGACCACGCGGTCATACCTCCCCTACAGTACACTCTTTGTTCAAAGACTAAGAAATGATGTCAACCCTGCGACTGCAGCTTCCCTGCGGCTGAGCTTGGCACAACTATTACACAACACACTGACTTTTCAAGAAAAGCTACAATTAGACTGACAGCTTGCAAGTCAAACTTATGCAACTAAGCTCTATATACTATACATGGTATACCTTTCAAATATTATAACTTTCTTATTGATTTATGTTGTTTCTGAGATACCCTGTGGAAACTTGATATACATGGTACATCTAGAGTGCTAGGGATTTGGTGATGGTGAACATGAGTGGAGAGCATGTTTCAGGTTGATTAGACCATGGTCTTCGGGTGAATATAAAAGCCTGTTAAATGGGAAATTTACTAGCATAGTACCTAAGCAATTGACTTCTTTTTCCAAAAATGAACAAGGATGCGACAAAAGACTCAGACAAGAGCCGCTTGTCTACATTTCCGCGGACAAGAACAGGGCAACAGATTCTAACAAAGAGAGTGATAGCCAATCTCGAACCATCCTGGGATAGCAAGCGGCATGCCAAAAAGCTTCAGAAAGACTTACAGGAGCCCTCAGCAAGATTGCAAAAGGAAACAGCAGATCCATGGGAACGTTATGAGAAGTGCTTCAAATTACACCAGGCTGGTGAGGGGTATCTTGTCTTTGCTAAGAATGCCACCTTTAAAGAGGCTATGATGAAAAAGATAGAGATCTCTGGCGAAGACGTGGTCTCAAACCTTACTACCGCAAGTCATAAGAATCTTGTGCAATTGTACGAGGTCTTATATCGAGAAGGCACATTGTTCCTCTTCTACGAAGTTATGGACGTATCCCTAAATCAGGTTTTTGCAACCCCTCTTGGACGAATGAGACTTTACGAAGTGGCAGCGTTCTCTCATGATATACTCTTGGGCCTGAACTATATACACCAAATACATCGAATCAGTCATGGAAACATCAATTCGAATAATATTTTGTTGGCAACTAATGGTTCAGTCAAGATCGGTAAGTCGAGTGCTTAATTTATGTGTCATGACCTAAGCTAATAACCAATAGCCAATTTCGGTGAGAGTATACTACATAGTCAAGACCTAGAGTTACATCAGGATGATATCCGATCAATCGGAACTATGATAATCGAGTGCCTAGAGCCCCAAACTTCTCTTCAAAAGGAGGATTGCTTGAGGTCGAAGACATGGGATCCAAAGTTGATCAACTTCATTGAGGCCACCAAGCAAAGGAGTGCACAGTATCTCTTGAAGGTCTGGCAGTTCTTTCCTTTTATATTGGCATTGTCTGATCGTCCTAGGATGACTTCCTTCAACTCTCCCCCGGGTCGCCATGTCTGAAACCTTACATTCGACTGGCGCGGGAGCTAGCTAATAATCAAGTCGAGCTCCAAAGAGATTAATCATATCGGTTCAATATGAAAAAGGTCCGAGGTTGACATAATTTTGATGATGAGTAATAGTGACTTCTATGTTGAATCACAAATAGATAGCATTTTTCCAAGATTCATTAATTCAGAATAGTAAATCTCGGGATATACAACGTCTCTAAATCAAATCTTGTGTCTGCATAGCGGCATGTCTATAAATAATGAAGTTACTTTGAAAACGCCTTCATAATACAGTAGCTAAATATATGCCTATAGACTACGATATCTCTCATAGTATAGCCTACCATTGTAATGTCCATTGCCCGTTCTGGAAGCTTGGTAGAGGATTCTCAGTAATGGTATCCCTTTGCTGCAAAATATCGTTCCTGAACTCTCCATTCGGGCCATAAAACACAAGAGTTGGGGCTATCTGGCAAATATGTGCCAGGGTGGTTGTGTTAAGAATTGGCCTGTTGTCTTCTGGAGGGGTTGCTAGCCACGAATCCTGAAATTCTGGCAGATTTCCGCACACTGTTGCAAGAGAGTTCTCAAGTACACAAATGCACTTTGCTGAATTAATATCGAAGAAGATTGTGTAATGTGGGACTTTTCGAGCTTGTGATATAACCTTCCTCCAGAAATTGCCGGGACATACAGTAGCTGTGAATACACAGTATTCTCTTGTCTGTTGTATGATAGCATTCTGTGTCGGAAGCGAGGAGTCTAACAAATTATGAGAGATAGATGCAAATGCTGGCTCATTGATCGGCGGCGCTGATAAATCCCAGCTGGGAGGTGAAAAGTCAACCATGTTGAGAAAATCCAGGGCCATGTTGTTATCAGCGTTGGATTGTCCTTCGTCAGATAATTGACTAGTGAGGAGGGCGGTATCCGATTGCCCGAGCATCACACTATCTACTCGATCCTCGTTGCTGTTGGGCTGACTGAAAGAAGTCTGGGTGTTATTGCGCTCTGGTTGCTCTGACATCGTTATATCTACTTGCTGGATATTTTCATTCTGATTGTTTTGCATGTCGTGGTTAGTACTGGTCTGTATATGCTCTGACATCACGGTATCCCCTCCGTTGAGCGTTTCTTCGGCTTCTAAATCGTCTGGCTCCGGGAAAAAGGCAATAAACATGTCACGTTTCACTTCAAAGTCTGTCGGATGTTCACGTCTCTCGTCGTTCTGTAAAGTATAAATCTGATTCAGGAAGAGGTATTTCTGATCAGCAAAATAGGAATCAGCATCGGTCATCCCGCATCGTCTCTCGATTGACCACGGTGTACGCGAGTCTGTGCTATGGTATGGACGAGACACTGCTACTGGTTTCCTGCCAATACCATTCAACACTCTAGCGACCTGCTCAGTGCACGATGACAGGATAGTTTCATCGTATTCAAAGAGAGTGGGTGGTCTGAGTCGCAATAGCAAAGAATGCACCGCGGTATACTCGGAAGATCTCGCTGAATCGTTCGCGGACGATGCAAAGCCAACTCTGTTAGCGAGGTCTTTGAACCGAGCCCATAATTCGTGGTAGTCTGCTGGCTTCCGGGAATGCTTGTGGACGCCCATTGGCCGATGCTCTGAAAGCCCGTAGAAATTGCGGGTGGCGAACAAGAACATTTGTCGGTATGCAGACCAGAATCTTGTACTTCTATCCTCAATTGGATTATAGGCAAAATCGTTCTCTGTGATCTGGATCGGCAGGGGATCTTCACTAGAAGCAATGTAACATGCCCTCATTGCTTCTTGAATGGTGCCCGCGAAATTTGATGGAAGGAACTTTTTCATAACCTGCATTACGGGCTTAATGTACTTGGTATTTTCAAGGAAGGTTTTGAGCGAGGGAACAATGCCCTTAAAAGCGAGGGCTGCCTGGTGTAATTGAGACCGAGCCTGAGCATCTGTAATATGAGAAAATGCTCTCCCATTGTTAAATATTTCATTTATATACCAACAATCACCGTCGGACCATTGAGGGCATCTTCCTTCAAGAAGTTGAATTGTCTCTAAATCAAGATCGCTATGGTGTCCGCATGTCAAAACATGCAATGACCGATAGATATGATCCAAATAATTAGATAGTTCCTGCAGTTGTCAGCACAGGAAGTTTTGGAGTGAGACAATCATCAGACCTCAGGACATTGCATACTCAGGAGATGGGTACCCATTAACCAGGGTTGCCAGATGCCAGGAAAATCAAGAAGTTCGTCTAGACTTTTCTGGAATCTTTTATAAGGCGATCCTTTGTCTCGGTAGATCTGACGGAAGTCTCGACATTTAGTTGGTGACCATTTTGCTAGCCACTCCCCGGCAGCAGCATCATTTTGACATTTCTGGTAGTAGCGGACATTGAAGAATATCTCTCCGTCAGATAAGACTCGTGAGCTGTCTCTAAACTCATATAAAATCCTCCTCGCTTGATCATCAAGTTTTGAGTTATCATACAGGGTCACATTCCACCAAATATCATCTGGTGGCAACCATGAACTTGCTGCTGCGATTCGATGTCTTCCTCTTGTACAGTCCAAGAAGCAGTTTGGAGCTAATATGATGGCAGGAATATCCGAGCCAATCGCTGAAAGAGAATTCATTGTAAGAATTTCGCGATACTGGTCTCTTGACACCAATGCGTTGATATAATTTGGCGGAGCTGAGCGCTGACAGCCCTCTTTCTTAAATCGATGCTTAAGACGGTTGATATTGCCCTGGTCAACTGAGTGTGTCTTAAGCTTTCCTTGCAAGCTTGTAAAGCGCAGCTGTCTAAGTTGATGTATCTTCACAGTGCCGAGCTGTGCAGCGGAAGTTAGATTCCAAGGGTTGTCCATGACGAGTACCTTGACACCATCTACTATATCGGTATTCACAGTCATTCATGCATGAAGAAGGTTTATATGGTAGGATGTATCCTAGGATTACTAATTATACCATGGTTAATCGAACAAGTGGATTCATAGGGACTTGTACAATTGTTTGCGGCTTCCAAGACAGCCAATGGGGACTCAGAAAATGTTGATTAACGACTAACAGACTATTCAGGAATCAGTGGCCCAAACACCATGACCGTGGAAGTCAGAGTTTTGGTGCTAGCGCTTCGTCGAAGGCTGACAAGTAACTAGTCGGGAAACACCATGGAGGTTTGCCTTATATAGAGCGAAAGTAACTGAGTCTAGTCTGCTCTGCTAAAAACCACTATTCTTCCCACCAAGAAATCAGCAAGAGGATAAATGGAGTCATGGAAATTGTTGAAATTGCCGGGGCGCGATGTGGCCGGCCTCGGTATGTCACAGTAGAAATCCGCGGGCTGCGAGCTGCGAGCTTCTGACACGTGATCAGGTCAAAATTTGACCACCGGCGAAGATGTTACTTTAACATCTCACGAAGATGAATCTGCACTGGCTTATAATGTGTTCGCATTGAGTGCATTAACTGGAGGTCCCGGCATCCCTATCTATCACTGGCATGGCAAACACACAAACAAATATATCCTAATCATAGATCTTCGTGGGCCAAGCCTTGAAGAGGTCTTCGAGAAAAACGGCCGAGAATTCAAGGCACCGACGCTGGTATACTTAGCAGAGCAGTTGGTAGCCCGCTTGCAGTACATTCATGGTCGGTCTATAACAGTTGGCAAATTAACACCTTACTCATGTTCTGTCGGCTCTCAGCAGTGGCGAAGCCCACAATTACTGATTGACTGCTTTTCACCACCCGCAGGGGCTCAGACTTTTGCACAGGACCTGAATAGCCTGGGCGAACTTCTTTTGTACTTCTGCAATGGCTTTGTCACATGGGAACAATTCCAAGTTGCTAGGAAAAACAGCCATCCATTCACGCCATACGGCACACTGTCGGTTTTCGTATGTGAACTTCTATCACAAAACCCGCCAGACTATCCACGCTTGAAGCTCATGATCGAGCATATGTATAACAGTCTGGATGTCCCGGAGAGATTTCTTCCATTTTACAATAACGAGCGATTCATATCTGCCAGAATCGACTCGACTGGGGTTCTTTTTGCCCATCTTGAGAAGCATCTTGCGAAAATTGGTTGTGAAGTGAAAGGGAATCAATCTTGTTTATGTGAAATGGTTCCAAGTTCCCTTGGTCTTATCTTGGATTTATATTATGAGTTATTCATAAGGCTTCGCCCTCGTCATTGGAAAGGTCTCTACCTTGTTAGGGCTCATCATTTGCCAAATCGATTATGGAGAGATCTACGCTGGTTTATAACAGCAACAAAAAACGAGTCAACTATGAAGCAAAAGTCATTCGCTGATATGATATACAGTTTCTTAACAGTACTATTCGAAACTGTTCCACATTATCGAATTTACTGGACCGAGTATCTTCTAAGCCAAGCGCATCGTCAACGAGAATTTGAGATTGACTTGAACAGGCGGCAAGCATGGGTTTCTACAATCCGTCACTGGGAGATGGAACTTCACAGGCTCGAAGCTATGCCACCGGAATGGCTTGTTGTTTGATTGACACATTTATGAGGGCTCCAGGCGCATTTCATAATATTCAGTGATATTTGAAAAAACCATCTAATCAACTGCAATATAGATCGATTTGCAAAAAATAACAGAAAAAAAGTAGATAGGCCATCTAAAACAGCCGACTGATAGAAAGGGGGAGAAAAGCAACAATATAGCATGATAAGAAGGCTATGTTGAATAGCAAAGGTATTACTCAAAGCGAGCATGGCTGACAGCATCTCTTGCACTGTCCTTGAGCCTATCTGTTCTCACTTTCGGAGACTCCCTGTGGACCTTGTGGTCTTGGAGCCACCTTTATCAGTACTTTCACTTGCCCTCGTTTTGCCCTTGGCACCTTCCTTGTCGGTAGTTTCAGCTGCCTTTCCTTTACTCTTGCCGCCTTGCTTATCGGTACTTTCGGCTATCTTCGCTTTGCCCTTGAGGCTTTCCTGCGTGGCATCCATAGGCTCTTTTCCTTGATCTGATGAGTTGATCTTAGTGGTGGAAAGTGAGCGGTGCGGCAGAGTAAGCTCTGGTGCTTTCCCAGCCGCAATTCCCTTCCCAGGTAAATCATTGTTGGCCGAAGTAATTGAGCCTTCCGAGAACAAACCGCGTTCACCTTGAACTCGTGAGAGATAGAGGTTAGAACTTGTTGTTTTCTCCGTGCCTTCCTTCTTGTCGGGGGCAATATACACCCAAGTCGAGAGAGCTTCACGCCGTGATTCATTAGTTGACCAGTCTTCCGGGTTGGAGGAGGCCACTTTGATCATGATAAAGAGAATGCATTGGCGTACTGAAATGCTTGCTGTATGGTCTCGATGTTGCGCTTTTGAATCATGCTTTATCGCATCAGAATAATCAAGAGTCCACTTTCCATCGCTGAATTCACGGCGAAGAAAAACAGTCCATCTGTAATTAGTCATAAAAGCATATTTGAGATTCGCAGCCCACATGTCTCTTGCTATCTGTCCTGCAACTTATCAGAGATATACGAATAATACTATGCAATAGTTACTTACCGAGGAACCTTCGGAGAAGCTTCTCGGCCTCTTTGTCCCCCTTAAGAGTTTGCTTGATATTCGCGTCAGGGAGAGTTCCCCAGGGGTGCTTGGCTTCCCCAATTGCGCGGGCTTTGCCTTTTTCATCAATTAGGGCATAGTCGGGGATCGATCCTCTCTCGGGTTTCGCGGGCTTTTTGCTTTGACCTTCCGTCCCTGTGATGGCGTTCGGTTTGCCAGTGGACGTTTTATCCTGCTCGTTGGCTAGGGGTAGAACCGGCCATCTCAACTTATCCACAGTGACAGTCCAATCGCCGAAGTACAGAGGATATCCGAGGATCTTAGCGACACCATTTAACGGGTTCAGAACATTCGATATAAAGCGGGCGCTGCTCGAAATTTCGGCGCCGCAAAGAAAGTGCTCGCTGTAATAAACATCACTTGTCTCAACATGAGCTGTGACAGGATGCTGGTAGTTATCCCATTCGACTTTTGCGAGAACCTGTTCAACTTCATCTCGGAAATCGTGCCAATAACGCAGTTCTCCAATAAAGTCTATCAGGTGTAGACCTGTACCTGAGGAATGTTTCCCGGATCTTTCTGCTATGTCTGAGAACGAGTCTTCAACAAGCTCACGACAAGTCTGGCAGATGATCTTCATGTCTTCACTTTTTTGCTGGATACTTTATATAGGTGTTAAAGGTATAGTGTATGACAAATGAATAATGGATGGATATAGAGCTCTTCAGAGGAGGATAGAGACTTCCTTTTATACCTTAAGCTATCTATTGCTGACTCGCCTTCTTGAGGCTATAATCTGAGATCAACACCATCCAAGTCCGATAAACCAAAATACTAAGTTCTTGTACAGCTCTAAAGCCGTCCAGTCTTGGTCTCTGCAAGCTTTCAGAAGACAGAGGGATCAACAACTAAGCTATTTTCTAACCGAATGTAATATCAAGATTCTAAGTTCGAGTTTATCTGAACTTGGCGAGTGGCTGGTCTATTTGTTCAAGCAATTATTTACGTACCTTACCAGTCTTCCGTCAACAATGCTGCCTTCCAAGAGCTATAAACCAATGAGGATTTAGGCCTAGCACAAATCACTACAGTAATCTAAAGAATCATCCGTGACAGTACTATTATAGCTTTAGAAAGACCGTATAAGTCACATTTCACATATCTTTTTTATAATTTTCTTAATGTGTCTTCTCTATGATGAAGGCAATATTGGTTGTATGGGGTTAAGTGTCCAGATTAGGTAATTCTGCTGCATTCCGAGATTCCGCGAGCCCATCAAACCACTCCATAGTGCTTAAGAAGGGAGCCAAGAGATTTCCCGCTCACCGCTTGGACTAAAATAATCTATATACAGTCTCGATCAACATCTGATCCTCGAAGCTAAGAAATTTGTCAAATCCTCTAAGTAGGTAAACATCCATCCATCCTTACGCTCATGCGGGATCATGAGGTCATCATCAAAGTGGTTATCGGGGGACTTTTCTTCTTTGCCGTGTAGATTCCATAGAGAGAACTCCACCAGAGGATCAAGGCCTGAGAAAGATAATCCAAACTCCTCCGCATCTTCAAGATCAACGATATAACTGTAAAAGTTAGAACAATTCACTGATTCACTCTAATTTTCAAGTCAGACATACCATTTTTTCAAATATCGATCCCAGATAATATTTTGCCTGCGAGGGTCATGATGATAAAATCCATGGCTGCGAAACTCCCTAGTAATTCTTAGTAAGCTAGATATAGCTAGTCATAGAACAATTTACTACCATAAGGCCTTGATAAAGGCAAGTCGGGCATCATCTCGCTGTTCTGATGTTAAACTGTTGAAGTGGCCAAGATCTTGGCCCGGCACTTTCTCCATAAGGATAAACACGAGATAACCACCTGGAAAACACATTGTAGTATCTTGATCAAACGCGATTGCGTCGATAAGTGTAGGTGTACTTGTGCAGTGGTTTTCTGTTAGCTTTTGGAGATTTTCGATCTCGCGGTAAGCTTCTGAGCTGATATCGTTACTTCCGTCATCCCAAGGGGAGAGCCTAATTCAGTTAGTAACTTCATTCGTTCTTCCACAGTATGGTCCGTACTGTTGCTTGACCTTGACAATAGCTTCCTCCCAATTATCTGAACCATTGATCTGTGTTGCTCTGCAAACACCTGTTAACTCTTCGATAGTTCCTCTGGATTCGTCATGTGTTCGAATCTTTTCTGTAAGGATTTCATCAATCCTCCAACATGTGTTTGTGCCGCGGAAATGGACTTTACAACCAGGCAACCAGTTCAAATGATGGCTTCGAGCGAGTACGGGATCCATGATCATGCTTCAAGACTGACAGCGAGTCTTCAAGGAGGTGCACGAGACCTTTATAGGATTATGTTAAGACTTCTGGAACAGACTGATGCTAGTCAGATTGAAAGGACATTTGGCAGATGTAGTCCACCGTATTCTCGGCGGAAATGCAGCTTCCTATGCGAGCACGTGGCATGGATTAGGTGTAGTGCTTTCAAAGGCCAACATTACAATGATTCTCGAAACAACTATTCCTTGTAGTCACTACAAGCCATAGTTTGGGGAAGACTGTGTCTTAATAGCCCAAATTCTGCTTCAGATCATCAGTGAGTTCTAGCTGGCTAGGCTCAAGTGTAAGGGAAAACTTTCAGCCGCCTTAGCAGTTTGTGTGGTTTTGATGGGGTGCGGTAGTTCGTGCGAAGGTTGGCATAATGGCCTGAGACAGAAGGCGGTAAGGCTGCAAAAATGTACCCATGGAAAATAAGATGTACGTGGTTGTTTGTTCCGGGCTTGGGTATCAGCCAGTCTCACGTGACACTTGATTAGGCTGACAACAACCCTGCTGACCCCTCATTAACAAGGCGCCCTTTCCATTTAGTACAGACTTTCGAACTTCGTGAAAGAGAGTCACATCGGCTATCAACAATAATGGCGCAAGATGACTCAAATCCGAGTGTATTCAAAGAGCTTCCAGATCAAGCAAAGGCAACTGTCGAGAGAATCAAAAAGATTATTGGTGAAGACACTACAAAGAAGGAAGGCAAGGCTAGCAGTGGTTGGGGATTCTCTAGTGAGGAGCTCAGCCAGGAAATTCAGAGACTATCAGCCGAGCTAAGTATCAATGGATTCAAAGTAAGTCTGACTTTTGGGGAACAAATCAGCGGGCTACCTACTGACAAACCTGGCGCGTGTTGCAGGCATACAACTGCAAAGTTCTCCACCTTGTGCACGGCGGAATTATCCAGAATGGAACAGGCCATCAGATCATAATCCCGTTGAACGGAAAAGCGAGCTTTCTACACGACAAACCTCTCTTACCATGCCACTACACCACTCAAAAAGAAACTATCTTGGGCGACAATATCGATCTTATAATAATGTCGCTGAAAAACATTTGAGACTTGTGGGAAGAAGCATGTTCTGAACTTTCACATCGGGTATAAGTCTGAAGAATGATTATGAAGGCTATCGCTTGCCAAAAGGCTGAGAAGCCCTTATCGCGATTCATTTTCCATTGAATACTGTAGATCCAGTATCGACTCACTCACAGCAGTAGCTAACTGGGGTGAAGGAAGATTAAGGCCTTGTGGGGTCAAGTGCGCGGCTGGTGAATCAAAAAATTGCATCCACTCAGGAATATTGACATCAACAGAAACAGACGTTTCCATAAGCTGCACAGGCTCAGGTATATCTGCCACTATATCAGAAAGAGCATTGGGGTCAGGGGGTGAAGTTTCGGGTTCGCATAAGAGGACTGATAGCGGGATATCATGTATCCAGTCAGGATCATTAATATCGACATCCACTAAAACTGACGTTCCTGTTTCCAGGGGCGGGAAAGACGCAGAACTCGAGGCATCGATGGCTGACAGAGAAACGGGATATCTTGATGCAAGATCATTGGAATCAGCAGATCGTGCTATGTTCTCGATAGTCGGACAAGCCATCACGTCAAGGTTTCCTGCAGATTTGTGTCGTTTATTCTCTCCTTGAGAAATTCCTTCCGGTATCCGACATCTTTTGCGACTGCGCTCCCTGCTTTTTCCGTCGGTTTCTGAGATTATCTGTCCAACTTCGACTGATGAACTATTAAGCGACGTATTAATTCCCGTAAAGGATACATCTGCTTCTGAAAGATGCTCGGAAGACCCGGCAACAATCACATGGTCGACAGACGAGATAGCTATATCTTCATCAGCCTCGACATGGTTACTGAGATGATCAGCAACCTCGACTGGTTGAGAAGGATCCCTTCTGATGATCTCGGCTTTGTAGTCTTTCCGGCGGTCAATAATCCATTGATGTGTGTTTTGAGCCAACAGTCTCCAATAATCAGTCATAACAAGCTCGTGCGCAAGTGCTGGAATATCTTTCAGACGGCAGCGGTCCATGAGACTCCAAGCAAAGAATGTTGGCCAGACAAACGCGAGAGGTGTGCATTTGCGAATTGCCGTCTCAAGCTCGAGTTGCTGATTATCAAGACATTCCCGAATCCGCCATTCGAGATACTTCAGCTTCATTCCGCATCGAATACAACTCCGCGCTTGATTTTGATTGCTGAAACGCTTGCAAGATCGTATGTACTCTAAGTACTCAGGTCCTTGCCTTCTTGCGCCTTCGACTATGCTGCGTAACTTTGAGGGAAGATCTTCTTTATCTGCCCAGTCCTCGAAATCGTCTGCAAGAGAAAGTGCACCGAGCCCAGCTCGAAAGAAGTCATCTTGGGTTCGCTTTCCATTCACTGTCATAATGTCAATCACACGAGGGTCTTCTATTGATAAAATGGTCGGCAAGGGGACTTTTTCAGTCGTTTTCGCGAATTCCACGGTGCTTTCATAATTGAGGTATGACAAGACCCGTGTTACCGTATCAGGTACTTTCTTGACTGGTGAAGTAGGTGCAGCTTGTTCTGATAATCTTTGCGAGAAGACAGAAGAATGAAGGAGTGAGTGTAATATCTGAAAAGCTGATTCAATCTCGTCCTTGTGGTTGATCAATGTATTCTTATCGACTTTGTGTATATTTTTAATTGCGGACAGGGCTCCCAGAATCTCCTGGAGGGACTCCATTGTAGACGATATGAGCTGCAAGATAGAGAGGAGGAGAAAACTTGAGTTGAAAACCCATAAAATGTGATCAAGGGGTCTGAAGACAGACACTTAGCTTCTTGCTCTTACACATCTAGCTAATTGTATACAATTAGCTAGACAGGGATCTTGCCGCCGGTGGCGCTGGCTGTGCTTGTTTGGGGCTGTATACGACCAAAATGACAATGGGAACATTACATTCTGAAAACCTTTGATGAGTGAATGCAGATATTAACTTGTTTAAAAAGAGTAAGTCTTTTGAAGTCTTCAATTGGCACATTGGAAGACGAAAAGGTATGATTGCAGTCCATCCTCAAAGAACAAAACTAACTGCTTTATGACATTTAGGAGATAAGAATGTCCTCAAAAATTCTGAATTTCTTTAAGAAGATCTTTCATGTAAAAAAAGATGACAACCGCCTATCCATCATGTGTTCCTCAATGGTGAATGTCATCCAAGACCCACTGCTTGTTAGGAAGCCTGGTACAAGTGACACTTTTGGACCGGAGAATTTCAGTCATCTGTGCTCCATTACAGCATACCATGGAATCAGGTATAGGGAGGCAGATGAACCATTCTTGCTGATAGTGGGCGACTATGGTGCCACGATCGGACTCAAATCTACGCTTTGGCCACGCTCATTCTTCAATACCTGCGCCTTGCCTCGAAGCCTGCTGACTCAACTGGTTCCCAACGATGAGCAAGAATACCTGGAGGTAAAGTATGGCTTTAATTGGTCTAGTGTGTCAGTCGAGGCGAGGCTTATTTCAGTGCCTACGTGTAAGGCACACTGGACTATGACGCTCGCTGAAAATAGGAAGAGCGTCAATATCTCTCCCGAAAATCAGGAACTTCGATTCTATGACGACTTTTCAAATATGAAGATTCACGCTCTGGTAACCTTTGAGGCTAAAGGATACTCTGTACAACACTTATCTGCAAATGTGTGGTTTCCGGATCATTTGAAGCAAAATGACACTTGCCGTTGCGTTGATTGGATGTGAGTTACTCTTATTAATTGAAATATGCTCTTATTAACAAATGATAGCTACCTCAATTTTTGGAACTTCGAGAGGAATGGCTTTCTTGACCTCAGTAAAGGGTGTGGCGACGATCTTTTCACCTTCTTACAGCAGAAACGTTATGAGGCAATTATCTCTGCTGCAAGCTAGCATATTTGATGTTGATTTGAGCTCTATCACATATAAAGCTGTCTTGTCCTGCTTTTTGAGATTTCGTGATTCAATTCTGTGGATATAATTGCTCCTATGGCTGCATCCTCGGGGTTGCAAAAGAGTGAATTCAATAGCATTGAACTTATAAGATTCAATAAGCAACTACGATCAATCACCGTTATTCGGAAACAGGAGAATGATCACATTGGTTTATCTTGGCTTTTATTCATTCACCTGGAGGACTGTACCTTATCTGCCTGTCCGGAGATTACACTAAAAGGCTCGTCTATCAATTGGAAGGTAGAAGAGTCTTTTGACCTGAATAATTATCAAAGTGTAGCATTCTATGCTACAGGGTACTGCCCACCTTTTGCCGATGTTAGCGCCGCTCTCTATTCGCAGAAACATATTGAGGAGCCAGAGTCAGATGATTTTATTCCTTGGGTGTAAGTATCTATTAAATAGTATTACGCACAGTACCAGCTAATATTACCAGCTCCAAATTGGTCAGCTTTCTAATAGCACGGGGATGGGTTTCTGGTGACCTGAATCAATTGAAGTCGCTATGGGAACGCGAGACATAGCATCTTCTCAACATGACCGAGGTTTCTTGGACAGGGATTCTTGAGAGTAAATGGAGGCAGACCGGGCTCTCTTATGTACACGGGTGTACTGATTGTTTAATCCTGGTATTGCCTGGAGTTCTTCTTCCGAAATCCATGCAAGTCTGTAAACCAGAAATTCCTTCATACCATTTACTCCTTCTCTTGAGTGGAATACAGTATGAATGATAGTACCTGTCGAGTGGCGACTAAGATCGGAAGACATAGATCCATAAGGTTCGACAGCCTCAAATGGCTCGACATAGATTTTGTCGGTAGCACGAGTATTGCCGCTATGAGGTTCTTCATCAAAATGCGCATCATTCTGGTACGAAGTAGATAGCCCAGGGCCATAGCGCGGTGAGGTCATAGGAATCGTATCGGTACTGGCCGTGTCATTGAACATAGACTCAGGGGGGGAATGATTGTTCGATACTAAATACCATCGAAAATGTTAAATTATGTCTGCCTTGGTCTATTATAGGTAAGTCACCTTTCAGGGGATCCTCTGTAGGAGAAGCCATTTTGTAGATTGTAACAATTTCAAGTAGATAATTGAGATATCAAGAGCCTTGAATCGCGGCTCTATTTATACAGTTCTTAATTAATTTTAATCTGTGATTTCAAGCACAGACGCTACAATCTGGCTAACTGCAGTCTTGCTGTGAGGTCTGCTGAGTTTGAAACGATATATAAATTCTTTGAGTTCCTATTCAGATGCCCACCTTTCGCAAGCGCAGATCTTTGGTCGATAGAATTTTTAAGAAGAGCTTAAAGCCTACTCGCAGGCCTCAGCTTCTTCAAATGCATATAGTGTCAAAATTTCCTAAATGTTAGAATCTCTTCGATTGGATATAAAGACGTCTACTGACCTGAAATAGATGGAAGTTCCAATGAATGAATCACCAGAAAATGCTTTGATTGACTTGAGAAGATCTCAATGCGAACTTATTCGAATTCACCATCGAAGCTTGCGTCGTTCCTCCACAATGGCTAGAATAGATCAACAAAACAAAGAGCCATCTCCTGTGCCTCTTCCTTCATTCAAATCTATAATTTCAGCAACAATGTCGCTTCGTGTCAAGCTGAATTATCTATCAGAAATTACTCGTTCACTTATCAGCCGTGAGCAAAACAGACGTGGTGCGATGATTTCGATTGATGGATATTGCCCTAAGGCTGTGGAGTTTATCACATCCTATCTTAATTACATTTTGGGCAATAACTATATGTCCGATATCTTCAGAGGCCCGGTCACTCCGGTTATCTGTTCTCATTGCACTCAGCAGTTGCAGCGTCTGGGTGACCAGGCTAACGCGTCTTGGAAGCTGACGATAGCCGAAGTCGAGAAACATCTTCAGAAGCAACAAAAGCACCGCTGCAAACCCGTGGCTCTTGTTCCGCATTATCAGCTTACATCAATTGATTTACTCTGCCTAAATTCACCTATTACTCACCGAAATATCTCACCCGAAGACAAGTGGAGACAGCAAGCAGATGCTTGGAAATGCTATGCCAGACCAGATATCATTGTTTACATTGATGATCTGAAGAACGAAGACTATTTCGAGTTGATTCAAGTAGGGGTACAGAATTTGATCATATGTGGCACTGAGCGATCATCAGGCTTTCCAACATGGCATATCAGGCGTCGTATGGTGAAGGTGCTCAAAATCATACTAAACGAAGCCAGATTTTGATTATGGATATGGTATTGGGACTCTGTGTATCAAAATCTTAGAAACCCTAGCTTACGTTCTAAATAGCTCGAAGAATGACTTTGATAGGGCTAAATTCATGATCTTCATCCTTACTTTTGAAAGAGATATAATCAAGCCAAATGTTACATTGTGTATGCGAGCGTTAAAAGGACTCAGAAGTCGAAAATCATCTAAAATCTTTTGATCAGATCAAAAGCATAGCAGAGATAAAGCAGATGGCTTCGGCTTACAAAGATCATGTAATATTTTGTCATATTACCTTATCTGCCCGTAAAATAACCGCCAGGCAAGCAGGCAAGCGGCTCGCCTCTTCCCGCATTCTAATTCACATACATTTTTGAAGTGGTTCTTCAACGTCTTGAAGCCGTAAAAACTGTCCTTGTTAGTTAATATCTCTCGCAAAGTATCTTACACATGAGTATCCTACAGAGCTACGCTCACTACACCGCGTCAGATTCAGTTCTTGAAAGGGAGTCGTGGCCGTGGAGACTAAAGAGGCTTGATTTTGCGGTTATTCGGCTTTAGGGATCGATATAAGGTATCCATACAGCCAATAAGCCCTCGTTGATAGTTCGACCACTTGGTGATACTTGGTGATATATGAAGTATTTGATTGGGAGGTAACTTTCCACCCTTGTGGGCTTTAAAAGTTTTATAAGATGTCCATATGCACGGGGGAAGAAAGGCAGAATGAAACTGTATCGGCTTCACGTAAGTAGCCCACTTACCAAGGAGCGATTGCCTTGTAACAATAGGTCTCTATACAGCCAACGACTGACCACTCTTCTTCTGTGCAAGGCTATGGATTGTCCTCAATGCACTTGAGGCCACAATTTCAGGCTCGTGCTCCCCCGTCAAACTATGAAGACAAAATCACTGGGTTTCTCCCCTCACTTCCTAGCACGGTCACGATATAGTCATACCAGTATGAGCCAAGTCCCACAATCCAATATCTTCCCTTCTCATCTGCAAGGTTTTCCTGCGCTTGCTTCATGATATGTGGACACTCGTCGTATCGACCAATCCGTGATAAGATCTGAGCGATGGAGTACAAAACAACACCATGATTGAAACCCCGATCCCAACCTGATTTTCTCAATAGTTCTGATGCACGCTGCCAACGAGCAAGTGCAGTATCTAATTGACCTTGGAGGTGTGAGATTCTTGCCAGTCCGACCCACACGCGAAAATGCTGCGTAGTCTGGCTGACATCTGGATCAGTAATTCGCTCGACGACTGACAAAAGCTCTGTCAAGCACTGCTCAGCTCTCATAAGCAAGCCACGTCGAATAAAGCTTTCTATGAGGCCGAGCCGTAATTGCCTCCCTGTACTGATGTTATACCATCCATTCTTAAAACTTATTTCAAGGGGTTTCTCGATAATTGTTTCTGCTTCCTTTGGTCTTCCAACCTCGCAGTACAATGCGGTGATATTCGAGATTAGATTCATCTGCCAACCAGTACTTACGTAGTAATCCTCTGCTGAAAATCGACTGAGTATTTGCTCCAAGTATGGCAGCGCCTCTTGAAATCGACCCTGGTTTCGTAATATCCTCCCGATCATCACATCACGACTTTGTAAGACCAGAAGCTCCATCGATGATGGAGCATCTGGATGAATGGGCTGCCAGACATCGAGCTCTTCTTGGGCCCGTTGGAGATCGCCCTCTCTGATAAGAGTCTCTGCAAAAGAGACTACGATATCTCCTTTCGTGGCATTCCATCTCACATCCGAAACCAGAGCCTCGTCAAGCCCCGGCAAAGCTATGCTGTGGATATGGTTTTCGAGAACTGTATATGACTGCTTGAACTTGCCTTGCAAACGAAGAATTTTGCTCTCGACACAGGTAGCCCATCCTTTCAAATAACAATCTTTCTCATTCGACAGAAGAACTTTTATTCTGTCAATGCATTCGTTTTTCCACGGAAAGTAGCGGAATCTTGCAGCAGAAAGGAGCATAATAGTAACAGCCTTCTTGAGAGCAAGGTAGTTATTACAGACGGAAGGGTCTAATTGGTCGAAAATCTTCAATATCCGAGGGATATGGACAAACATCTCTCGTCCAACAGCACCAAAACTATGACTTGTTAGCAGCGAATCTCGGTGATTAAAAGGAGACATACTCATCATCAACATATACACTGAAAGGAAATGCATGAGCGACTAGCAAAATAGCTTGTATCTGCCATTTTACACGCTCTTTCTGAGCAACTCTATGAGTTGCACAGTCCTGAACGAGAGGGTGAACCGATATCGCCTTTCCTTCAGTTCCCGTGGTATTTCTCTGAATCAATGAGAACCCAAGCAGATGCCCAAGTTCTTCATCCAGTTGCATTTCATCCCCGAGGAGAGTGGTCAATTCTTGGTTGAGACCTGTCTCTTTGGGTGTGATATGGGCGATTTCCCCGTCGCGGCCCCACACCTTTTTCATTGAGCATGCTCTGCGGAGCATTGTATCGGTGATATTACCGCCCTCGAGGTATGAGAAAAGTATCAAAAGGCCTGAAGCTCGTGGAGCGTCTCTTTCAAGTTGACGAAAGTTCAGCTCCCAGACAGTCGCCACGGTGTTATCATAACCACTTATTCCAGGACTGATCTTGAGTATTTCGTACTGCTTTTCTTGAAAGAGGCGCTGATAGTCTCTCAGCGACTTCTGTCGTCTCCGGATAAAAGCACCAGCTTGATCGATTGCCAGCGGAAGGTATCCCAGCTTTCTTACAATAGCATTAGCCTGGTCGAGATTATCCTGCGTCATATCACTGATAGCAGCTTTTTCAAGGAGTAAACCTATGGCAGCATGCTCATCCAGGGGTTCCACGGCTTGACCTGCAGGAGCAAGGACACCGACGGCTACTGGATCGCGACTTGTGATGATAATGTGACCCCAAGAACAGACCGGAAAATACTTTGAGAGTGAGACAGAGTCCAGGTCATCTGCGCCGTCGAAGATCATGAGCCAATGAGTATTTCTGGGTCTGGCGAACCACTTTCTCAAGAATTCTATCTTGTCAGGTGTATTACCCAGGTGCAGCAAATCACAGATACGCTGGAAATCGGCCATCAACGTAGTGTTTGAAGTGGCATTGAAAAATACCACACCATCTTTATATCTAAAACGATTACGCAGAGCGTACTGCAATGCGCTGTGTGTTTTACCAGTTCCGCCTGCTCCGAGTTAGAAAAATTAGACCTCTAAATAATGCAAGTGTGAAATACCGAGGCCAGTCAGTGCATATATCAACTGTCTATCCGAACTAGACTGACTGAAATACTTGTCCATATTGTCTAGAAGTTGTTGTCTTCCTCGGAATGAAGTACACCTATCGAACGGCACATCAAATACAAGTTCTGTGTCCATATCAAGTTTCGAAACTATTAGACTGGTTAGTAATGCGCGGCAATCTGTCGAAGAACTTGAGACTGACATTGTTCTTCTCGCGAGCAACTAGCGGGACTAGTAAGTGCTCTTGTGATATCTTGTTTAAACTTGAGTAAGCGAGTAACTACCGGTCTATAGTTTCGGTCCTTCACAGATGAGAATCGTGCAATATTTCGATGATCAGCGAATTGACCTATCGGGATCTCATTTGGGATGTTGAGGATTGCCGACCGCTGCTCAACGACCTAAAATGGACTGTCAGACCTTTTATCTAATTCAACTTATATTGGCATACCAGTCTTTTGAAAATCCCAATGCTTGTCATTTCCATCTCGAAGAATGATACAATTTGTAACTTCCCTGCTTTCTCCACGAAGTCTTCTGTGATTTCAAATAGCACTTTGGAATCTTTGCGAAGCAAGCTCAGCAGTCCGCGAGCCGGCCGGAAAGGGGAACAAGCATGGATGATATTCGCTATGACCTTTCCTGTATCGGCAACACCACTGCCACTATGAGGGGTTGCTACGTCATTAGCATGATTGAAACTAAATGGCAGGTGTTGCAATATACCTAGAAAAATGACCCCGTAGGCGGCATCTTGTACATGTTGCTGCTCCCTTGGGCACCGTATGAGAAGGGCCTAGGAGCAGAATTAGCCAAGTTTATTGAGGTTTGAACAGTTTCGTACCTTCTTCACAACAATTCCACCAAGGCTATGACAAATATAGACAATAGGTCTCTTGCATTCCTGTTTGAGTGTAAGCAAACGCTAGCGTGTCTCAGCTGAATTCAAACCTTTTCCGTCTTTCTCAAATCGACCAGTTCGGACAGAAGTTTCATGGATATGTTTCTAAGATCCTGGTGTCCGGTAAAATTGTTGAACCGTGCATTGTATCCGTATGTCATGATACGGATGTTTGGCAACTCCTGTGGCAATAGATCACGAAGCCACATGACTCCACTCTGCTTGTGGGTCCAAGTCTCTATTGCATCTCCGTTAAGCCCGTGAACCGCGATGAGGCTGGATTTGGATGAGTAGAACGATTTATAAAGGAGACTTGCTTAGTCCTTACTCATATGTAATATCGTCCGAGCTAGGCGGTTGGTAGAGGACTGTTAGTCCGTATTCAGTACTTGTGTTCATTCTAGGCGGTTTGTTTCGAGACGTGCTTGACCATATATTTGGTGAGGCTCTGATGGATAACAGAGAGCTTGATTTCGAAGGGAAGATCTGTCCTTTAAGTACTGACATGACATGCTGCCTCGGAAACTAAAATAGTAACAGGACTACACGCGAGAAAATCTCACCAATAGAGTGAGGAGTGCAAGCGCCTGTGCCTAATGTGACAATGATAACGTAAGACTTCCAATAGGCACCCAGGGTGCACGATAAGACTTTGCGGTTCGGATCGCAGGTGTGGTGGGGCAGGTGAGGGGTAACTTTGTGTGCCTTGGTCATATCGGTTTAGTGTAATTTATCTTACTCCATAGTAAAGCTAGAATCCAGCTATTGGCTATAAAGGCAAGCAATCTCCCGCGCACAGTTGGTGGTTTTTGACCGTTCCCAGTTAAAAAGCCACCTGCTACTATATTTACAAAGATGATTAAGTCTACACCGAATTACATTGTATATTCTACATTCCATTCCAGTCTCTGGTAATATCAACTGATATAGAATTGATTAGGAAGCGATACGAAAATTAAATACGACGCAAACTGGTTTCAAAGTCTTACGAGATCGGATTCAGTCAAAAAAACTCCTCAATGAATCGGCTTTGGATCAAATGCGAAATTGGGTTCAATGTCTAGGCTACTCGGTAGGCATACCTACTCACTGCTCACCGAACATGTCTGATATAGTAGACACAACCTAAATAGATCAGTGATCTTGACAGACTCAATGTAGTCCATGTTGCTGGCACTAAAGGCAAAGGCACTACTTGCGCTTACACAAACTCTATCCTTCAACAACATCGCCTTTCACTTGGGACTCCTCAAAAGATTGGGCTTTATACTTCACCCCATTTGACAACTGTGCGCGAGAGAATTCAGATCAATTCAGAGCCATTATCGGAGGAGAAATTCGCCAAGTACTTCTTTGAAGTCTGGGATGCTCTTGAACTTGAAGATCTCAACTCGGCTATCAGACCATCTTACTTTCGATTCCTGACTCTTATGTCATTTCATGTCTTCATGCAAGAGGATGTTACCACAGCCATTTACGAGGTCGGCGTTGGAGGCGAACTAGATTCTACTAATATTATTGCCAGCCCTGCTGTTACTGGTATTACTACACTCGGTATTGATCACGTTACTATGCTTGGTAATACAATTGACAAGATAGCGTGGCACAAAGCAGGGATCTTTAAGAAAGGATGTCCTGCGTTCACTGTACCTCAGGTATCTGATGCGATGGAGGTTTTAAAGAAACGTGCAACTGAAAAAGGAGCTTCTCTGAGTATAGTTGAGGAATATCAGGCAGTCCATGAGATTGACATTAAACCAGCAGAACCTTTCCAACGGACGAATGCTTTTCTAGCTATCAAATTGGCAGAAACCGTACTGAAAAAGCTTGGAGTTCTCACAAGTTTCAGGGGTGGTGAGCTGTCTACCCTATTTATCCAAGGGCTTGAAGATACTTTATGCCGAGGGAGATGCCAAGAACTAGTCATGGGTCATGAACATTGGTATCTTGATGGTGCGCACACTCAAGAAAGTCTCGAAGTAGCCTGCTCTTGGTTTGGAAGAAGATCGGGTATCAGGTTGGTTTCTCTTCAAGTCACTGTTAGACTGGAGTGCTCACAGAAATCCGGCAGTCTTCCGCGCGTTCTTATATTTAATCAACAATCTTCGAGAGACGCCATTTCGCTTCTCAAAACCGTTCATAATACTCTAGACAAACGTTTTGGTCTCAAACTCACGTGCGCCATTTTCTGCACAAATAGCATGAATAGACTGAAGCCGAGTAATATCGGTGTGTATCATCATCTAGCACCTACAATTCATGCAATGGAGAAACCGAAAAAAATATGCTGTGACTAACTTGTGTGACCTCAAGAATTCATGAATCAAAACGTCGACCCAGATGCGATCCAGAATTTATCTTTGCAAAGAGAATTAGCGCAAACCTGGAAAGAGCTGAACCCCGGAGATAAAGTGATCTGCTTGCCCTCGATAGAAGCTGCTGTTGACCATGCGAGAGCGATTGCCAGAGAAAACCGCGAATTGAAAGAGACCGAGATATTTGTCACAGGAAGTTTCCATCTTGTCGGCGGTCTGCTGTCTATATTGCAAGAAGGTCAAGAGATTTAGGAGCGTGCCTTGTGCGATTGATTGGATTCTTTCGGAAATTTTCAAGGCATAATGAAGCAGACTTGCTTGGTCTGACTTGGCTAGGCTGGTCTTCGTTTCACGGTTCTGAGCAAATAGTTCCCTCCTCTTTACCCGACCCCGGCACCTTCACCTTCTCGTTCAAGCTGTAACTCGTCCATTTTCCTTTTCGCCTTCACTAGGCAAGAGTCTTGCCCGAAATATCCGCAAAAGCTAGAATGACAGCCACATGCTATTATCCCAACCCTCAAAATCTAAAATATAGCCATAAGGCTTAGTTGCAGTCAATTCGTCCTTACGATCACATTTACTTCAAATGTCTTGTTTGGTGAAATGATCAGGCTTATGACTTGACAACGTTCTTATTGACATGGCTAGTCGTCATTATCGTGTAACTTAGGCCATCTCTATGCCAATGGCCGATTCACTTGGCCGCTAGCTGATTAATTGTGAGCGAAAGTGATACTGTGTGGCTCAAGTCTTCATTTTTCATTTTTCTATAACGAGGCATTTTACACGGTTTTGCATTATTGAAATACAATCAATGTGTCTACTGTGCTTGGCTTACGAATATGTATGGATAAGCAATCAGTAAGGCGGTTCTCGGATGTAGCACAAGACAATATAGCGAAAGCAGAGCATCTGGTTTTGCCGCGTGGAATCTCCTTAGCTGCCCCTCACAATCCCGCTTTGCGCATCCGTGTTTCTTGAATAGATCATGTGACTTACGGGGACAGGGGCAGGCACCGCCGATCGAATTTCACCGCCGCGAGCTTCAACACAAATGAGCTCTTAATCTTGTCTCTACGCGAATGACATCTGATCTAAATATCTTGAAAATCGGGTCTTGCTTCAGCTTTGTGCAAGTCTACTTGCAGTCAGTCTCGTGGTCTTTCTGTTATTCGTGCCAGCATCAATGCTGAGGCACATTCAGCCGCCTTGCTCATTCCGTCTTAAGCCACGTTTCCCAACCTCGACTTTTTGCGGACGCGCGACCCTTCTAGCGCCATTGAAGGCACCCAAATCATCATTTACTACAATGTCCTCAAAAAGATTGACAAAGAGGCGGTCTGATCACGATGAATCGATTCACCCCCCAGAGGCACAGCAATCTGCACAGCGCAAACTGGAACTCGATCTTCATAAATTACGTTGCCTAGCCTCATCTCTTCTCGACGGCAATCCCATTTGCGTACACGTGGATAAGCTAAACAGTGAATTCAGTAGAGGGTTCCTGCTTACTATGGATAATGGGTGTAAACTCATTGCAAGGATACCATGCACACGCACAGAACAAGCCTTCCTCGCGTCTGAGGTAGCGACACTCAAATACTGTATGCTTCATATCCTGTTAGACAAACTCTTTGAAGCTGATATCTTCTAGTGCGTCAATATACATCCCTTCCAGTTCCAAATGTCCTCGCCTGGAACTCAGATAAGACAAATGAGATTGGTTCGGAATATTTGATCATAGAGAAGACTCCTGGGGTTGCTCTCAAAGACTTGTGGGGAAATCTAAGTACCCTGGATCGCTACAGCATAATTGAGAAGATTGTTGCTATGGAGACTGAGCTTGCAAATCTGGATTTCCCAGCATTCGGTGCTCTCTACTTGCGGGGTTCGGCATCTGCTCAACCGAAGTATTATCCGCTGGCGTCTGAACGCGACTGTGGTGAATCTTTCTGCGTTGGACCAATATATAAGTTGTCACAAACAGATGACAACACGGAATCGTCTGGAGAGTTAAAGTCTTTCGGGCCTTGTCAGTCTATTTCTCACGTCCACGTTATTCTTTCATATTTGTTATTGGCTATCAACACTGTTCTAACCATCCTTTCAACCCACTGTAGGGTTATCTTTTGAAAATTTCGCCTCGTACTTCGGTCAGCAACAGGTGACTACCCAAACAATTCGCCAGAGTGTCGAAAATAAGTTCCAAGCTATGACTCAAGTTCATTTCGACCCTATCGATGAAACTAGAGCCCTGCTAGAAAAGGCCTCGATTTTGACGCCTATTTTGACCTCGGACAATCGAGTCCAGAGAGTCTCGAAACCAACTTTGTGGCATAGTGGTTTACCTCTTGACGATATCCTGGTTTCGGCGACACAGCCTACAAATATTCTTGGAATTATCGGTTGGCAGTCAGCTAAAATACTTCCTTTATTTCTACAAGCACAGTTCCCCAAATTTCTTGGAACTTCCAGATCTCATAAACTTGGCGATTCTATGCCTAGCCTCTCTGGTTTTGCTGAACTCAGTCCCGAACAGAAGCAAAGCGTACTTCAGAACCAAGACACGGCCGCCCGTACCAGATATTACGAAATGTGCATATTTGACTACAATAACCCAGTTTATGAGGCATTGAATCTTGACCCAAAACTGACTGAACTGTATCGGTACTACGACTTATCCACAGAGGGTGATATACTAGGCCTTTACAGCTACCTAATCTCTGTCTCGGCAGAATGGGATAGTTTGGGATTATCTGGTGATTGCCCATTTCAATTCACCTCGGAGGAGTTAGTGCAGTTTCAGAAGCAGCACGCTCAATTTAGCGATGCTTTGAACACAAAGAGCTCATGAATTATGACCGTTTATTGGTGGTGATGAGAGTCAAAAAGTGGCAGACAAAGATGCCAGGGATATCTGGAAAGAGTTTGTTAGGTATACCACTTCACCAGTATGGCATTTGTTATTTAATAATGATAGGCTATACTCATGACCTTCATCCTTGCTTTAGGAAGAGATGTAATCCAGTTTAATATTATTTTGTGTATGCAGGATATCGAAAGGACTCAAAAGTCGAAAATTATCTGAGAGTACTTGATCCAGTGAGGACCATGGCAAGAGCAAGCAGATGTTTTCGGCTTACGGTAGATCTTGTAGAAAGATAACGCAGTTGACATTGAGCAATGAGGTAAGCCGCATTAGCCACGTAGTGGTCGTCCTTAAGCAAATTCTCGAGGCGGAAAGGTGGTAAGGTGCTGATTTGTATTTCCACGCAGCAGATAGCTAAAGGGTAAAGGGCGCTAACTCTAAGAAGGAACACTATACCACTTCAAGTAATTCGCCGTCACCGCAGACTACGGAGTACTGTCGCAAAAACGTCCGTGCAATCACACGCGCGCGCGATAACGATAAGAATAAGACAGCGCCCCACCTCACCTCCAATCTCCGCGATAAACCCGCCGATCAACCTGCTAAGCACCCTCCCTACCTACCCCTCTTCCCTCTTCCCAAGCTCTCTGCATAAGCACCATCAACACAAACAAAAATGCCACTGCCACCCACCACCCAACCCACAAAAATAATAGCCCTCTCCGGCCCCTCCAGCAGCGGCAAAACCACCCTCGCCCGCCTCCTGCACCGCATCTTCACCCTCCCTTCCGATGACCCGAAAATCCACTCCCTCCTCATCCACGAAGATGACTTCTACCACCCGGACGATAAGTGCGTGGTCAGCCCCCACCCCCCAAAATCTCCCCCCACAGGCTAACCCTTGAACCCTATGGGGTCCCCCCCCCCAAAAAGAATCCCTCAAACAACCCTCCCAACCGGCACCGTCCTCCAAAACTGGGACACGGCCGGCGCCCTCGACCTCGCCTTCCTGGCGGCTTCGCTGAGCTACGTCCGGACGCACGGGCGGCTGCCGCCCCGGCTGCGGTCGAAGGAGGATCAGAATGATAGCCAGCCGGTGGATTCTCCAGGCACAGGCACAGGCACAGGCACAGGAGCCGGGGTGGTGGCGGAGGGGGTGGTGGAGGAGTTGCAGAGACGGGTGCGGCAGCGGCTTGTCCGGCTACAAGCCGGGGCGAGGACGGTCGCGTTCGTGGAAGGGTTTTTGCTCTTCGCGCCACCGGCAGCGCCAGCTGGCCTAACTCCGACGATGGCGGCGGCGCAGCACCCGCTGCGGGAGGTCCATGAGCGGATGGATGGACGTTTGTTTTTGCCGGCGGCGTATGATAAGGTCAAGGAGCGGCGGGAGAGGAGGTCGGGGTATGTGACTATCGGGGCGGCGCCGGTGCCGGTGGCTTCTTCTTCGGAGGGGCAACAGAGTGGCGGGGACTCGGCGAAAGACGACAGGATCGACCTGGAGGCGGAGGATGATCGGCCGCCGCAGAATTTCTGGACTGACCCCCCCGGCTATGTCGATGATATCGTGTGGCCCAATTATGTCAAGGACCATGCGTGGTTGTTGCTACCGGAGGAGGAGACGGAGGACGAGGACCGCTTGCTCAAGGAGTCGGATCCCCAGGTGCTGGTCAGGCTCGTGGGTCAGGGAACTCGCGTGCGAGAACATGCCGGGGTCACGGTGGCTCCGGGCCGTGGGGATAAACCCATCACGGAGCTCTTGACTTGGGCGGTCGAGGAAGTGTTGAAGCACCTAGAGGAAACGGTTTAGACCACAAGCAGAGCCCATGACCAGACCATTGTAAATATTCTACCTAGACTAGACTAGAGACCTAATTGGTATCTGCTTGATACAGGTTCTGCTTCTCTCAATCTCAGCACAAATCCCTCACACTTGGTCACCATTGGGAACAATCGGCCCACGCCAACCCAGCCAGTAATCCACCTGGTCCCGGAATGAGCGGGTTTGGTGTGGATGGTGTGGCTGCTGCTTCTCTCCGACGTCGTCTGCTCCACTTCCCAGCTCCTCCAATTCGACCTCTGCAGCAACAGGCTCCTGCTCAGTCGGCTCCTCCGACAAATTGCCATCCCCTTCGACTGACTCAGTATTGTTCAGCTGGAACATCTGCTGAGAGTGGTTCTCATTTGCCCCCACAGAGCTCACCTCGCTAGTCAAATCAATGCCCGTTTCATTCATGATGGCAGGTGGTTGCGAAGAGCCTCGGAATGAACGACTGAGAGCGTTGGCGTATGTGTTGTCAGAGGCAAAAATGCCACCCACAGCAACCCCCAGGCAAAACACCACAACAAGGCCCTTCGTTGCAAGACTCGCGTGCTTTCCATTCTGACCAGCTATCGCATCTTCGCCACGTTGTATTATCTCCTCACCATCCACATCACTAGCTGCACCACGGGCTTCTTCACCGACGCCCATGACTTCTCCTGTCGTCATTCGGGAGGCCCCTTCGCCAATGTTCGCTACATCTTCCGTTTTCCCCACTGGAGAAGCATCTGCAGTGCCAGACTCTTCAAACTGCGATAAATGCCCCAGCGGCTGCTCCTGTGTCTGCAAGCCAGCCTCGGAATCTTCAGGCGTCATCTTACTGGGAGACTCTCCAGGATGGTGATTCGCTGCACTTTTAGCAGGGGATTCATCGCCTTGGAGGTGAGTGTATCTGAGATAATGCTTAGCACGATCATTCGAACCAGATGGTCCAGGGTAGACTCTAGGAAGCCAGCTGCTTGCTTTCTTGTTGTCGTTGTGGGAGAGCTTGACCGTCCAGCTTATACAGAGCATCTCGTAGTTCTTCGGGTTGCAAATGATTTGTAGGGTTGAGGTACCCAAAGGCGTGTCATGTTCCGGTGCGATCTGAACTACCTGTAGCCCTGTCTTTCGAGTGTCAAGTTCGGTTCGAAAGAAGCCTTCTGGCCCACCATCTATCGATAGTAGAACACAGCATCTCTCAGCACAGAAGCAACGATTGTGGAGCTTCACCGAGCAGAATGCCTGGTATCGAATGCAAATAGCATTCTGCTGGTCTTTAGTGCCCTCTGCGGTGCCAGAGCAAGGCATAATCTCCGCTTTGATCTCTTGGTCCACAGTGAAACCTTTGATAATCCCGTAGAAGTTCTGATTACACCGGCGAAGAGGTATCATCAGGTCTCCACAATAGACCAACTCGGCCAGAAAGCAATTCTCCACCATCTTATATCGTCCCAGGTCCGTGACTCGAAATTCAAGACCGTGGTCTGCCGGAATCTGAAAGAGCAGAACCCCTATTTCCCCATTTTTCAGCCTAGGCAACCCCGGAATAATCAGATAGCTCCAGCCACTTGGCGTCCCTTTCTGAAGTTTGACGGTCAAGGTGAGAACCATCTTGTATGGCACCGGTGTTATGTTGGGAGGGCTTTTGACAAACAAAATATCATTGATGAGAGTCAGTTCCGGGTCACCAAATACCTCCGGCTGGGGTAATTTGGGTTGTTTTTCAGAGTCAATGGTTGGATGCTCCGGGATGGTAGGCTCTGGGGATCCAGGCTTGACAGAGGTCGAGCTTGTGACGGGACTTTGGGCTTCTGTGGTCACCCCATCGTGTTCAGAACTTGTGAGTGGAAGGCGAGATTCTTTGGGGGTTTCGTCACTGTGCAAAGATTCGTGCATCGATTCAATGTCCGCAGCTCCGTCTGTGCTACCGAACAGTGACCGTTGCTTATCTTTGAGGGGAGTAGTTGGAGCTGCTTGACTACATATATGCTCTGGAACTGTTTCCATGGGTGGAAGGTGGCTATCGACACGGACTTTCTGATGCCTCCAGGACTCGTGCTCCCAAAGGGACTTTTCTAGAACTTCGATGTCTCTTGCTGTGAATATCGAGTGATTACTAGAGTCTGGTTGCTTATCCGTAGGCAGAGCGTTATTGACAGCTGCTTCTTCGATGTCTTTTGCCGGCGAGATCGAGTCATTGCTAGAGTCCGGTTGCTTGTCCGTAGGCAGAGCATTGCTGACAACTGCTTCTTCAAGATCTTCTACCGGGAAGATTGAGCCATTACCAGAGTCCAGTTTGTTATCCGTAGGCAACACGGTATTTTCAGCTACTTCCTCGCGATCAATAAGAGTGGCCGTGGTGTTTGAAAGGTCATTCTCCGCAACCTCGATGTAGCTCGAAGCACACAGGCCAGCATCGGATGATGTATCTGAGAGCACCGGTTCGACTGGCTTCTCAATCTTTGGTGTGGATCTAGAGCTTCGACTCGAATGAGTGGAGCAATAGCTTGTGGAGAGCTTGCCTCTCGACCTCTGCATCTTTTCGGCAAGCGGACTTCTCGCCAGGCTTTTGTGTCTGCGAGCAAGACCGGTAGAAGCAACACTGTGCGAGGTGTCCCCGCGTCCCACTGCCTTGTCATTCGGATTTTCACTCTCCGTGTCTGATGCCGAACTCGGGAGACACGCATCCGCAGCGCTTCGCTTCCCCAGGTTCTGGCCGCTGTTCCGGTCCTCAGATCGAGCGAGGTTTAGACGTATGGGCGGCGATTCGAGTGGGGGAGTGATACGAGATGCATGTCGTGGGCGTGCTTCTTGAAAGCTCGTGGTCCTCAGACGTGTAACTCGGAGTCTTTCTAAACGTGGGCTGTCTGCACCAAAACAAGATCTGGACCCCCAAACCTGATCGTTGCTAGGTGACCCAACGTCCTTTGGAGCGCCGACGTCGCTGACCTCATGCCCCGCGTTGAATACAGACGATTTTCCCGAGTCAAGCTTAGTTTCCTCTCCATTATCTTCATTCTCAGTCACCGATGATGAGAAAGCAAATAGGGGACTGGGAGGACGATATTCATATCTTGACTGATCGCTCGAACCGAAATGACGGGAATGGACGCGGTTTACAGAAGTGCTGATGAGGGAGATGCCCGAGTGCTTGGTGCTCAGAAGCTGAACCTGCGTGTTGGGAAGACACTGGACCTGTGTGCTCATATATCCGGTTGCTTGAATCAGCGGCAGACCCTTCAAGGCCCCGAGCACGCTCAAAGAATGAGGTGGGTGAAATTGCTTACCTCCAGCGAGATTCTTACGGCGACTGGATCATCGAAATTGCCCGACCATGTATTTCGTATTTCCAGGTTAGAAATCTCAGGCGGACTTGGACGTGATCCGACTAGTGCTTTTTCCAGATGTCCCGCCATGCTGTCCGAACCGGAAGCCGTGGTGAGCAGCAGGGCTTTGTCGAGGGGAAAGTCACAAGAGGGTGGGACGAAGGAGGAAGACGATCTTCAGTGAAAGATAGAAAGAGGGAACGAAAAGGGAAGGGAAAGGGGAGGAAAGAACACAAATGGTCGAGGCGATGCCCGGTGACCGAGGATGAATGCAGTGAGTGAGTGAGTCCAAGTTAAGGAAGTTGACGGTTTGAATGAATTGTAATCCTGCCAGAAACGGCAACCCCAACACAAACCGTGGACCCCAGATTACCTCCTAACCAGCTTCTAATTACTTCGTATGCAAAGACGTCTGATTACTGACAGTACCAAACCGCCTAACTTCCATTTCATGAGCAAGGAGCGAGCAGCAAAGCAAGAAGGCCGGCTGCCCACCGCAGGCCATAATACTCCAGGTCTCAAAAATAATAATATATACAGCGAAGTCAGTAATACCCTCCTTCGTAACCGTCATCCTGGAAACAAGAGAAGCAAAAAGCAAGAGACGTAGCAATAAAATCCCTGGTGACCCATTTTAAATCCCCAGGCGCCATGTATCCCCAAGTGCCGCCGATTTCAGTCCCATAAAGTAACACCGACCGAACTGTCTATCCAAGTAACCCATAGCAAACAATGAACAGCAAGAAACCAAAAGCAAAAGAGAAGAAAGAAACCGTCAATATCAGAACACATACATCTGGGCGTTAATTCGCTTATCGGGGGGTGCCATTCGCCGAACCAGGGTGGTCGAAAGGGGCCTGGCCAGGCGCGGAACCGTATCGCTCCGCCTCGTTCGTACCCATAGGCTGAGATGGTAGGATCGGTGTAGCCGCTTGAGACGATTGATCAAAGTAACCTCGGGCCGTCGCACCGTTCGCCCCCTGAGGAAAGTTGCGGTTTCGTTGCAGAGGAGGGAGAATCGTTGAGCTGGTCTGATATTGCTGGGATCGAGGATAACCTTGAGACATCATCGCCCCTGTTGCATCCGCTGTCTATCGAAAAATGGTTTGTTCTTAGTCTATCGTCGTGAATAGATGAACGATGGGAATAAGAAGTCCGTACCGGAGTGCCAGGCTGATTTACCATCCCAAGAGACTGCATCGTCGCCTGTTGACTCGATCGACCGTGAACACTTGGATCCTGCATCTGGGGTACCTGAGCGGAAGCCGGAATTCCGTAACTCATCTGTTCCGGAGTCAGCTTTAGCAAGAATTAGCTACGGTCTTTCAAAGGACACTCGGGTAGCGTTGTTGAGAGCGACTAAGTGACCGCCAAAAGAAGAGACAGGCCGACATACCGTATAGTCCGGAACTCCCGTGTGCCCCGTCGGATAACCCTGCATCATAGAAGCCGGATAGCCACCCGCTTGATTGTATATTGCAGTCTGAGGGTAAGCATCCATCTGGCGAAGTCGGCCATCTGCATCATAGACACCTCTGGTGCCCATGTCAATCGATGACATCCGTGCTCGCTTGGTTGGATGCGCCGCTCCGTAGTACGACGCATAGTCTCTGCCTGCTGCTTGAGGGTACCCGCTGAATGCGTTACTCGACATCTGAATTGACGAGCGATCTGGCGATCGTGGAAGCGGCTGAGGATAGTCCTCCGGTCGTGGGGGTGGCCGTTTTCTGTGTCCCAAGTCAGCCATGCCGCTAGCGCCACCCCAGCCCATACTGTGAACTCCGTGGTCTACCTACATCAGCGTCCGCGGTTCTTTTCTAATCCTCAATTTTACTCCTTGGTCTGCAAACGATCGAGACAGAAAGGTCGATTCTCCCATTCCAGGGAAGCTCTTTGGAGGGTAAACTGCATCCAATAAGCATTTGATCTCGGGCTGTGCAACGGTCCAATAATGAAGCATACTCACCAGTGAAGCGGTCCGTGATGATGGATTTCAGGTAGGTTACATCGTCCCTGTAGACGAATGTCAGCACAAGCTCTCAACGTCCATCCTTTCCTTTCTCGTTCTCCATATGGAGGCCCACAAAGGCCCCCGAAATTCCCACCCCGGCCACTTGGAGAGCCTTACTTGCGCATTTCGAAAAGAGTGAATTTGAGTCGAAAGTCGCCCTCGATCTTCACGGACAAGTCTCCCCAAACGAAGAACCCTCCATCTAGATAACAGCGCGTCAGTACACGGCGCATGTCTGCCAACACTCCCGGGCCTCCCTTACCGCTGTTGTCCACATCCTTCAACCGGTGAAGCGAGGAGACCAGTGTACCAGTTAGTGCGGTGGATGGTGCCACGGGAACAGGATTGTCTTCGGAAGCATCGTAGAGGCTGCAGCACATAAAATAATAGGGACTCTGGAGATAGTGTCTACTCGCGCCTATTAGCAATGTGAAAGCCGAGGGCACGAGGGCTCGAGGTTGCGGTCACATACTGCGCGAGATAAGTCCCCTCCTCTCTCACACGAATCTGCACGATTGGAGGCGGATCAACTGGCTTGCGTTCTGTCCAGGCAAGGCGATCCTCAAGTCAACGGCTGCTCGTCCATGGGACCAAGTTTCCTGGCTGCGACGTACCTTTCTCCTTCCCACCAGCCACGCGCGCCCGGGTGGGCTGCTGGCGAACGATCAAGTCGAAGTCCGCGCTGGAGGTGAGCATCGTCAGCGAGAAGCCCTGGATCACAGAGTAAGAGTTGAGCAGCCAGCTTTGAGACGACCAAGAGCTGGGGGAGCGACGGCACAAACCTCTGAGAATCGCGGGCCAGGGAAGCGTCCGAAAACGTCGACGCACTCATCAAGGCGAGATATGGGGGAGATAGCACAGATAGCACCAAATTGAAAGGGAGCCAAGGGATCCAAGTCGGAGATCCGTCAGGAAACGAGCAGTGAACCACGTCTGAATAACAGCAGGATACCCAGGGGAATAGCTTGATATGATGGATGAAGAGAGACAGAAGGTGAACCGGTGGTTTTACAAGGAAGAAAAAACGGACAGGCCGGGGGCTTCCACTCTGGAACCTGGCTGCGGAACAAGGTGTGGTTCGGAAAAGCACCAGAATGAAATGAATGATACCTACCCTCGTCACTTTTGCAGGTGATGGATGGGTGGTGGGTGGGGGGTGGGTAAGAGAGTGGTCTGAGGAGGGGAATTGAAGTTGGTTAAAGGATGGGACAGCACAGTGTATGACCGATAGAATGGGAAGGTGGGATAGTGAGAATTGTAGTCAGTAAGTTAGTAAGGGTAAGGCCAGGTGAGTTTAGGCCCGTTGCAGCTGAACAAGAGCTGTTCTTGACCTCTTGGACCCAAGTACCGGAGTGGAGACAGGGTGGGAATTGCTGGTAGTTCAGCTGCCAGTTGCGGGATTGGTAACAGCTTTCGGGGAGGGGGAGGGTCGTTCTTGAGGTAGTGATAATTAGTGGTAGCGTAGTAAACTTTAGAGCTTCGATGAATTTGGGGTTGGGCGTTGTGGTGATGAATGGATTGATAGGTAGTAAAGAATGGTAGGGACCGTTTGAAAACAGACGGCTTCGGTGGTAGCGGTAGCAGTAATAGTAGTGTGCGTTTTTTTTTTTTTTTTTTTTTTTTTTTTTTTTTTTTTTTTTTTTTTTTCTTTTGGCGAGTGAGTGAGTGAGTGGTTGAGTGAGCGGGCTCGACCTTTGGTTAAGGTGGAAAGGTGGAAGAGTGGATGACTTTGACTTGGGTCTTTGGTGGTTTTGGTGGTTACGAAAACGGCGCCGAGGGAAGGAAAAAGATGGATGGTGTCGTCAGAATGCAAGCGGCAAGAGCCAGCCGAGCACGGTTCCAGACAAACCTTAACTGCCCAAGAAGAAAAAGAAGCAGCAGAAGAATGCACCAAAGCTGCAGCAGAACCTGTAGTTGTACTGTACCTTAACCAGCAGTAGTAGCAGCAAGCAGCAGTAGCAGCAGCAGCTAAGTCAGCCCTGGCGATCTTCGTGTCTCTCTTTCTCTCTCACACTCTCAGCCTTTGTGAACAATCACTGGCAGACGGACAGGATGGCTGAGTAGTTGGATGGCTGGATTGTTTGCACTGTTGGTCTGACCGATCGATCTTTTAACTTCTTCCGCTTCTTCTTGTTCCGGTTGATGATGTCGATATTCAATTGTTCTGGAGTTGACTTCCGGACCTTTTTTTCGATGGGGTTTCTCCTTCTCCCTTCTCCTTCCTTTTGATTTCTTGTCTTCTCTTTTCTTTTTCCTTTTGTCTTTTTTCTCTTTCAAATCCGATTTTCAAATTCGGACCGACAGAGTAATTTCTTCACCAATGACGAAATATCGATTATCGATTTCCGTCTTAAATCTGCTCCCAATCTCTGTGTCTCTGTCACGAAATTCTGCCCGAAATCAAATCGGAGCTTTGCGACCGAGCAATATCTGGTTCATCCAATCCACACCAGGTCTAGATGGTTTCCCAAATCAAATAATAATAAGGGAATATGTTGGTGTGATTAATAGAAAATCCGATCAACCCGATCCAGAAACCACCACACACAGACAGCCGACACACAGACAAACCCACGCTCGGTCAAAGACGAACACAACGCTAATCACTGGGGCCCCCCCGCACGTCTTTCTGAAATTTTTTGGCCAAAGTCAAAAATAGATCGAAATGAAGCAATAGGAAGCGAGAACAGCGACCTTGACAAGAGGAAGGAGTAAGTGTGGCGGGATTGAAACGCCGCCTAGTGATCAGACTGTAGCTGAACGATGGGTCAGCCCGAGTCGCCTCCGACTGTCTTCTGACGCACAAACAAACTGCTTCTTTCCTAGAAAAAAAACCAAACAATAAAAAAATGCGGGTAAGTGTGTCAGGAAATTAGATGGGTAAGAAAAAGGTGAGCCTAGGGTAGAGATTTACTGGGACGACCAAAGAAAAAAAATAAAAGGGAAGAGGGAAACGTTCGGCGCCAGCTGAGCCAGACAATCGGCCCAGTGGAGCAGTTCCAGACAAATGAGCAACAACCGACCACTCTGCGGTCGTCGAATAATGGGATCGTTCCCAGTCGTTAGATAGACGACCACGGTTAGGAAAGCGGGCTAAGGTGCGTATCAGTCTTGACGATCCGACAGGAACCGCAGCGACATAGGGATGATGCGCACATTGGCAGGTTCCGACGCAAGTGTGCTGCAGGAGGGGCGCAGCCCCAAAGTCAGATCAAACAGACGCCAAAAGTCAACCTCGTCTAGGCCAGACGGACTGACGACGGACTGATCGAGCTAAGCTTGAAATCCACCGCGTCTGCGGCACACGACCATTCGCTTCCCCGAGCTCGAACCCCAGCCCACAGGCGCAACGGTTTGGCCCTCGTGCACGCGGAGATGGAGCCGGTTATGCAGGTGATGGAGGACCCGTATCTAGGCGCCACACGCAGGGTCTTCGACTTCTAGAATTGGCGCCAACAAACTGTTCGATGCTGGTCGGTGCGCGCGTTTAAGCATTCCAGTCCGCGGACCAGTCCCCATGTAACTGTCTGTATTGATTGGATCGTTATCGCCGTAATCGATAGCGGAGAAAGGAGGTCATCTGTAGATAGCAAAGAACCACACGCATGCATGCACACACACAGCCACGCCTACACCCACACGGGAGCGCACTGGGAATTCGGCTTGTACTGGATCGATTGCGCTGCACCCTCACGATCCTAATCGGAGAAAGAGTCAGTGAGGCCAGAGTACATCACACAAAGGAATTCGTATCAACAATCATCCATCCCCGTCACAAGGACACGAACCTTGAGTTAAGAGCTCCTTATGTCATCCACCGGGATCCGTGTTCTTGACAAAGAAGGATCCAAGGGCGAGAGGACGGGGCAGCGCGAGGGGTCCAGGGCCCTGGAGGCCCACTCGGAGCTATCCTGGCGCGAACACACTCTTTGTTTTGCTGCGCGAAACGGCCTTTGGCGAAATTGACTGCCTTCTTTCGTTCTGCTGACTTCGTTCCTGCGACGCGCGCGCACTCAGGGTGCGAGCAGTTCTTGATTCGGTCGCAACCAACTGGTGCTTTGGATCTGGTGGGCAACGACAACCCGAGTCGGTGTCACGAGGTACGATCCCCTGCCGTTCGGTCTTCCCCTTCGCCAAAGCCTGCAGCCAATTCCCAATCGAAATCCACACCCCTCGGGGATATTCTTCGCAACTTCTCGAGCCCTCGTACTTTTTGTACCACCGCGCGATCTACCTTTTCGGAGACAGGTGTATCAATCGCCTGCGACGTTGCTTCTACCTCAGTACGGTAGTAGTTTCCCTCAAGAAAATGCGGCCTTGGGTTGAGGAGAAGGAACAACCACTTTGTCCAGGATCAAACGGAGTGGACAAGGCGGAGGAGGAGGCTTGGACGACAGAGGCCAGTGATCGCAGCCACCATAAGGAGAGGAAACAAAAAAGAATAGAATAGCAGTGGGTGTGGGCCTCTTTTCAACGTGCAGCCGTGGGGAACAACTGATCAGGCTGGAAAGTCAGCTTGCTTAGCTCGCTGCACTCTAGGATTCTAGCTCGATGGATGCATCACATTGCCTGGATTTGACACGCAGCTCGCAGACGGTGCGTCTCCCCACAGGCTCCTTCGCCCCCCCTCCCCCCTCCCTCACCCCATCGAGAAGACTATTCCATCTGGTGGGAAATATTATTAAGTCCTCGGATATCGGAACACCTTCTGCACTGGCCAAAGAGTTGCTGAAGCAATGTCGACAAAGTAAGCATGATCATCCCAAGTAATGTACCGAGGACGGTACCTTCGTTCTGACCCAGATGAGATTCAGCAGCCCTGAAGAGCTAACCTTACTTAAATAGTTGTTGACCATCTGGTTGGACTACGCTTCCTCTCGCCGTGCATAATCTGAGGGTTGTTTGGTTCACGCTGTGTAAGAGCGCGGCTGACAATTACGCTTCTTCTCCTCCCTCGGTCCATACAGCGTATCTTTTTCTGGTTTGCCTCCCCCCCCCTTTGTTCGTCTGGGCCTGTTCGGTTTATTGTTTTTCTTTTTTTTCCTTGGCCTCTTCTGTTCTTCCCCTGTCCGTGAGCCACTCATCTCAGATGCACTGCATTCCGAGACGCATACGGATCCTGGAACATAATAAATGGCTGTGGCAGCTGCATCTAGCCGCATCAACTGCGGAGCTACTGGCTCCCAGAAGTCCGCGACCGGATGTCCTGCAAGCTTGGAAGGGACGGCTTCCAGGGCAACAGAACCGTTAATTTCCAGAGGAACAGGTTTGATCCATCTTATCCAGCCGTGGGAAGAAAGGTCTGTCGTCATCGTGCCGAAGGATTGGCGCAAGCATGGCGCACAAACTCGGAAACCTCATCGGAAGATTGACAGCGTAGAATGGATTAGCGAAAAAGCAAGCGACCGAAGATTGGCACGGCTTATGCAAGGGTGAAAGAGGCCAATGCCCAGGCCTTTACGATCTGGGTCGGATGCCCGGAGGCGACGGGCCATTCGATCACTGTGCCTGCAAACCCCGAAAAAAAAAAGCAAAATCTGGAGAAAGGAGGGGGAGAGGAGTGGGTGTGCGAACGAGAGGCGACAAAAAAAATCACACGACGGACTCAGATAAGGGTTGGGGTCAAAAACTGATACGGTTCGGATTCGGAAAGCATCATGCAAGCAAGAACAAGTGAATTATCCGAGGGAAGAGAGAGAGAGAGAGAGAGAGAGAGAGAGAGAGAGAGAGAGAGAGAGAGAGAAAGAGAGGGAAAACAAGACCAGATTCGTGTAACGGGTTAGAATTGAGCCAGCATCACTCCAATCCAGGACTGGACCGTATGGTCGGGGTTTGAAGAAGGGCTTGTGGTCGACGCCATACGGGGAGGGAACCTGTCAGCAAGTCTCCGACTGCGATGCTTCTCCAACAATTATATTCTCCTACGGAGGACTTCAGAAGAAGCTCCGTTTGGTCAATGAAGCCACGTTGTGACGGAGCCAGTAGTGGACGGGGTTAATCGTCTCTAAAGGGGACTAAGGGGATCCGAGTGACCTCGATCGAGATCTATCCCCTGTTCTTATTGTTGTTGGATATTATTGAGTTCGTATTGCTGGTCAATTGAATTGAGACCAGACCAGGCCAGCCGTACGCCAGGCGAACAATCACAATACCGGCAGAAAAAAAGCCACACGCACACAGAGGAGAAACACGACAAACATCCACAGTGGGCTAACTTATGGGGCTGTTATGGGGATTCAACTTCCCTCCGCTGCAATTGGCTCCCACTCCACTTCCACAGCGATCTGGTTGAACTTTGCCAAACGAAGGTGGTCAAGTCTTTGAGTCAGGGTGGAGAGAAGACCAAGAAAAGGACTGACAGCAGCATATGAGGGATGGGATGGGAGAGGTGTGTGGCTCTTTTCTTGATTTCCCTTTCGCAAGACAAGTTTTGAAGTTGGACGGACGTGCTTGTCTTGGTCGTCCACACTGCTGAACACTCTGCCACAGGGAATTTCTTCCCACCGCCCCCTTCCCTCTTTCGTCGATGTACATCTGCTTCAAGGTGGGGCTGGAGGGGGATTGGCAAGGGAGGGATGGAAAAATAAATGCACGATGAAGTGTTCGGTTGCCTTTTCGGGGCCAGAACAAGTTAAGGAACTCTCGCACGGGGACGCGAAACCGTTCCCGGGTATTGTTGACAGGCGGACCGTCAACCATCCCCAGTGTGAACCAGACTTTGCCCAAGCGCTTAATCTACGCTACCGTTATGCTTATTCCGGCCCTGCGATCACCGCCCTGATCTCTCCTTCCTCTGAACCATGGATGTTCAACACTTTGGTTTCGTGGTTTTTTGTGCCCCCCTGGCAGGTCGGTCCCGCTGAGGATTTTGGTTGAGGAAGATCAATTGACTAGCTTGATCCGACTCTCCTTCATGACAATTGCGTGGTCGAACAAGAAGAGCAGCAAGAACGTCATCATCAAGACAAACACTCGCGATGGCAGAATCTCCTCAGAAGCTCACGAATTACGATACCCCAGACCTATCAGATGGCCCAGGCCGGTCGAAGTCCAACTCCTACCCTTATTAGGGAAGTGGACAACGAAAAAGGTTTGACCTGACTGACAGATCATCTCGGGAAACCGAGATATCATGCCAGCTAAGACGCCTCTCACAGCAGCGATCGAATGATTTATCATCGAGACGTGGGGGGTTCGAGACTTCTGTCCAAAGTACGGAGGGCGGACTCTGCTTCTTTCTCCCCTTTTCTGCCTTTTTACCTTTTTTCCCCTCTCGATCTCTTTCTTCCGTAGCGATCATCCTATTCCTCTTTGGTTGAGCTCACATGGCTCTTCACCCTCTTTCGGGAAGGATTCTTCCTTCACATCCTCAATAGGAGAGGAATGTCAGGCTGCAGAACCAGTCAATTCACCGCCACAATCAAATATCCCAACGATCATTATTGTCTCCACGTCCGCCACACTTCCAGACAATCTCTCAATTAGCTCCTGCACTTGTGAACAGGTAGGGCGGGGTTTGAGGCCTCCTACTTTATCTGGGCAATGCAGTAGCCCCGAGCTCCATGGCTCCCAAGCGTCGACATCATCGCACAGCTCTCCCGCTTATATGCAGCAGACACTATCGACGCCGTGCGGAAATCACGTGGCATCGGTAGTTGGAATAATAACACTCGTTATTATTGCAGGTCTCACGGATGCTTGACGAAAGTACTGTACGCCGCATTGCCACCTCAGCCGGCCTTATTCGGGCGCATGAAGTGCATTGGCGAGACTGTTTATTTTTTCCCTAGTCGAAATCCGGGCCTTGCACCTCGGCTACTCGACCTGGCTTTTTCTGCACCGTACTTGAATAGTCAAGTCTTGGTGGTCCCACTCCAAAACTGCGTGCGCCCTACCAAACAAGAAGATGAATCAACTCGTACAACCCGCTTGAGCAACCGTAGTTGAGCACCAAACTCCCAGCGAAACGTCGAATCATGCTTGGGTGTTCACCCAGGGTAGGTAGTGTAGATAAGATCGCAGAGAGGGGAGGGAATGTTGGGAGGGAGGGGAGGCCGATCGGAAAAGAGTCCCTTCGCTTAATCAGATAGTTCTTGTGGCGACACCTACACTCCGGTAAGTAGATTAACACCCCCATCCATCGATCATCCGAAGCATCAAGACTAGCTAGAGCCAGCTAGTTAAATCATGGCAAATGAATCACGTCCCAGCTATTTCTCTGCCCAACTCAAACTTACTTGCGGCATATATACAGTACCGTACCCAATGCACGCACAGTACAGCACAACATCGTGCACCATTGTCCAGACCTTTTCATAAGCACAGTACTTCGTAGAGTACATACACTACATCCAACTATCACCCACCCCCCACCCCCCAAATCAAAATCCACCATGCATGCACCATCCCAATTCCTGGATTTGGTCCCCGGTCCCCTTCGGGGCATGCGCGGCCGAACTCTATTCTACTTCAGTGTTTTCCGCACCCTCGAATCATGCATTCGCATTCGTGAAGGAAGGAAAAGTATGTCGGTCAGGCCATTCCGCCGGCATTGGATCTTATTGCCTTTAAAAGGTAGTTTACGTTAATTCTTAGGGATTAGGGTACTAGCACTGTAGGTCCGCCCAGCAAATCATCATCTCACCATCTGACTTACGGGGCTTAGTTACCACCTGATCTCTAACTGACTCGGTAAGAATGTGGGCCGTGAATCTTTGCACAGCGCTACTACTGCTGCTGGAGCTGCTGGCTTCAGTACTTTCTACCCCGGTCGGGGGTAGTCAGGCCTATCCCGTCCGAGAATTCTCCACTCCGACTAGCGAGCAGGCATATCCGGTGAATCCTCCCTTCAGTCTCAGCCATGTAGTCGTAGTCGAGCATACAGAAACTTTCCACACTCTTTTGCGTGGTTCGTCCGCGCCCTTCCCGTCCCCCGGTTCTCTGATGCGGATATTCTGTTCGAGCGCAACTGTCCTTCCAGGCGATGATTCCGGGGTGGGAGCTGATGTGACTCCCTACTCAGATCGAGTATGCCTGTCCGACTAAGAATATAACATAATGCCAGCTGTCGGTCCTGTACACCATCCAAGGCGATAGAGACAGGAAGAGCTGGGAGCGCAAGTGCAAAGAAGTCGGCGTTAGCCGGTGCAGTCTGCAGTACGGCAAGCACCCAGAGCATTAAGTAGTTCAAGTACCAGCATGTTGGGAGCGGCAAGGTTCCAATAATGTGGGATACCCAAGGGATGCTCACATACATACATACATACATACATCCACCCATCCATCCATCCATCCATTGATATGGACAGGGCCACGCAACAACTGCAGAAGACAGCGGAGTTCTTTCGGAATTGAACCCCTTCAGGAGAATACACGGGGATCGGAGCCCTGAGGATTCAGGAACCATAGAGTTATACCGGGTTTGTCTCACAGATGAGCCAGCAGCGTTGCCTTCGCTGGGTGGAGCGCAGAAAGAGACAATCCTAGCGATTCGCAAGCGTCACATTGTCTAGAGATCCCGTGGGACTACAATACATGATAAGTAGAAAGTGACTCAGATGAGAAAAAAAGAGATTCCAGCCTGGAACAAATCCGTTGACCAAAGATCGAGCAATGTATCTGTGGGAGAAGAAGAGAAGAAAAATGAAACAGGCCAATCGCTCAGATGACGGACGACGAACCAATGATAGCAACAGATGCCCAGGCTCAAAGGGAAGATTCAATCGCTAGAAGGCTAAGAGGGACACGTCATCGTAAGAAGACGTCTCTTTCTGTGCACTGACAAGTGAAAATCCAAAAAAAGAAAACTCCGGGTTTTCCAGCCCACGCCGTGCTTGCAAAGTACAAGAAAAGCAGGAAGCCAACAATCCTGATCATGAAAACATACTTCCCCCATGAAGCCGGCGACTAAAATGAAATATCCACTTCCAAAAGAGTAATGCATAATACCGCGAGTCTCTCCCTTCTCCAGGGTAACTGCTCTGAAGTTGACCCGTGAGAATATGCAGTCCACTCGTCAACGTTCATCAAACCAGCAAAGGATTATGACTCCATCACGACATCACCATCTGCATCAACTCCGTTGGCTACTGCTTGCTCTGGCACGCCATTCTCGTGAGCTTTAACACTCTCATTGTCGGCAGGAATGACCATTTCAAGCTGCTCAACCAACGATTTCCGATTCACCGATTTGGTGACTTTGGTTTTCTTTTCGGTGCTTTTACCATTGACCGTCACAGGGGCTTCGAGTTTGGAATTTTCGACGCTTTCGTTGTCCGCACTATTCTGGAATTCCCCGCTGCCGTTCAACGTAGGCGTTGCATCATCACCATCAGTGCGGTCCATTTGGCTTTCAGTCTCCAACGGCATCGCGGTCGGAGACATCTCTTCCAAGTGGCCGGCTGCCATGTTCTCGATCTCCTTGCCTCGTTCATTCTCAGTGCCGTTTGGCTCCACGCTGCCTGGATCGGCAGCGGGTGACTCCATGAGCTTGGCACTCCGGCCGCGGCGGACGCTCATCTGATTCGCACTGGGAGTCATGGATGCCAGCACCGATGATCTGCGAGGAGTGTTGCGACCGCTAGTACGAACGGTAGTCGGGGTCGAAGCCGTCTTGAGGTTCGTCCGACTTCCCCACGGTCGGCCAGGGCGCTTTTTGTAAGATGGAGCCTGAACCGGTGGCCAAATCTCGAATCTCCACGCGGGTATGTCATTAGTGGGATTGGTCTCAGACGCGGTATTGGAGTCTGCGGATGTGATGGGCGGCGGGCGGAAGCCATTGCTGTGGATCAGTGCATCTGTAGAAGGAGGTCCCGCCGGCTCATGCGGAATTTGCTTTGGTTCTGGGTCAACGATCCCATTCATGACTGGAGGAGCTGTGCTGTCTTCCTTTGACAGGTCGATATCAGTGGATAGTGGCTGCTCTTCCTCGTCACCTGATTCTTTGACATCCTCGCTTTCTTCGTCTAACCCTTCACGGGGCGCCACTGCATGCATTGGGGCTCGATCGAATTGTGACTGATTGCTTCGGCCCATGATGTACGGTGTCCACACGAGCGCGTCTGGATTGAGCTGAACATATCCCTTGCTCTCCCAACTTTGAATGCACTCCTCGAAGTATTTGTAGTCAAGGCGCAAAGCGTAAGTCTTGGTCACAGGATCCCTCACAAGAGCACGTAATGCTTCCAAACCTGACACAATGTCATCGGCTGTCATGCCTGTTCGTTCCGAGATCTCCGCGATGCTGAGAGGGGTCTTTTGGCTTCGTAGTAGGTAGGATAAGATGAGCCGCCAGTAGTTCCTGTAGGAGACCAACCCCATATCCGACAGGGGCTTCTCCGGCGACCCTGTCTTTCCTTCAATGCGTGTGAGCAGGTAAGAAAAGTCAATCAGTAGGTTTCCATAACCTTTCCGCTGATGGATGGGTAACGTCAGAATGCACGAGACATTGTTCGCCGAGCTTGGGCGCTTTTCCTTGCTGAAGTACCCAACGAAATGGCATCCCAGGTCGTCGTACTCGGTCATGACATAGAAGAGGAAAGGCTCTACATCATAGTAAAGAGTTTTCGAACCCAGGAACAGCTTTGCAAGCAAGCAGAGGTTCTGGCAGTAGACCGGATTCTTCCGTCCATCTACCTCGAATATTGATATTGACCCTTCCCGGTAGATTTCGTCGCCAGGAGGGTGCTTCGCCGGGCATTTGAGTTTATGCCGCCACGCGACGTAATCGGAGTTCATATACTTCAGGCAGAATTCGCAAATGTAAAGGACTCGGTTGCGGCTATACTCTTCCGGGTAGGGAGCGGCGTACCAGGTCTCAATCTCATAGCCCCCGAAATTAATGTACTTGATCCTAGACGGAGGACCTGAGACCTTCTGTGACGCATGCTGTACGGTTTCACCGCTGGTTTCGGTTTGCATGACTCTTCGTTGCCATTCCTCCTCGGCCTTGTGACGGGCTATTTCGAATTTGTCCCGATCCAGGTTGGTCGGCAACGTCTTTGAAGTATCCGCATCAACTTCGGAAAGAATACCTCCGTAAGGTTTAGACTTTGACTCATCCATCTCGCGGTCGTTGAAAGAGTAAAACGGGGTGTAGTAGGAGGCAGGCGTTATAGGAGCAAAATGAGCTTGAGGCTCGGGAATAGGTGGGGGTGGCTTAGGAGTCCGATGGTTGCGCGTTTGAGATCTGCTGCGAGGATTGAATATTTTGGACAACCTAGACTCATCTAAGCGAAACGCTAGGACAAGACGCCCATATTGCTTCAGCACGACGCGGCAATTTTCCTGTCCACTCTTACGTGTACGCCGAGAGCGCGTTCGAACTGGAGACATGCCATCAACAACCTCGCCCATGTCGCGGGATATTGCCCGATCGGAGCGCAGTGAAGTCTGCCGTTGCCTTTTACGTAGGACAGGCGCATGCTCATCAACCTCCACTGACGCCGAAAGGGCTTTCCTCTTTCGTAGCGATCGAGAGCTGTTTAGGAGTTCATCGTTGACTGTTACTGTGTTGAAGATCGAATGAAAGTCAGAGCCACCTTCGCCAGTATGAGCTGGCAGCAGTTCTTTGCGCATGTTCTTAGCTCGACCCTTACGTTGCACCGGTGCGCTCTCCTTGGGGCTGGACCTCAGCTTCTCCCGGACGCAGGTGGGACATCGCCATGAACTGGGTCCTACCATGATTTAGCACATCGTGAATAAGTGGTTTGATCAGGAATGAGCTCGGGTACCTTCCGCGTCGTCTAACGCACTCTGTTCCCGGGCGCATTGCCGGTGAGCTGTCGGGTTGCCGAGTCAGTAAGGATCGTCCAACAACCGGGACTGGAGAATTTATGGGGCCGCGAAACCAACATACAATGATCGCCACAGACTCCGCAAGTCAAATACTCCTCATACTCTTCACTAGGATCGTTGTCTTCGTCCTGGCCACAGAATCTAGACACAAAACATTTCATATTAGATAACGGTGTTTCAGGGGCACGGGCAGCCAGATTGAGGTTCTAGACTCACATGCAGTTGCCGCGGGCCGTGTTCTCCGCCTCCGCATCCTCATGGTCATTGCTTTCTCCTTCCCATTCATCGTCCGATTCCTGACTGCTTGACGACGAACCCGATGCATCATCTTGTTCTTGCTCGCTGTCGCTGCGATGCTCAGAAGCAGGGTCTTCCTCTGCCTCTGCATCTGCTGGGCCCGAAACCACATCTTCGTTGTCCTCGGCCGGCACTTCCTTGGGTAATTTCACGGCGCCAACCGGCTCAGCATCAAGCGGGGTGCCGTTCACGTCCATCTCAGGATCGGTTTCACCTTCAGCATCCAGTTCTTCGTCAGGGCCAGCTGCCGAAGTGTCCTCAACGGGCTCGCCCGAAAGGGCGCGGTGCACAGCGTCCTGTAACTGTTGGTCCATCTGATAGAAATCTGTGTCCTCCTCCCCTTCAGCATCCTGCTCACTGTCCACCAAATCCGTGGGGGTGTTCTTGTCCAGGTCGTCATCGACCGGCGGCACTATTGCCGGCATGTTGTGTTACAGCGGTTACGACGGTCGCCAGAACCAACGGGTATTGAATTGTCTCGGAAACTTCAAATCGAAAATAGAGGGATCCGTAGCAGGCAGTATGCAGCCCAGCAGTTGAAACTATACAGGCTCCCCGCGAATGTAGACAATCATCTGGCGCCGCAGAAAATGGGCATGGGAAATCATAGAACAAGTTGCCTGGGGCGCCAGCGAATGCGACTTGGAGATCGGCGAGTAAAGGAGTTGCGCTGAGAACCCAAAGTTAACAAGTTGAGCGCAGGCGCAATCAAAACAGCTGTCAGTGGAAGGGAAAGATGGGAGAGGAGCGGGATGGAACAATGGCGGATGGAACGCGTCGAGCGTCAGATACGGGGGAACATACCTCTCCCACGAGCACAGCCAATGTACCTTGAGTCTAACAGCAAGAACCGTAGGAAAGAATCTCAGCAGCTGAAGAAGGCCGTCTACAGGCGACTTCCCGGAATCTACGCATTCGCCCCTTCTGCTTCTCCTGTGCCTGTGAGGTTGAGTGCCGCTGCTGACTCATCCACGGCCGGGTCACCGCCCCGCCTAAACCGCTTTGGGTCATCCGCCAGACTCTCCAGTTCGAACCTCCGGCGGGCTTTCAACTTCGCCAGTCAATTCCTCCACGACTTCAATTCCCCCGCGTTTACCCGCTGCGTCTGTCGCTTCACTACACTAGCTCTGCACATCATGGGTGTCCCCTTCGAGGCCTTGCTTCCTTTTGGAATCATCATCGGTGTAGGTTCTGCCAACGGTTGTCCCGCAATTCGTCCTCGCGCTCGATTTGACTGATCATGACGTGACAGTCCCTCACTGCTGGTGCTGGTGGTATCTGGGCTGTGAAGTATTATGCCAACGGCTGGAAGCAGCCGCGTTGGAACCTTGACCTGTGGGATAGAGTAGGTCATCCCCCTTTCTTGCGATTGAATGACCTTGCGCGCTAACAGCAGAGCAGCAAAGTATGTGATCCATCCTCAACGATCCCGTCCCATCCATGATCAACGATTTTCGGAATTTTCACGCATGCGCGATCTACGTCTTGGAGAGGAGCTACAGAGCTAACGATTGACTTCGCCGCAGTGATGGAGAGAGACCAAAGAATGACAGGAATATTCCGAGGTCAATCGGCCAACCCCACAGCCCCCACGGGATTCGAACTCAACAACCCCTGGAAGGTACAGTGCTACTTGCTTTTGATCACCATGTGCGCTCTCCTGTGCAAGTGACTGACCTGTGCTGCAGCTCGAGAAACGGATTTACTAAGGCGATCCCCCGCGCCATGTCTGCAATTTCCTATTTGTGCCTCATTTGTTCGTCCTGCATTAGCTTTGAGAGAAATATCCACGCCTCGGGTTAGAAAGAATTACCTCTTTCTTTATTATCTGTACAATTATTGCCGAGCCAGCGACTTTTCTCGCTGCTACGGTAAAGTCCCAAAAAATGTCTAAACATTCTATTTGATCTGAGAAACCAAGCCGCGAATGCCTTCGATTTCATGCTCTTGAAGGTGCATGTCGAACCATTTGGTCAAAGCCTTGACGCGGTCGTCCTCGCTTTCCAGGGTTTCGACCACCTCCGAATGCCCGGCTACCCTTACCTTCACTGTGTTTCCGGCCAGGACACAGAGCCCTTTAATTCCTTGTCCGCTGTCATCACGCAGCATCCGCGTGCAAACCAGCGTCTGGGTGAACCAGCTCGTTCGCCGCTGACTGGTGGCAAAGTTCATGACCTCGAAATCCTGCGGGAAGAACTCCACCTCGGAGAACGAGTACATGGGCATCCAGGTGCTGTCCCGCGTATAGCGGACCTGGTAAATCCAGACCTTCTGCGTCTGGTCCACGAACTCGGGCAAAGTATCGTAGATGAGCCGCATTTCTGAGGGAGCCACATTCACCCGTGCACTTTCATGCTGCAGCGGCAAGGGGCAGGTAGGCCCGTTATTGCCGAACCCGACGTCCACCTGTCCGATACGAGGGTTAGCAACGTCATGTAGACCTAGAGCCATGTCGGGATGTCATCCGATTTGTGCTCGGGATCTCAGCAGCCATACCGCGTATTTCCCGCCGTGAATGGTCACAATCAGGATCATGTGTCCCCTGTGGTGTAACATTGCGCATGAGTTCTCGGCGTTGGATTCGCAACAGCATGCAACGGGAAACGGCCGCGCCACTTACATGCCTACAAAGAACCAGTTGCGGCTGTCGGTCGATGCATCGGAGGCTGCCGTGTTCACTCGCCCTCCGGTGGGGTAGACCGTGTACCCCAGCGATCGGAGGACATGGTAGAACAGCATGGTATTCTCCATGCAGTAGCCGTCGAGCCGACGGGACACCAGTTTCTCGAAGACGCATGCCGGACGGATGGAGATGGAGTGGTGCGCGGAGTAGTGAAGCCCCGAATTACCCCATGGAATCGAGGTCAGGTGGGCTCGCTGCAGCTCGGTCAAAGTGGCCAGCGGGCATTTTTGGATAGAGTCGCGGACATGTTCCAGTCGACTGCGACCAGGAGTGGCGTTAGGGAGCCCAATGCGCTCCAGGTAGCGCTCTAGCTTATCGGGAGTATACGTTGATGGTGCAGCCATGGTTCGGTCTGGGTTTGAGTTGAGGTCAATTAGATTCGGGGGTCGAGTCAAAGCTTGTGAATGACGGGAGTGTCCGGCAGTTCATCTGGATGGATGATATTGTGGAGAATTACCCGTTTGGGTGCAACTCGGTCACGTTCTTGCCTGCTTCTATAGTATACCAGGAAAACGTCGACCGCCTATATTTACATGTACAGCATATGTAGCTGCACAAGCAAAAGTCATACCTCCAACAAAACATACTCGAACAAATCAACTCACTCCCACCAAGAAGTTCCCTTTGATCCGACTCTCCAATGACTTCTGCTATTCTACAGCTGCCAATGATGTCAATTCTTCGATCCTCGGTTATTCCACCTGCTCGACGACAATCAGCAGCTTGAAGCATCAAGGCCTGCTATCCACCATCGGACTTGATACAGAGCTCGATAGTTCGCTTCGCCATCTATGCAATCCTTCGAGTCTCAATCCCACGCTTCAACCCCTACCAATTAACCCAGAGGCTCTCCACATGAACCTCCCCTGACTCTTCCATTCCCCCGGATTCACCCCGCATCGACTTATCTCACTCCTCCACCTCCACCTCCACCTCCACCACCATCATCATCTCTCTCCCAATCCTCAAACAAAGACACCAACCCACCACCAACATGTCAACAGCCACCACCCTCGAAGAGAAATTGCGCATCCTCCACAGTTACTCTGCCTGCGACGTACGCAACATCTACGCACAATATATCCATCAATCCTTCTAAAACCCCCGCACTCACACTGACCCCCGGCATACAACTAGATCTCCGACGCTCTCCTCAAACTCCAAACCCCAAGTCCCGGAACCCCAGCCCGCGCCGGCCACCTCGCCGACCTAAGTAAGTATCTCCCTCCCTCATACACAACCACCAAACCCCCAACCAACAAAAGAAGCATGGAAGCAAGCTAACCTCCCCCAAACCCAGCCCCCTACCCAAACCCCGCAAACCACCACCAGAACCCTAAGATTATCGCCCCAGCCTCAACCATCAGATTCATCTCCAAACACGCCGAGCATCCCGCAGCGAGCACCAACATCCCAGAAAACACCTTCCCGCCCAACACGCACTGGGTCGACACCGTCGACCGGGACACGATCGTCGTCGTCGACCAGCCACCGACCCAACACTGCGCGGTCGTGGGGGGCATCATGGCGCTGCGCATGAAGCACCTGGGCGTGACGGGGGCGGTGGTGAACGGGCGCGTGCGCGACCTGGCCGAGTTTGCGGAGTGTGGGCTCCCCGTGTGGGCGCGGGGCACGTCGACGGTGGGGAGTGGTGCGGAGGCGAAGGCGGTCGCCCGTAATGTCGCTGTTGATGTGGGTGGGGTGGTTGTTCAGCCTGTATGTTTTCCCTCGTACCCCGGATAAGGTCGGAAAAGAAGAGGAGGGGAGGTGGTGGGGTGGTGGGCTTGGGCTGCGTCTGGCTAATCTGTTGCTGCTGCTGATGTGGGGATGTGGTGAATATAGGGCGATATCATTGTCTGTGATCCCGTGGAAGGCGTGGTGGCTATTCCACGCGATCTGCTCGATGCCGTTCTGGAGACGATGCCGACGTTGGTGGCGATGGATGATCGGGTTAAGGAGGCTGTGGGCCAGGGGGTCAGTGTGTTTGAGGCCTTTAAGCGGTTTCGTGGGAAGATTTAGATCTCGTCTCTGTTGTGGGCATTCGTGGATGGGCACGGGAGTCCATGTGGTTGGGCTTGGAGGTTCTGGGTTTACCACTGCTCCTGTTATCTATACGCAGCTCGATAGAAGTAAACACCTGACCAGTTTCAGATGATACGGATGGAAGCTATTTCATCCCTGAATGGTATTAGACCTGATCCAGAAACTCGAAAATCCAAAACAACGGTGGAGAGCACAAAGGTGAAGAGAAGCCCGCTCTTCATATATTAAGACACAAGGAGAGAAGATTCACATGAAGCCAGCTCATTCTAAATTTTTTCCCCCTTGACCACTTACTCCGCTACCCACACGGCGGCCATACCCATGCCCGTACCAACACACATGCTGGTGACACCGATCTTCTTGTTGGTCCGCTTCAGCTCCGTCAGAAGCGTGCTGACCTGCCGGGATCCAGTGCAGCCGAGCGGGTGCCCGAACGCGATAGCGCCACCCTTGGGGTTGATCTTCTCCTGCGGCAGGCCCAGCTCGTTGACGCACCAGACGCACTGCGAAGCGAAGGCCTCATTGATCTCGTAAATGTCGACATCATCTTTGGTGATGCCTGCCTTCTCAAGCGCCACGGGGATCGCCTTCCACGGGCCGATGCCCATGAGCAGGGGCTTCACACCCACGACGCTGCCGGTGACGTACTTGCCGATGATCTTCTGGCCGAGACGCTCGGCAGTGGACCGCTTCATCAGCAGCACGGCGGCGGCGCCGTCGGAGATCTGCGAGGCGTTGCCGGCGTGGATGGAGCCGTCCTTGGCGAAGGCGGGCCGGATCTTGCCCAGCGATTCGGCGGTGATGCCGTCGCGAATCCCGTCGTCGGCCTTGACGGTGATGGTCTTCTCCTCGTTGGTCTTGGGGTCGGTCCACTTCACCTGCAGCGGGACAATCTCCTCGTTGAAGAGCCCGGCCTGCTGCGCCTTGACCGCCTTCTGGTAGGAGGAGGCAGCAAAGGCGTCCTGCGCCGCACGCGTGATCTTCCGGTCCTTGGCCATCTGCTCCGACAAGACACCCATTGGGACCTTGCAGTTGGCGGACTCCGGGTGGCTCTCCAGGAGCTCGGAGAATTCGGTCACGGCGCCGGGGCTTGATTCGGGATCGGGGTCAGTTCGCTCTCAGGTATTATGAGGAGGGGTGAGACACTTACCCATATTGGGAAGACATGCTCTCAACACCGGCACCAATACCAACCTCAATCATACCGGATCGGATAGCGTTGGCAATGTCAACAATGGCCTGAAGCCCACTGGAGCACTGACGGTTCAAGCTCTTCACAGCCGCGGTCTCGGGGAACCCAGCGACGAGCGCTGCCGCACGGAACTCAGTGGCACCGCCACCAGGGGGCAGAACCGATCCGACAGCGATGTCTTCAACAACGCTGGGGTCGATGTTGCTCCGGTCGATCACCGCCCTGAACACACCTGCCAGCAGGTCGGCGGCGGCGGTATCCTTGAAGCCGCCCTTTCCACCCTTGGTGAGGGCCGTCCGCAGAGCACATGTCACAACAATATCATCGGGGTGCTTCTCCGTGAGGGCTGCGGCGCCTTTCTTGCCTCCGGGACCGAAGTGAGAAGCCACCTGGCTGAGACGTTGCTGGGCTAGTATCCTGCTGTTAGCTTGGAAGTTGTGGGGTGGATTGCGTTGGAGGGGTGTTAAACATACGAGAGGACATAATGACGTCAATCAATGTAGACAGAAGGAGGTAGATAAATATGTCCTGACAGCAAGAGGAGGGGAGGATAATATTTTGACAAAAGCAGGATCAGAAAGAAGATGCAGCAGGCCTCCTTTGGGCTCTTATAAGACGGAAGTCCGGGGAAGAGACAGCGTGGAGAAAGTCATTCAGGTAACTGGAACCCCGGCCTACCAACGCTGTAGTTAACGTTACTGGTTGGCTGTTGAATAATAATAGGTAATCCTGTGAAAGTACCGAGGCTCGGCCGCATTATTGTTAGTCCGTGGAGATGGGTCACGGGATCGCCGAAGCATGGAGATTCATGTGAAGACGGCTGTTGGGGATCCATCCTTGACTGGCCGATGACCAGGCTGATTATCTGCAGCGTCGTCATGAGACCAGCAACAGTATCCCGGTTCTACTTGCATGTGACGGAGTAAGTATCATAGTACTATCGCGGCTGCTGATAAATTCAAGAGCTCTCTACATAAGCTTCTAGATAACATGTCCGTCCTTTCTAGAATGACAGACATCATTACCGCATTTGACGAAAAGTCATGCTGGCCAAAAGCCATTTGTAGCTTAGTATATACATCCAATTAGTCCATCCATATACCAGGCTCTCTCTCCCTCAAGCACAAACAGTACTATAAGCATAAATCCCGAAGGCGGTGAACCACCGAAAGCGGCGAGCTCGGCGCACCGGCGATCCATCATTTTCTGCCAGCCAATCGCCCGATAACCTATCCAGCCCAGCCCACGAAAATAAGCCTTGCGCCTCAACTCACCCGCCGAACAAACCGACCAAGAACTAATCCTCCAATCCTTCAGCCCTCACACCACAACAAACACACCACCCAGCAATCCCAATGCGCCTCCCCCGACTCCTCCCGACCTCACTCCTACGACCAGCTATCTCAACAGCTCGTCCCCTCCCCCTCCAATGCCTCCCTTTCACCCATAACCCCATTATCCGCCCGGCGATGGCCACCCTCTCCACGCCGCCCCAAGTACGTCTCTCATCGCACCCCCTCTTCAAGTACCAAGCTCAAAACTAACACCGCAAAGCAATCCCCAACAATCCGCACCTTCAGCACCACATATCCCAAACCCACCGCCTCCCCCTTCCGCCTAACCAGCACTCCAAGCCCTAAGAACCCCCCTCCTCCTCCGCCCTCGACCGACGAAATCCCCGCCGAACCCGAACCCGGCCATGACCCGAACACAAATGCCTACTCCAGCCCCTACAAGCCGAAGCGCCAATGGCCCCCGGACATGTCGAAACTCTCGCCGAAGCACCAGTTCCGGCTCGAGCGCAAGTACCGGCGGCGCGCGGCGCTGAAGTACGCCCGGCCCAAGTGGACCAAGTTCACGAAGTTGGTGCAGTGGTTTAGTATTGGGTGTAAGTTCTTTCTCCCCTGGGAGAAGATGGCGGTTGGTGGGATGGGGAAAAAAGGGGCTGGGACTGGGACCGCTGGGCACGGCTGTGATGAATGGTTTGCTAACCTGGGTTTCGTATGTGTGTGACAGTTGTGCTCATTTATGCCATGTTGTTTATGGAGTGGGATGAGAAGGGGAGTCCGTTTGATGAGGTAAGGCTTATTTGCAGCCCTCCCCCCTCTTTGTTCTGCTTGCTAGTGCTCTGGGCAACTGGTTGTGGAGTTTGGACTGGGCTGATACGTTGTATAGGTTCGGAAGGCTGTCTTTGGAGGGTTGAAGGAGGCGTTCTCCACGCCTGCGCCGCCGAGGCCTGTGAGGGAGGCCGCCGCTGAGAAAGATCGAGAGTAGGTGGTTCTAGTAGTCATGGCTATGCAGCGGTTGGTATACATAGAGCAAGGATAGAACAAACTCCAAGATGGATGGGGAACAAGGTCTAGGACCCGCATACTGTATATTACCTTGTCCATGTACAAGAAAGATAGAATAATGACATCCAAGAAGACCTGAAGTACAAGACTGTTGGTTGTGAAAGGTGCGCAGCCCTAGCGCGTCTGTCCAACAGGAGAAAACGATTGATCTGCCTGACCATGCTCGCAAGAAACGAAAACAAAAAAAAAAGAACGTCAGATAATTTCCCAGTCAGGTCTGTGGCCCTGTTGCCGTCGTCAAGTCATTTCGCCGTGGCCGTCATGGAACGGACAAATGCACCCAAAACACCTTAGAAAATGCCAGCGCCTTCCAATCCCAGATACTCCGCATTCGTCAGAAACAATGATGGGACAAGAAAAGTAATGAAATCAAGCAGTGTTGGACCTTCCAGCACCGATTGCATAAGCAGGCCCTGCCAGGCTAAAAATACTAGTCTTAGCAAAGGTGCTATGTCTAGTCAGGGTAGCATGTGGCCAACACCGATCGCGAAACAGTAAGGTCTATAGCCAATTGCCAATGCCATTGCTCTGAGGCACTCCGGTACTGGCAGGGACGTCCAGCGCCAGTTCCAGCTTGGGAGGCTCGTCCAGAAGACCCTTCTTAGGGCTTCCACCTGCTGCCTTGACCGGCGATTTGGATGGTGACCGAATCTCCGGGCGAGGAGGTCCTTCACGAACAGGCAAGTGCGGCCACTCATCATCGATTGCCGCGGCAACCCATGTACGGAGACAATCGTGCACAGAGGAATAAAACTTCTCCTTGCAAGTCCTCAAAGTACCGCCCATGACCTTTTCGAACCCCGAAGCTCGGAGCTCAGCACGCAGTTGATTTCTCTCCTGGGTAGTGGGCAAAGACGCCACGATTCCGTTCAGTAGATCTAGATGAGCCGCCAGATAATTGGTAGCATCCCATTCGACACCGCCAACGTAGGGAGCAGCTGGCACCGGCGGCCGAGGGACTGGGAAGTGTCGCTCTCGGTATGTTGCTGATGAAGGGGTTTCATCCTTCGGGGTCGGGATCACATTCAGATGATGCAAGAAAATCCAGAAAACTTCTTTGCTCACATTCGTAACCTCTTTACACCAGACTCGGTAAGGACGTGACTGGTAAATGTTCGCAATAAAAGTCAGCGGTTGGTTTTCTTCGGATGGCGAAGGGTCACGCAGGTACGAGAGGATCCGCGAGGCGCGGTCAGCGGCCATCTCATCCGAGGATACAGCCGAAAGCTGAGTGAAAATCAAGTTGATGATAATGCCTCGGGTGGTAAATTCACTGGGTCCTTTCTTCTCCTCGTCAAAGAGCATCTTGAGCAAGGCTGGAAAGAGTTCTCCTTCAATTTTGGAGAGGTGCTCGAGTGCGATAGAGGTAGTGCAGAGAGCTTTGAGACATAGCAAAGTCTCGTGAAGTAAATTATCCTCGTGTTCCTCTCTGTGGAAGGATTAGCACTGCAATCTGAATATTTGCCTTACAAATCCGGATGTACTACTCACCTCCACTCGACTTTCATGATGCGATAAAGTAGCTGGACTATCTCGTCCATGCCACCATCTGCAATGAACGCGTCAACCCAGCTGACAGTCTCATTGCGCAAAAGAATTCGAAGCTTGTGTACTTTGCCAATCTCTACCATCTCCGGTTTCTGAATCTCCCTTAAATAGTGGACAAAGTCTGATGGGTCAGTAGCTGTGTCGGGCGCTGTCGCGGAAAGCGAGGTGGTGGAAGCGTTGGGCGTCAAGAGTTTAGAGAAGCCCGCGGGCAAAGAGTAATCGGCGGATTTGGGACGACGGTAGAAGCTTCCACTGTCCGGGCGCTTCTTGGGCGACGAGCTGCCTTTAGAGAAGCTGAAACCACGACTCCTGGATCGGGATCGGGAACCTTTGCTATCGTAGTTCTGTCTTTCTTCCTTGTGCTCCTTCCTGCGTCCCCGGCGACCGGTACTGTCATTCGCACTGCTGCTAGCAGTATGTGGGGTCGTGTTCTCCGTTCGATCTTTCAAGATGAAATCAGCCTTGATGTTGGTGTCCAGAGATCGCATTTTATCTCGCATGTTGTGAGGAATGTTCCGCGCATCCTGTCCCAATAATTAGAGCTGCCTTGCTTGAGTGGGAGTGCCCAACTACAGGGAAGCTCACCAGTAATTTCTCGAATTCTGAGTCGAGTTCCTTCGGGTTTAGGCGTTTCCGCAACTCAGCCTCCTGTTCCTTAGCATTCAAGGCGGATATAGCGGCCTGAACACGAGAGACCTTTGGGCTCTGCTCTCGCGCAAATTCAGCTTTCTCGCCCTTCTCTGGCCGTGATAATGCTCGAGGCCTTCCGAATCGCTTGGATGGGGATGATCCCGCTGTGTCCGTCGTCGCCGTCTTGTCGGAAGATAGGGCCTGTAAAGGGGCCAGGACTTCCTTCATTTTGCGGCTTCCAGCGAGGTAGTCTGATTTCGGTCGCGGTTTGAGTTCAGTTCGTAAAGTGCGAGGGGTGGGAGATGGCTGCTGATCGTAGTCACAGAGATTACTTTGATGTGTCGGTCCATATGCCCTGGGTGTACATGGAGTTGTCTCCTCTTGCATGGTTCTACGCTTGTTCTGTGTTGGAGACAGTGCAGCTTGGTCGGGGTACAAGGGCGGCACAAACTGGTCCCAGGCGGGTGAGGGCATGCCGTCAACTAAATCCGATGGGCTTCGATTCTCCTTATCCCTCGCAGTCTTGGTACCCTCCGTCTTGTTTCCGCGTTGCGACCTTCTCAGGATAGCAGAGAGGCTGTTGGCCGACTTAGCCTTCTTTGGCCTCAGGTTCTGTGCGTCAACATCCAGGGCTTCCTCCGGCTTGGGCTCTTTTCGCTCCATGTAGCTCTTGAGAGACTTTAGGGAGACCGCACTCTTGGTCTTCTTGTGCAGCGTATTCTTCCCTTGCTTCTCCGGCGATCTCTGGGCTGAGCCTATGTCTGCCGAGTCCCGGTTTGGGGCAATTTCCGTGAGTGGTTGTTGGTTGAATGACGCATAGGCCCCATCACTAGGCGGTGTAGTGGAACCGTCGGAAGACTGGCTTCCATAAGAAGCCTTGGAGGGGAGGGCGTCATCCGCCGAGGAGTTCCGTTTGTGGGATTTCGGGGACAAGAATGCTCGGAAGACTGAGGGCCTGGAAGGACTTCGGGTGGCGTCGTCAAAGATGCTGGGGGATTCTACAGTGGGTGCCATTTCGAAGAATTGCCCTTCTGCCTGGAGCTGACTTGATAAATCGCGGATCTGGTTAGTATGGATGTGGAGTAGGGGGATGGAGAAGGACGGAGTAGTTAGGCATAAATTACTCACGGTGCAGTTGCCCCAGCACAATGAGACAAAGGATCACCAGCGACGCGGAATGACGGCGATGACGAAGAGAAGACGAGGGAAAGTCTTAAGCGAAATGAGACAGCAGCGACATGCAGCTCAAGGTAACAACAGACATCGAAGAAGATCCAGGAATTGCGAAATATCTATCAAGGAAGCGAAGACGAAGATCAAACCAGACACGACAAGGAAGAGGGAGAGGAAGACGCGTGAAGGCAGCGCCCGCTGTTAGACTGTGACTAGCAGTGACAGCCAGCACCCATAGACACGACAAGAGCAGACGGGGGGGCAACACACACACACACACACACACCGGAACGAACGCCAACCTCAGGTGGGTGGGCCGGGCATTTGAAGACTTCCAAGGCTCGGGGACAAGGCAAGAAGAACGAGCATGCTTCCTCCACTGTCTAACCTAATCGGCATATGGGCAATGGAGCCCATACGCCATAGCCAAACGGCTGGAGATGAACTGCGCCGCGCATGAAGCGGAGGGTGTAAACATGCTGCGGGCGGCGGGGTTGTCCCGGGCAACCAGCCTGTTTTCGGCCGGTCGCGCCGCCGGAAGTTGATGGATGCGATAGATTGATATCAACCTCTTCCATCACCTGCCTGATCGCCTGCAGATTACGAGGATGACGATGCTGCTGATGCTGCTGATACTACTGATACTGCTGCTGCCCGACCATTTTCATCATGAGGCCTGGATTTCTAATCTGAAAACGATGTCATAGTGGAGGAAGTGATGGCATCTGTCATAATTCTCAGACGGCTGATCTGCCAGTTGCCCGGGATCCATGATGTTATTGGGGGGGCTGGCAAAATTCCATATGATATGATATGATAACTACCTAGATTTGATTACAGAGTACTCTGTACTTGTGACAGTTCGGATCATTGCCACAATAGGGTGGAGGATCTAGTCAATAAGGTAGAAACTGGGTCTCGGAAATACGAGTAGGAAGGGAAAACAATGGTGACATTCTATCTGAGACGTCAAAAAATAAATTAATGACGGCGTAGCTCTAAGGCTGGCTAGTCGTAGTTTAGTACGGAGTACTTTGTTATTCAATGAGGTAAGTAGTGCACGTAGTGCAAGGTACCCTGTACACTCTGTCCTATAGTTCCAAGATAGTTTTCTGGGTGGCCCAATCAATAATCCCTCACAAGGGCTAATTATCATCGCGGGGAAAGGCGGCGCCTGAGGCGGGAAGGCTGCAAGGGAGCCCAGCCGTACCTTGGATTCCTTAGGCCCCTTAGTGACAATCAGGACAAACAATGGCCTGCTTTTCCTTACTCATGTACAGTAAGTTAACTTACTCCGTACATTCTCATCAACAACAACCTTCTTTATAATCGGTCTCTTCCCCTCTTCCCGCTTATCAGTTTGATCAGTGTACTTCTTGGTTACCTTCATCATTCTTACCCATTCTCCTCTACCACTAACTACACCTATGACTAACCTAAATCATAAGCCAAGCCAGGTTCAATGTTGCCTAGAAATGCCATCGCATTTAGTAAGAAGCAAAGGCTTGGCCACCACTTCACCGCGAACAGCCTCCAGTGGGATGCCGCATGCCGTCATGCCTCCAAAATTCTCTTCTTTCCTTCCTCTCTCTTCCCTCCACCACTTTCACCTCATACCTTGAGCTAGCGTTCGAACACTGGTCGCCAAAATAAATCCACCAACACACATTCTGCTCGCTGTCTTGCCAGCTTTATACTTCCGACGCACAGGAAGTGATCTGGCCGGTTTGTCGTTCTCGTTCCATGTGTGTCACTGGTGATAACCGCATTCGGGCAGTTTCGGGCTCTCTCCCCCGCAGGGTACTTGATCTTCCGGTTGAGATCCCGACGTAGGTCTGGCCTCATCTTTATTACGAAACTCGTGGCAATCCATGCCCACTTAACCACCTGGTGCTGCATCACACACAATCCCAGGACACTCACTTCTCAAATCTTCCACGCTCGTGCCAGCGCATATAACCACCTCGCCCCCCATGAATTGCCCGTCACGCACCGACGATACCCTCGAGCATCCCGACTGGAATCAGAATCCGCCCGCCTTGAACGCAGACGTCACCACCCGAAGTGACTTTAACGGGCTGGCCAATTCTAAGGTCCATAGGCGACACGCGTCGGGGATGGGAGGCGCTTCAGAGGAAGGTGTCTCGGCAATGGATCATCGACCGCATAGTCTAGACGGGAAGGAGACCGAGATAGAGGAGAAATGTCCCGGTGGGGTGATCTCTGTCGCCCCTGGGGATCATATCCCCGGGGGAGACAGCGGATCTCCCTGCCGTTCTCTCAAATCAACCATCTTTTCATATCCTGCGCATGTGGCGCAAAGTCTTGTCAAATTCGCCCGGTTCATAGGCCCCGGCTTTCTGATCGCAGTAGCCTATATTGATCCTGGAAACTATTCGACCGATGTTGCAGCAGGCGCAGAGTACCGTTACGCTCTTCTGTTCATCGTGCTCGTCTCCAATTTGTTTGCTATCTTTCTCCAGTCCCTGTGCGTTAAGCTTGGCACGGTGACCGGGCTTAACCTTGCGGAGAACTGTAGGGAACACCTTCCGAAATGGGTCACTATTGTTCTGTACGTCTTTTCAGAGGCGGCCATTGTCGCCACTGACATAGCAGAGGTAAGACGGACTATCTCCAAGGAGCCTGACTTTATTTCCTAGGCGGAATGCTCAATTGACCGTCCTCGCAGGTAGTTGGATCGGCGATTGCGCTCAACCTCTTACTCAAAATTCCTCTAGTCGCTGGATGTGCGATTACTCTGGCTGACGTCCTCTTTATCCTTATATTCTACCGACCAAATGGGGCCATGTGGGGGTTGCGCCTGTTTGAAATCTTCGTAATGCTTCTTGTACTGGGGGTTGTGATTTGCTTCTGCGTTCAGCTTTCGCTGATCAAAGAGCAATCTGTTGGCGATGTATTCCGGGGCTACCTACCCTCATCTGCCATCGTCCAATCCGAAGGGTATGTGAGCCGTTATCTATTTCGCGTATGCACAGTCCTGACAAGTTGGTTGGCAGTCTGTATCAAAGTTGTGGCATCCTCGGCGCAACGGTAATGCCTCACTCGATGTTTCTTGGCAGCGGAGTGGTTCAATCCCGACTGAAAGAATTTGATGTTACTCAAGGCTACGTGGATCCAAGCGTCTGCCTCGGAAGCACCGGTGGGGAGGTCGAGTATAGACCCTCCATCCATGCCATCCGGGGTTGCATGAAGTACTCAATCATTGAGCTTACGTTGTCGCTCTTCACATTTGCCCTGTTTGTGAATAGCGCCATTCTCATTGTTGCAGGTGCCTCACTATATGGCACTCCCGGGGCCGATAACGCGGACCTCTGGGGCATATACGACTTACTTTCCAGCTCAGTTGCTCCTGCGGCGGGCCTGATATTCGGGTTAGCGCTCCTCCTCTCGGGTATCTCTGCCGGAATCGTCTGTACCATGGCGGGGCAGATGGTCAGTGAGGGGATGTTGAACTGGACTATCAGACCCTGGCTCCGCCGATTGATTACTCGATCGATCAGTATCATCCCTAGCATAATCATTGCGGCTGCCGTCGGCAAGGATGGACTGGACAAGACCTTAAATGCCAGTCAAGTGGTTCTGAGTGTCATCCTTCCCTTTGTTAGCGCGCCTCTCATCTACTTTACATGTCGCAACCGTTACATGACTGTCCCAGCTGACCGGGTCTTCGAGGGCGGAGAATCGGCGCCGGGAGGAGTCAAGATGAAAAACAATCTCCTCGTAACCATCATCGCTGTTATTGTCTGGTTGATTATTGTGGTGATGAACGTCGCGCTTCTTGTTCTCCTTGGGCTCGGCAAGGCTTGAAGCTTGAGCCGACAGACAATTTTTACGACTGCAAGGTTGCGCCAGACTCTAGCCTGGATCGATCTCCGGCCATTTCCCCGTATATAGCTTAGTAGAAGGAAGGAAGAAAAAGAATCAAATTGCTTCAACCCAAATCTTGAAGGAGAATAGACATGACCCAACTCCGAATGCTTCCATAGTTCGAACACCTGACTCACAGAGACGAGACCCACCCCGGTTGCACCCCATCAGCTAAGCCCGCCCGCAGGCTCCTTGATCTTACTCTGCTCCGGCGGCTCATCGATGAACTGCGGGGGCGCGACCTCGTCCTGGAGAAAGCTGGGCATGGCACTGTCGGCCATGGCGCCCTCCATCATGGTCTCCTCGCCCAGGGCCTCCAGTTCGGCATCGAGCTCCGCCTCGTCGACATCCTCCGGCACGTCGTAGGCGCGCGAGATGCTCTCCTGGATCTCGTTGCCGATGTCCATCAGGTCAGCCATCTCGTCCTGCATGCGCTCAATCTTGTCGATGTCGATCTGCCCGTACTGCTTCTTGAGGGTTTTGGTGGTCGTCTTCATCGCGTCCACCGTCGTCATCACGTTCTTCAGGTTGTCCTGCATCATCCCCGCCTGCTCCATGTTCCACGACTGCTGCGACAACTGGTCGCGCTGCGCCTCGTACTGCTTCCGCCGCTGCAGCACTTTCAGGGCCTTCTGGCGCAGCGCCGTCTTGCCGGGCCCGTCACGCATCTTGGCAATCTTGGCCTGGTACGTGGAGAGCTCCGAGTTCAGGGCCGCTAGCTTGACGTCTATGCTGGAGATGCGATTCTCTACCTGTTTTTTCCATAGGAAAGGGGGGTGGAATGGGTTAGTTCAGGCCATTGCAGGTTATGCGTGCGGGGTTGGGTTTGGAGGGGAAGGGCGGAGAAGCGATAGGGGAGATGCGAAAGTGTCAGAGAGAGGGAGGGGTGAGCCGGAAAGGCGAAGGGGGAGTGGGACACATACATTGCTGATCGCCCCGTCCAGTGTTGGCTTGGGAGCCGTGTTCTTGCTACCGAATAGTCGGTTCATTGTTGGTTTCTTCGTTTGTGAGAGATGGTCAAGACGGGGAAGATGACGGAGTGACTGGGGAGAAAGAGTTGGGGTTGTGTTGTGGCAATCGAATGAATGGAAGCTGGAGTGGTTTAGTTGGAGGGCGGGAACTGGGAACACCGTCCGTCCGTTAGGCAGTAAATAGTCTCGCCGCCTACATTCGAACGTTAGATATACTTCGAGCACAGCGGACATTGACTCAACACCGAGGTAGATGTCACTTTCCAAGTGCTTACTTTTGTTCATGAATGTGTGAGGTGTAGTGGCAGGCAACAGTGTTCGTCATTCTCTCTCGCAATCTGATCGAAGCCAGACTTTGACGGGCGACATTACTGAGCGCTTGCGTTCGGAAGTCTTAGCGATCGGCGATTGTGTCGGCACAGCAAGATGTAAGATATTATCAGGCTGAACTTTGAGATGGGTACTCCGTAACTCTTCATCCTAAATTTGGGGATTGACCAGACAGACACTCCACGGGTCATCTGACCGACCGGGGTATATGGAGAATCTGAGCAACACCCCAGATTCCACATTGACTACGGAGTAACTGGCTTCGTACTGGTCTGCCCAACTCTGCCTGTTTGGGATCATACAGTACACAGTCAGGCGCAATCAATACTTCAGTTTGCAGGGTGGTTTGCAGGCTCCGACGCAATCAGCATTCCGCATGATAGTCGTACCCGGTACTCCGTACTTGCACCCACACACGAGCGGGTATGGTCAGTGCGGTACCTGATACGTAGGCCCGACCTCCCAGCACCGGCCATGCAAGGAAGCAAGCAATACCAACTGGAACTGGAACTCGTCTCGTGCAGCCAGCCTGAAGACTCCGACTGTTGCTGCACTGCGCCTTTCCTTACTCAGTAGTTACAGACGTTTTTGTCAAGTTCGAGGAAATACCAGGATTCCACTTTACTATATCACCAAAGAAATAAACAGCTTTGGAGTCTTCATGCTTTATGCCTTTACCCTCTTCTCTGATTAATCATCCGGGTCGAACTCCCTCCAAATTGGAACCCACTAATCAACTCAGACTGTGAAACTCATCGACCATTATTGTTCATTTCCGCAGGACTGACTATCCCACCCCCCCCCCCCCCCCCCTCCTTCTCGTTCAACCCCCCTCTCTTAATCTTCTTACTTCTGCCCTCGCGTATCTCTGGTCCCAAAGTTTGCCCTCCCCCCGCCGTCGCTCGGGCGTGTTGGGTATTTCCGCCTGGATCATTCCTCTCGTCACCTCCAGGGATCAGAGTTACCGACCGATCCAGACACAGCCAGCCAGCGCAGCAACAGTTCGACTGAACTGCCCTGCGGATGTCAGCCCGCCTTCCTTGACTATCTACCTATTCTTCTCAAGGTACTGTAGTTACAGTACTTACTGTACTACCCACACACGCCTAGCACCATTGACTTACTGCCTTAACCTTCATCCATCATCCCCATTACGCAATATTCCTGCTTCATCTTACTGACTGACTCGTTTCACCCCGTGCAGCGCAAGGCTGACGAACCTCGATTCCTCCCCTTGTTGAGGATTCCACCACCGTTTTCTCTTCTCTTGTCACTCCCTCAGGTTGTGAAAGGTATGTGTGTTTCTTCTGAATTTATATGGTATATTCTTCAATTAAGCTTTTGTCCTCCGCTTGCTGGGCCTTCATGCCTGCGATCTGGTGAATTCTGCAGTCGCGGCCGCAATGCCTGACCCGGCCATTGTGTTGCCTGCCTGAAGTCTTCCCTGCTATCCTCCGATCCTCGGGCGAAGCCACCCCTAATGTTCCCGATCCTCACAATCCACGTTTCTCCCCTCCCTCCTCCATGACTATGACGCTCAACGCGCGAAGAGGTTTGCTAACTGGGATACTCGGCGCATGTAGCGCTTGGACGCTCCGGCCAGGCTCATCTCTGCTTACGAAATTCCCGATCTCATTTTCTATACCTGGAACGCGTGAACATAACGACCATTACGCTTGCGATCCCGCCTTCATACACACACTTCTCACTCACGACGATCTGAAACATTGCATGGGTTGTCCCATAGGCTAGAGGCTTTGGACACTCCCACGGCTCTTGTAACATACAACAGGTTCCAGTCGCAACGTTTTCGACAGGGGACTCCGGCCGCTCGAAAATTCCGCACCTACCGAATCTTCTTTCCATGACTCGGTTCGGCCGGTTATATAAATCATCATGTTTTGGCGTTTTGGAGGATATGCAAGTATCTCTAGCATTGATACCCTGCTAGACAAGCCCGATGTCAGCCTGGAGGAGCTGCTGGATGAGTCGGAACTGATCCAGGAACTCAAGCAAAATAATACGAAGCTCATAGAATTCTTACGAGAGGATAATGTCTTGAAACGGCTTATGGACTACGTGATCGCCCCGTCGCTAGTGAATGACGACGATGACGAAGACGATGATACCAACGACAGCAATGCCACGGAATCGAACAAGGATGCATCGGCGGTGGAGGAGAAACACAAAGACCCGCTCAGGGATATGCTGGACCCGGAGGACCTGGAGCGGGCAGAGAAGGATCGGTTGAAGCGGGCTTATGTCGCATGCGAAATCCTGTCATCCGAAATCTGGTCGATCGTGGAGTCGATAATGTTGAACCCGGATCATCTGAAGCAATTCTGGGGCTTTCTGAAGCATCCTTCGTCCTTGGACTCGGTTCAGGCGAGTTACTTCACCAAAGTCAACGAGACGCTGTTTGACAAGAAGACGACCGAGATGCTGGACCTGCTGAAGTCCATGGATGGCGTGGTTCCGGCCATCCTCCGGCATGTGGATAACCCCATGGTCATGGACCTGTTGCTGAAGATTATCAGCTTGGAGAAGGTTGAAGGTGGCCAAGGGATTGTTGATGTGAGTTGATGAAGCCATGAGACCGGGTGCCCATAACACAAGCTGACCATTCTCCCAGTGGCTGAGGTCCCAAAACCTCATACCGACCTTGCTATCGTTCTTGTCGCCGGGATACCCTGCCTCCGTCCAAACCTCGGCAGGTGACTTTTTGAAAGCAATCATCACCATTTCGGCAAACGCAACGCAGAATGACCAGTCCTGCATCGGCCCCAATAGTCTCACGCGGCAATTAGTCTCCACAACCTGCATAGAGACTTTGATCAAATCCATGCTGACAGGTGGAAATCCACTGACGGTCGGTGTGGGTATCATTATTGAAGTTATTCGAAAGAATAATTCAGACTATGACCCGGAGAACATCAATGGGCCGGAGTCACCGCCCACCACATATGACCCAATCTACCTTGGCAACCTCCTCCGACTTTTTGCCAAGCACATACCCGACTTCATGGCCTTGATCAAGAGCTCCAAGCATACGGTCAATGACGGTGGAAAAGTGAAGACAGTTGAAAGGGGAAAGCTGAACTCGGCATGGGGCGCTAAAATCGAGCCCCTGGGCTTCGATAGATTCAAGACCTGTGAGCTGATGGCGGAACTGCTACACTGCAGTAACATGGGTCTGTTGAATGAGCCAGGAAGTGATGAGTACGTTCGACAGCGCGATGCTGAGCGCGAAAGGCTCATGCATGAGGGTGCCTTCAACGCGCACAGAGAGGAGACGTCCGCCTTTGATGGCAATGACTCTACTGTGGACTTCGTGAACGGATCTATTATTGGTTACGGCTCACCAGAAGGTTCGAGGGTTCTTGAAGTTGCCAACACCGGCGAGGAGAGCTTTGAGGATGTCAGCGCATCCGGCGTCCTCGTTGACAAAGAGAAGGATGCGGGGGTCAGGGAAGCGAACCATCCCAGCCCTAAGTCCGAGCCTGAAGCTGTTTCACACGGCTCTGAATCTGCTGATGCCACAGACCCGACTGCGACTGAGGCACCTGAAAGCAAGACAGAAGATTCTACAGAGGCGCCTCCCACTGGGACTGATACTACGTCTGGCTTAGCAGATCAAATTCAGGAAGTTAGCCTCGACGGTGGGCAGCCCGCCAAGCCGCATGAATCGTCTGCTGAGACTACTACCGAGCCAGCCAGTCAGACGCAGCCCACTCCTGATGCGGTACCTGCCCCCGATCAAAATAATCAGCCACCCAGCTCTTCCTCGCCTGATACTGCTGGCCAGGTCGGCGATACTTCTTCTTCACAGCAACTACTGCACCCTGACATTCAGGTTGATTCTAATGGGCAGCCTGTGGTTGGCGATTATCTCAAGATTATGTTCGTAGAAAACCAGGTTGTTCCCACCATCTTGGTTTGTCTCCCCTTCAGCTCCCCAGGTTATGGTGTCAGAATTAACAGCATCGCAGGATTTCTTTTTCCGGTTCCCGTGGAACAACTTCCTTCATAACGTCGTCTACGACGTCGTACAGCAAGTTTTCAATGGCCCAATGGAACGTGGTTACAACCGGATGCTGGCCGTTGATGTGTTCGAGACAGGACGGATAACGCAGAGCATTGTCGACGGACAGAAGAGAAGTGACGAAACCCAGCGCACAAGACAGATCCGCCTGGGCTACATGGGTCATCTCACATTGATCGCTGAGGAGGTCGTCAAGTTCAGCGAGCGCCACCCGCCGGAGCTGCTTTCACCGACTGTGATGGAGAGTGTCCTCAACCCTGAGTGGATTGACTATGTCGAGCAAACGCTCTCCGAGACAAGGGAACGTGACAACGCAATTCTCGGTGGCGTACGGCCGGACATGTCCATTGGACATCGCCAAGGCATGATCAATTCAGGCCAGAGCGCCAATGCTTCATCGGCGCTTGCGGATGCAGGGCTTAATGGCTCTTCGGGAAATTCTGGCTTTCAAGGTTTTGACATGATGAACCAAGGAAGCGTATCCGGCGGGGCATTCGGACTTGGTGGGAATTCTCTTCTGAGCGGGTTCGCCAGCTCGAGTGATGATGAAGACGAAGAAATGGAAGATCAGGACGATAGGAACCTGGCCGATCAATCCGCCGAAGCCGGATCAGACAATGTGGGTGATCACGATTTCACAGATATCGATATGCGCGATGCATGAACCTCCCTCAACATATTGCCGAGGCGATTCTTATCGACCCAGGCTGCCCCATCTACATCCGTCCTCGCGAATCTTTTCTTTCGAACCCCTTGACTGTTTCGCTCTCAACCCGAGCCGCTGGAAATTTAGACACATGATGGATGACGGGAGTGGTACGGGCCATACAGGGCCTGGCACAACGTGTTGGACTGGCAGCGCTTCTCAATATGTATGAAGTCATTCAGAACAGTACTACTCCCCGATATCATGTGCGGATGACTTTCTACAACCAAGCAATACCTTTCCCCGTACGAGTAGTTCTTTGAATTCCCACTATGGCTGAGCCTAGTTCTCGTCATCTATGAAGCTTCATTTATCCTGTTCTTTGACCATGCATATGAGGAAACAAGCATTTCAAGTCGCTCTGCTTACAAATATGCTGACCTTACTCTGTCTTCAGGGATCTGCCAACTCGACCAGCCAACCGATACCCATTCTTCCCCCGCCCCCTGCTCCGATGAGTCAAGGACCCTCCCGCGCACGGCGGCAATTAGCCGCTCGGCTTGCGGCTCAAAAGCAGCAGACCAATGACGGCTCGGAAGGGGCCGAAGACAGGAATCTGGGGAGCGAACATGAGACCTCTGAGTCCCAGTGGCCGACCAATCCCTTTGTGATTGCTGGCCTTGACGAAGACACGGAAGGCAACCATTCTCCAGCAGATGCCGCTTTCCCATCCAACGATTTCCCTCCGACGGGTGACAAAGATGAGCTGTTTTCCTCGCCCACCTTCCCGGAGTCTGGCTTTAGCCCTCCCGACTCGTTCTCCACTGGTTCCTCCGACGATGACGGAGAAGGTCGAACCGAGGGCATGCGGCGCAAGGAACGGGTTCCACTGGAAGTGGAGGACGACGACGATGACATGGGAGAGATGGTGGGGCCTTCTGCTGACCCTCGAATGATGGACTCGGACGAAGAGGATGAGGCGATCATGAATGAATCGCTCGGCTATCCCGACTTAGGACCGGGGCGCTACATGGACTTTGCTCGATCACGCATGGGGGCCTCTCCATTCGGCGAGGATAACGACAACGATAGCAGCGACGGGGAGGATGACGGGCTAGTCGAGATTCTGGTGCCGGGCAGGAAGTCTTCAACATCTTCTATGCACTGATCATTCATCTTTGTTTGTTCTTTTGATATCCTTTGCACCTTCAGTTTCTATCTTTCGCGGATTCCCTTTCCCTGCTATTGTGAATCTTAGGTTACTACGTCTTGGGTGGTGCTTTGATAATGCTTAACTTGATGGGATTGGTACAGGTTCCATCTTATGTACACTAGTTGACTGCATGGCATTCGCCTTATCCTGTGATGATGAGGTCGCTTGATCACGAGTTTGAGATGGTGCTGTTTATGGATGCTTTTTACTGCAGCATGATCTCGTGGGGGATGCTATAGTATATTCTCCCCCTTGTTTTCTGTTTTATTTTCATTCTCAAAGCAATTAGCTTTGAATCATGTGAAGTGACGAGATTTCTTTTATAACGAATGCTTGATGTTACTGCGTTTTGGCTGATCTTGGGGTTTCATACTGTCTCACTGCTATTTTTATCGTATTTGTAAGATACTTTCGGGAGCGAAAGGATTTTGGTCTTGTTCTTTTCCCCTGTCGAATCACGAATTTGGAAGATGATGGTAGTGTCCGCAGTAAACTGATATTGATATAAGAAAAGTGCTGTGCTGCAACAATACAGTAAGTAATCCCGAGTCGGGAGTGAAAAAGTGGGACAATTTCCGGTTCGGGAGTCGAAAATCGAATCATGCCAATTGCTCGACCCGCCAAGGTTCTTCTTAAGCTCAGCTCTTGACCTTGGTTTCCGAAACTTCGACGACCGTGAACTACAATTTCTACTTCTCAGCAACAAAGGTAGTCGTCCGAGTCAGCCATTCCAGTGGCCATCCTCTCATAGTATGGCTACGAGCACGACCGCGGGGTCTCCCAGGTAAGTCGAGGCTCTACTTTTCGTTCTATCGCCGGATAGGTTCCAAGCATGACGTTGAATCGCTACGAGCTATATGATAAGCGTCCACTGGATGGTATTCTGCTGCCGTTTTCCATGAAACACACTCTGTGTCAATGTCATTCCCTTTAGCAATAGAACAAGAACACAAACACAGAAACCAAAAAAGAAAGAAACTGACATCTCCCTCGCAGCACCACCAATGCCACCACCGGGCTCGAGGTCTACGCCGACCTCCAAGCCTGGATAGCCCAGCACGGCGGCCAGCTGCACCACGCAGTGCAGGTTGCCAAAGACGAGCAACGCGGGGTGCACCTGCAAGTCCGCCAGGGCACCGAGGGTGGCCTCCTGGCCGTGGACACGCACATCATTCAGACGCCGCTGACCACGACGATCTCGTACTTCAACGTCATCGGGTACCGTGCATCATCCACCGCGGCCGCTTCCGATGCAGATGCAGACGCCAACGACGGTGGAATCGTTGAGTTCAAGTCCCACGGCCTGGACTTCCCGCGCGCCTTCATCGACGCGGTCGGCTCGAAGGAGGCGACCGTCTTCTTCCTGGTGGGCCAGTATCTGCGCGGCGCGCAGAGCTTCTGGTACCCGTACCTGCGGACGTTGCCGCAGCCGGGGACGTTGACGACGCCGCCTAACTATGAGGGGGAGGACCTGCGGTGGTTGCAGGGGACGAGTCTGTTGCCGGCCAGGGAGCAACGGGTCGAGAAGCTGAAGGGGAAGTATGAGGCTGCCGTGCGGGCGTTGAGGGAGGCTGGGTTTGAAGGGGTGGAGGCGTATACTTGGTGCGTACTCTTGTTTTTCTTCTCTTTTGTTTGAGGCTTTGTGTCGTGGATGTCTTGTTTGTGTTGTTGGTGAAAGGTGATGGATGACGGAGGATTGGGGTTAATCTCGTGTGGCTAGGGATCTCTATCTATGGGCCTCGACGATTTTCTTCTCGCGCGCCTTTTCTGCGAAGGTCTTGTCCGGTGTGATTCCCAAGGAGGAGCTGTCGGAGGAGAATATCTCGGTCTTGCTGCCCTTCTTCGACGTGGCTAATCATCGGCCGCTGGCTAAGGTCGAGTGGCGAGCGGAGAAGGATGAGGTCAGGTTTGTGGTTCTGGAGAACGTGAGTGCTGGAGAGGAGATCTCCAATAACTACGGACCTCGGAACAATGAACAGTGTAAGTAAGATAAATGGCCGTCTTCGATGTTTGTTTTAACAGCTGGACTGACGCCCAAGCAGTGATGATGAACTACGGTTTCTGTCTTCCGGGCAATCCTTGTGACTATCGCACTGTGAGTCTTCGCGCACCAGCTGGTAGTCCGCTTCAGCAGGCCCGCTCCCATCAGCTCCAGATGTTCCCGCATTTGGCTGCGGAAACTGAAGACCACTACTACGTCTTCAACATCTTCTATCCGCTGCTGGCCCCGGATACTGCAATGGAGCATTCGATCTTCTCGCCTGCTCTCCTCAATGCGGTCTCCGTCCTGGCGGCGAACAATCGGGAATTGGAGACTCTAGAAATCACGGACCACAACATCAAATTTCCCAGCGTCTACGGTAACTCACGCACGCTGCTGGCTGCAATGAGCCAGATTGTGATTGAACTTATTAACCATGCTGTGAAGCTGAGAGCCTCCGGCCAAGATCTACAGCGCCCGGAGAATCTGAAACAGATTCACGCGAAGATGTACCGTGACAGCCAGATCATGCTTTCTGAAACCGCTCTTGTGATAGCTGCATGGACTCTGAACCGCGCGCGGCAGCACGGCTTCACTGGTAGCTGGGAAGAAACGAAAAGGATACTTGGGGCCCATATGGGCCGGATACCTGCCGGCAAATTCCCGGAGGGGATCTTGTCCCGGCTGCAGATGCGGATCTTAGAGAGGCAGTCGCTACTCACCAAGAACGGAGAGCTATTCACATTGACTGAGCTGCCGGGTCTTCTGCCAACGGAGATGCAACAGCCATGCAAGGCATGCTTCCAGGATGTCCTCAACACCACGGAGAATGCCATCCCCGTACTCAGAGGCAGCGCGGAGGCATCGCCCTTCGCGTTTCCCATCTTCTTGTGTCTCGTTGCCGCAGCTGGTACAACTACGAAGGCCCCAGGCTCTGCGGGAGGCCAATTGTCGCCTAGACTTACTCGATGGGCGAAATTCCTGCTCGAGAACTACCCGCCACCGCCAAATGATGTGGCCTGGGCGCTCGAGGATGAGGATGATGAGTACCTAGCGAGCCAATTTGATGAGGCTCTGGAGCAGATGAAGTCACAGAGCTCTGTTGTATTTACTGGATTGGAGGCCTACACAGGCCCATGGCAGAACGATGACTGGTGGCTGTCGCCCAATTGGATACGCTGGGCGTGGATGGTAGCAGAGCAGGAGTGCGTGCACATGCCTGAAGATCCGCTACAATTGCTAGCCAGCGATGGGCAGGTGATGTTGTCCACAGGATCGTACTTGTATATTCCTCAGGAGGAGTAGACGCGACGAAGAATTGAATGATGACTCGATGAGATCAAGACTCTGATCACGAATAGGAATAGAATCAAATGTAAGGTATAACTAGCACAAAAGCGCGGCTTACTCATTATGTATCACGTGATGTACACAGGACCAATCAGCGGGCGGGGAAAGGCGGATATTCAGCAGGCGCAGGAATTGCCGCGCCGGAAGGGTGGAAGCTCAACTGCTGAACGCCTTCATCATCTCGATCCCCTCCGCCTCCCCGTCAATTGACACCTTTCCCCCCAGTCTCTCCGTGCAGCCACTGGGCCAACATTCACCATGATATCCCGAGCGGCGGCTCCCTCGTCTTCCTCCATCGCCAACCTTTCCTCCCGCTCCCTCCGAGCCCAGGCCCCGGCTGCCCGTTCTTTCGCGACTGTCCAGGACAACGCTCCCCCCGTACGACACTATGGCGGCCTGAAGGACCAAGATCGCATCTTCACCAACCTTTACGGTCACCATGGAGCCGACCTCAAGTCGGCAATGAAGTTCGGTGACTGGCACCGCACCAAGGACATTGTCCTCAAGGGTCACGACTGGGTACGCTGCCCCTAAGATAACCACCTCACTTTCCATCGCCGACACGTGGACGGATATGTGGTGTCGATAACGGTTCAATGCTAATGATTGCATTCGGTGCACAGCTTATCTCCGAGATCAAGGCCTCTGGTCTTCGTGGTCGTGGTGGTGCCGGTTTCCCCTCCGGATTGAAATACGTAAGTCTCTCCAAGTCCCCTCTAGCGCGGAGGCAAACAATTGGTCAATTCCGAGCTAATCGGGCGTGGCATCTAGTCCTTCATGAACTTCAAGGACTGGGACAAGGACCCCCGCCCCCGTTACCTGGTCGTCAACGCCGATGAGGGTGAGCCCGGAACCTGCAAGGATCGTGAGATTATGCGCAAGGACCCCCAGAAGCTCATCGAGGGTTGCTTGGTCGTCGGTCGTGCGATGAACGCCAACGCCGCCTACATCTACATCCGTGGTGAATTCTACCACGAAGCCACCGTCCTGCAGCGGGCTATCAACGAGGCCTACGAGGCCGGCCTGATCGGCAAGAACGCCTGCGGCACCGGCTACGACTTCGACGTCTACATCCACCGTGGAATGGGTGCTTATATCTGTGGTGAGGAGACCTCTCTGATCGAGTCGATCGAGGGCAAGGCCGGCAAGCCCCGTCTCAAGCCCCCATTCCCCGCTGCCGTCGGTCTGTTCGGTTGCCCCAGTACGGTCACCAACGTCGAGACCGTGGCGGTGGTGCCCACCATCATGCGTCGTGGCGGCAGCTGGTTCTCCTCCTTCGGTCGTGAGCGCAACGCCGGTACCAAGCTCTTCTGTATCTCCGGGCACGTCAACAACCCCGTCACCGTCGAGGAGGAGATGTCCATCTCCCTTCGCGAGCTGATCGAGCGTCACTGCGGTGGTGTCCGCGGTGGCTGGGACAACCTCAAGGCCATCATCCCCGGTGGATCCTCGACCCCCATCCTCCCCAAGTCTATCTGCGACGACCAGCTCATGGATTTCGACGCACTCAAGGACTCCCAGTCCGGTCTGGGTACCGCCGCCGTCATCGTCATGGACAAGTCGACCGACGTCGTCCGCGCCATCTCCCGCCTGTCGACCTTCTACAAGCACGAGAGTTGTGGTCAGTGCACGCCCTGCCGTGAGGGCAGCAAGTGGACCATGCAGATGATGCAGCGCATGGAGACCGGCCAGGCCCGCGAGCGCGAGATCGACATGCTCCAGGAGCTGACCAAGCAGGTGGAGGGTCACACCATCTGCGCTCTGGGCGAGGCCTTTGCCTGGCCCATCCAGGGTCTGATCCGTCACTTCCGGCCCGAGCTGGAGGCGCGGATCCGCGAGCACGCTGAGCAGCTCGGCGGTCAGTCCCCCTATGCCGGTGGATGGCACCCTAACAGCCGGGCTGAGGGCAAGTTGATCTCTCCCGGCCAGTAGGTTAATTGAAGGGGTGGGTGTCAGTGGAAGGAAAAGTCCGAGACATTAATCAAATCTTCTTTTTCTTGCTCGATCTTAGAAGAAAGGGTCTGGGTGTATGTCTGCGTGTGGGTGGTGTTTCAATTTTCTTTTTTTTCATGTCTTGTTCGATCATGTACAGTCTTGGTAGCAATTCATATCTTTTCTTTGTTATGATATTCGTGATTTTAACTGGTGGTGATATTACAGAGTATCTGTTGTGGATAGTCTGCCGCGGGTTATCGGAGTCGGTTCAGTGATGCCATAGCAACACCCTCAGCGTAAACCTGTTGCACATACGCTAACTCTACCACGCTCAACCGGTTCCCTTCTACAACGGAAACTGACTACCCAAAGGATAGTATCGATCTCGCACGCTGGAAATGAACACAGCACAATAAGATAACCCCGTCATCCAGCCTCCTCACCCCCAAACCCCACCCCATCGACAGCCCATTCAATCACTCCGCAACCTCCACCACCAACTTAACACAACTCACCCCGCGCCGCAGCTCATCCAACCCAGCATTCACAGCCCCCAATCCCCTCCCAACAACCCTCGCCTCCGGACTGGCCCGAATCCTCCCTCTCTCCAAATTCTCCCGCAACCACAGTCCCAACCAACCCCGAAACTGGGCCAGTCTCTCCCCCTCCCCCGCCGCAGGCATCACAAACACCGTCTCCACCCCATCTACCGCCTCCGCCTCGGCGGGCACCGGCGGCGCCGACGCGATCATCCCTTTTTCCTGGTTCTCGCCAACAAGAGCCCCCACCACCGCCTGACAAAGCCCCAACTGCCCCACCGCCAGAAAACAATATCGAATCACCAGCCCCTCCTCCCGGGCTGTAGCGATGATCTTAGCGGTAGCGAGGGGATCCCCGTAATCGAAGACGCGGTCCGCACCGAGCGAGGCGACGTACGCGCGGGTCCGGGGTGTTCCGGCGGTGGCGTAGACGGCGGCGAAGGGGGTGGACGGGTCGGCGCGGAGGAGGCGCGCGGTCTGCACGCCCATGCTGCCGACGCTGGAGGCGGCGCCCCAGATGAGGAGGGCTTGATCCTTTTGCTTCGGTGGGGTGGTGGTGGGGTGGGAGTAGGGGGAGTCTCTAGGTGCTGGGTTGTGGGGAATGCCCATCGCATCCCACGCGCTCAGCGGGACTTGCACGGCGACGGGGAGGGTGGCTGCTTCGTTCCAGGTCAACCTGCCGTCCTCTTCGTCGTCGTTGTCGGGGAGGACGACCGCGTGCTGCCACGGCACGAGGCACCGCTCCTGGAACGCGCCGTAGTCCGGGTGGCTGGCTTTCCAGACTAGGGCGCTGTAGGCGGCGATGCGGGTTCCTGGGTGGAATTCGAGGGGAGGGACGTCGGCGCCGGCTGAGAGGACGAGGCCGGCCAGGTCGAAGCCTAGGACTGTCGGGTAGCTTGAGGCAGGCACAAAAAGGCCGGTGTCCTGCATGATGTGGTCGGCTGGGTTGAGGGCGATGGATTTGACCGCGATGAGGAGCTCGTTTGGACCGGGTTGAGGGGTGGGTCGCGGGTGAAGCTCGATGGGTTGGCCGGGGCCCGGGGAGATGGCGGCGAGGTGGGTGGTTGTCATTGTGAGGGAGGGCTTTGGGGGTGTGCAGGGGGATAGGAGATTGTTGTAGGTACAAAGGGTTGGGGATTGGGTGGATGAGGCTGGTATTTATGCTATTGAAGTATCGTTTCATAGTGAAGGGCGTTGATGGTTATAGATCCTCGGAGCCAATCAGAGACCTTTGCATCCGAAATGTGGCTAGCGCCGCGTGGAAGATCTCGTGCCCAAAACGGTTAGTGCGTGCGGTGGGTGCCTGAGGGGACGATGTGGGAACTATACTTAGTCCAATGACTGACTGACTGACTGACTGACTGACTGACTACTTCCCATCTATTCCGTACCATTCCCAGCCCGCCCAAATGTCCTCAGCATGTGCAGAAAATGCCCTTGTCCAGAAGCGAAGCACCAGTCAACGAAGATCCAGATATGGCTGCCGCAATTGCAAGCTCCGAAAACTCAAGGTAGGCTGGCTTGTTGGCTCTCGCCTTGGCTAGACTGACTGGTGTGCTCTTCAGTGCGACGAAAGCAGACCCCACTGCAAGAAATGTCGCGCCTTCGGAATCGTATGCAACTCCATGTCCAATGTTCCCGACCTGCAGCCCATCGCCGCTGAGACAGGGAGGCCATCGCTGGCGGTTCGAGGAAAAGCTGAGCTACAACGCCCCGTCGCCAGTGCAGTCTGGACCGCGGACCAATCGACTTTCTATCAGTTGAACACGAAGTGTCAGGACTTCCTCACCCGGTATTATGGAAGCAGTCTCCTCAGCCCGGGCGACCCGAACATGATGCACGTGAATCGCAGGCTCCTGCAACTAGCCTTCGCCGTAAGTACTGTATCCGGTTGATCGTGTGGGGCTCGACATCCTAGATCGCACTCGGCTAATATCACGCTGACAGTACCCTTATCTCATGCACGCCTCTCTCGCCGTGGCACTCACCTACGACCGCCACCTGAATACCTCAGCAGGCAGCCGTCGCAGTCTGGACGAGTGCTACCACTGGTACCAGAGCACCGCACTTCTCAACCGGCGGTTCAGGGAGCGGCCGATCCACGCTGAAGACAAGGATCCACTCTGGGGCACGCTGGCTGCGCTGGCAGTTCTGGCCTTCTCCTCTCCTGAGGCATGCACGCCGGAAGAATCGTGGCCCTTCACCCTCTCAGACCAAACCGATGCGTTGGACTGGGTCCGTCTGAGCAAAGGTAAAATGGCACTGTGGCATATCGTCGACCCCCTACGCCCGGACAGTGTCTTCCGCGTCATGGCACCTACCTTTGCACAGATGAACACCTCCTTGCCGCAGCGCGGCGTGCATCGTATACCGCGGGCTGTGGCGGCCTTGTGCCTCCTCCACGAGGCATCGACGGCGACAGATAATCCGTACTTCGAGGCCGCCCACGCTGTTGCGCAGATCCTGGACCTTCCAGACACAGGAGTCACCACCGGTCCAGCGCAGCTCTTCATCCGCAGTATCCATGGTGTCTTTGAGGACATGCTCCGCAACAGGGACCCTGCCGCGCTCGTGTTGCTGTATCTGTGGTACCGCAAGGCCGGTCGCAGTATCTGGTGGATTGAGCTGAGAGCCCGAGTGGAGTGTCCCTCGATCTGCTTATACCTTCAACGATATCACAAAGGGGATACTGCGGTGCAGGCGTTCCTTCCGGATGGAGTCTTTGCGGAGAGGTGGAGTTGAACGGGTTCTTCCACCGAAGCCTTGTTTGCAGACTGCGTGTCAAAGACAGCCGGCACGGATGGCTTTGTCGCCGATGTTGCGACAGTCGATGATCACCATCTATCCGGCAACCTTTGTTTGTGGGATGGAGCTGGGTATCAATCATGCAAGCTATAAATATACCCATCTTCCTCCGTCACACCTATCACGACAACCTTCCATACCCTTCCAGAAACAGACACATTCCAGTCCGCGTCTAAGCAAGCTCCCCACCGGCAAGATGACCGACCGAGACCTCAACATCGACATCGAGGGAGTCGACAAGGTCCTGTTGCTGAGGCTTCTGCACGACAGCGCAAGGTCGTTTCCGAGGACCGCCAGACGGGCCTTCGATGAGCAGGCGGCACACGTAGCGGTTAGGAACTATATTCATTATTTCTGTGGCTGTTTGATAGCCTGTGATATCTCCGGCAAGACGGCCCGGCATACCTGGCGGTATGATTGGTACGTAGGGAAGGGGTCCTTTGTGGAGAAAGTTGCCATCGCGCGGGAGTTTATGGTGGGTGAGCAGCTGGAGTCAGAGTTGCGGTTCCAGTTGGATGGGGCTTCTGCTTGATTTTCCTGGTTGGCGGTCTTGATGGCTATTTATATTTACTTTAGGCGGTATACTTGCTGTAAACATTATTTTCATCACATCTAGAATTCTCCCGGACTAGGTATAGTCCCCAAAGAAGTAGCATGCTAGTAGTCAACCAAAAGCGAGTGACAGCACGCTGACCAGCCACTCCTCGCATTCTCTGGCCTCAATCGAGATTGATTGTGACAGTTACAATGCAAGTGAGGGAAGGGTAAGTGAATTTGGGAGTGGTTTGACCACGCTGACGCCTTCCGCAACGCGAGGTAACCCTTCGTTCGGTTTGGCTAAAGCTTCGCGATGCTTAGCGCTATACTAGAAACCTAAGTCAACACAGTAATCAACATACTCTACTACTATTTATTCCCGGAGTTCAGCACGTAGACCAGACTGGCCATTTGATGCACCCTCGAGTCAATCTTCTCGATCAGCATACCCAAAAAAGCACCAGAAGAATGGCACAATTCAACCAGGGTCCTCCTGGACTACTGCTGATGTTCCTGTAGTCTGACTGACTGGGTTTGTTTTATCTCAGGACTCGAAAGTAGCCTGTCTGCGCATGCCCTTGTCGTTATCACTGTCGTTGTCACTCCACTCCCGGTCTACTCACTCACGCACTTACTCAAGATGATTGCTGGTTGCTGGTTGCTGGCTGCTGGCTGCTGGTTGCACCGGTGCCTCGTGAGATGCTTTTCCCCCTTCCGCCCAGCCCATCACCCATTTTCCCTGGTCTCTTGGGGGTGGGTAACACCTCGGACTATGTGTGCTGATGTCGAGTCCCGTTACAGGCTACCAGGTATAAGCATATGCGAGCTTGTGGATCTATTCTATCGGGGTGATGTTTGTTTTATGTACTGCGGCATCCAAGTCGTAGATCGCATCTGCGAGAAGGGACCATTTGCATGCTAATGTGGCCATACTTTATATCTTCAGAAATCCCCAGGGAGTCGATCAGAACATCCGTACATCAAGATAATCATTCGCTGTGGCTGACTATGACTTAGCTTAAAGGCACTCTCTCGAAAAATGTGGAACCCAAGATAAAAGTAATCACTGCATAAAGAAAAAGAAACACACAAATACATGCAGTCGAAGGACAGGAGCAAATCAGCTAGGATACATAGAGCCGCACATCGATGTCGACCCTTCGATACAAATAGGGGTAAGACAGGGGGGGAAGAAAGTGAACAAGTGAGGGAGAAGAGGGAGAAGAGGGAGAGAGCAAGGGGGTGTGCAAGAAGAGAAAAAAAAAAAAAGACAAAGACGCCCTTCACCAGAGGTCATCCAAGAACTACCAGACAGCACAATATCAAATCCAACGACTGCCTCAACCACTGGAGACTTTTGCCATGCGTGCCTTGATCCATCATCCAATTAATACCCTCCAGCCATGATGACCCCGTAGTAACGTCGACTCATTTCCGCTGTCTGCGTGAGGCGCGCATCGCCCGTCAGCGGCAGACTGAGCACACTCGACAGATCGTTGGCCTAACCCATAATTAGTCTTGTTTCGATTATTCAAGTCTCAACCCGTCTTACCTGGCTGTCTTCGTGTGCCGTCCAGCGTGCTACAGCTCGGCTCATCTCCCGGAACGCAACTCGCTCCTCCAAGCCTTCCACGCCAGAACCCTGCCGAATCTGATCGCCCAGCTGGACCAATGCCTGCACCAGCCGATGCAGTCGCGCGGGGTCTCGCCTGCCTACTCTCGCCGTGGCCAGATGCAGAAAATCCTCGTAGATCCCGCCCCCCTGAGCCCAGCCGCGCACCTTGCGCTCCGGTTCGGCACCAAAGCCTGAGATCAACGTCTCCAGTGTGGCATAGTCACCTTCAATGACTGCCGACGGTCCGACAATGCGACAGAAGGTGGCATGCGCATCGTTCCAGTTCTTGGCCCGCACCAGATAGTCCACCTCGTGTGCAGCATTACCGGTGTCGCGCGCATAGAGTGCCTTCGCCACCCAGATCCAATTCTCGGGAATCTGCGAGTCTGTGACGAGGTACTTCCACATCTTGTTCGGCGATCCGTCCTCTTTAACCGGGTATGGAAGCGACAGCGCATTTCGAGCCAGAATATCCTTGATGGCTCGTTCCCGATCAGAAGCGCGAGAGAGGTGAGAGAAGACGAATATGCTCCGTGCAAGGGCACCCGAGTTGAAGAGTTCCCATGCATAGTCCCAGGTGAGCTGATCCATCTGAGCCACATTGAGCTGGAATTGGTCATTGCGCCCAACGGCCGCGGCGAGGAAATGGCACAGTTGGAAGGACAGGCGGTTGGTCAGCCGGTCACCCGTTAACGACTCGGGCAGCAGGGCGGCTGGAAACTCCAATCCGTCCAACTGGGTTTTCTGGGCTGCCTCAGTAGTAGCGGCATAGGCCTTCAACAGCACCCACAGCGGAGATTCACGATCCTGCGCAGTGGTAGATTGGTAGAATTGAGAAGGATTTGGTAGGGGAAGTGCGGTTTCAACACCACTACGTAGATCTTCGACGAAGTTGCAGACGGCATTCTCCAGCGGCTCATCGTCACCGATCCCGTACCACAGGCGCAGACCAAAAGCCTGGATCCAGTCCAAGTCGAATCGTTCTGAGAACGTGAATGCAGAAATCCGATCCTCGAGCGCCCCCGTAGTCTTGCCCTCACTGCGTAGGGCATTGCCCGCCAGCAGTTCATACAGAGCGCGCACAGGCTCACTCATCTCCGAGTACGCGTTGCTCTGACGCCACATGTCAATTTGCTTGGCTATATCGTCCCGTACGGTGGCATCCCGACCAATCTGCGAAACAAGAGTGGCGAGGTGGAAGTTTTGGCTCGAGAGCAGCACATTGCACGCCTCGTCAACCCGATGGGCACACAGGAGATTGACAGCGCGTTCCTCTGGTGAACCCACCTTACCCAGCTTCTGGGCCTGTTTTTGCCGAATGATTCCTTCCAGCAGACGGGTGAGGCGGTCTTTCTTGATACGGTGAGAAAACTGGGACCGGATCTCCTTGGGCACGCCAACAGAGATATCGTCTTCAAGCTCGTCGTTGAACAGGATGTTGGCCATTTGCCAGAGCAGCCGCTCTTGGTCAGCCACCAATGTACTGCCTGCGGCTGTAGCGGCCAATCTATGGAAGTCGGCATGGGCCAGGCGAGCAAAGGGCACTACTCCATCCACGGGCTTGATAATCGTGATTTCGCGCTGGGCGTCCAGCATCGCTACCGGCTCATTGGGCTTCCTATACTTTAGTACGGAAACGTCACGTCCTTCGCTGGTCACGGTGAGACTATGTTCCCAGTAACTCAGGCCAGCCTCGACAGGGTCGGCGTTGTTCCGTACGCAAAGCAATGCATTTGAAGGTCCCCAGCGTGGTTTGAAGGAGTAGTGGAAGGCAAGGTCGTCAGCGCTCAACTCATTGGACTCGCCAGCATAAGTCTTGGGCTGTTTGTGGTAGGGCCACTATGGAGGTAGAAGTCAGAGGCGTTGCTTCAGGCACCAATAGTGCGATATTGCAGTGACGGGTAGGCATCACGGCAACAAGGGCAGAAAACAATCCAATAAGAAAGAGAAGGAAGGGTGGTCATACCTCAGGACCTTTAGGTCGTGCGTCTTGTACTTTCACAGGCGATGCAGTCTGTTGTCTCCGGGGTTGCTGAAATAGGGAATTCATTAGATCAATACTAGTTGCGAAACCCTTCTGCTTGGTTTCGCTGGTAGACTGCTTTTGGGTCTCCTCATGCAGAGAGCGTTCATTGAAGGCATTCGCCTGGATCTCACGTAGGGCATCCCGGTTCTGCTTCCGAGGACTAATGGTTCGCTGCAACTGTTCAGCCCAATCGCCCGTCAGATCCAGACGGGGCTTCGCCGGAGTATTCCAAGGCTTCAGCGACAGCCGAGGGTCTTCCATGTATGTGTCGGTGCTTGCGGTGTCGTCGCGCTCCACGGTATGATGAAGGTCCGGAAATGTGCCCGCCATGTCCATTTCCTCACTCTCATCCAATTCAACTTCAGACTCGACAGTCTCCATACTTTCAGTGATGTCGTCGCTGTCTTGCTCAATAGTTGAACCCGTGGAGCCGTCCTCTAAAAAAGAATCCTCTTCCTCCTCTTCCGAGCCCAAGTGCTCGTCGTCCATCGTCTCCATCGCCTGGTGGCCAAATGCTCCGGGGACTATCTTACGCTTTTTGAAATCGAAAGTGTCGTCATCGACGCCGGCCACGGAACCGAGGAAGGAATCGTCAGTGGAGAAGGCTGACAGATGCTCCGAGCCCACGGTGTTGTCGTGATTGGCAGGGGTTTGGGCCTTCGGAGTCGGGGTGTCAGGAGCAGCACTCAAAGTGCTTTGGTTTAGGCTCTCACCTTCTTCTTCCTCATCACTATCATAATCAAGACCATAGGTGGTGAAATGAGGAACCTTGAAAACCCACGTGCCGGTTTCCACTTCGTAGTCGATGAACTCGGTGTTGTGCACCTTGACCAACCGGTCGACGTGCTTGTCGAACAACGGGCCACTCGTCAAGGGAGAGGGCGACTTCTTGTCGCGGCCACGGGGCCAGGAGTTTTCGATACGAAGGATGGACGGGACGTTCAAGCCCTTACCCCGGGGAGGTTTGATGGTTTCGTCAGGGTAGACGGTGATCTTCCGCACGCCAATGTCGACAAGACCGCCGCAGACATTGTCCAGATCGATGGTGGTCAGATCCACGGGTTCATCGAAAGTCACCTGACCGCAGTTCTCGCGTCCCACGGTGAAACCCACCACCTTCTTCAGTTGCTCGCGGCTCATCTTGCTAAGCTCGGCGCGAGTAGGCTTCATGAAGTACTCTCCAGGCTGCGGATCCCCGCCGGGAATGAAAGAGAGCTGCTTGGGGGCGGCGTTGGTCGCGGTCGGTTGCGCAGGCTCCGAGGCAGCGGGCAAATCGTTGTTACGGACGGACTCCATCTCAGGACGAGCAGCAATCTCCGGGGTCTTGGTTCCATTGACGCCGTTGATTGTGCCACTTTTGCGGACGGAACGCAGGAATCCCAGCTCCTCGGGAGTCGGCTCAGCACTTTGGGTTTCGACGGGCACAATCTCCCCGCCAGTCTGTGCAACCTCGGAGGACGATTCAAAGCTGACCCTCTTCTTTCCCTTGTCCACAGGAGCGGCAGTCTCTTCACCGTTAGTGATGGCTGCAGGAGGAGTACTGGTCGAGCGCGTGAACAAGTCATTCCGAAGGCTTCGGTCGATAGTCAGACGCTTCAGGCTTCCACTAGACAGGCGAGAGCTACCGGAAGAGAGGGCACCGGGGGAAAGAACACTATCGGCTTCAGGATCAAATGTCTTTCGTAGGTTACTGGTCGATAGACTCTTGCTGAAGCTGGTGCGGCCCAGGCTGCTAGCATTGAAGCTGCTACGCATGCTGCCCCCAAGGACACTACCACCAAGTCCGCCTGGAGTGTTCGCGGTGCTCGATGGAGATCCGTATGTGGAGTACGAAAAACCGTAGCCACGTTTGGGAGGAGTCAGAAGGCGATTTGCGGCGGTGGGTGTGATCTTGTAAACGGGAAGAGGAGTGCGTTGCTTCTGCTTGTTGGAGGAAGACAGCGGCGTGGCCAAGGGGCCGGGGCTTGCAGCGCTGGGTGCTGGCAGACCAGAGAAGATAGACTGGTTGCCGTAGGGATTTCCTTCCAGCAGGGAGGCCTGCAGACTACCAGGGGCGGGTTGCTGACCCAACTGCTGTGCGGATTGAGACAGGCTGCCACCAAAGAGGCTGGAGGCCCCCAGGGTAGTCGGTTGCTGGTTCTGGCTCGCGCCGCCGCCGAAGAGGGACCCAGTTGCAGCCGGCGCCGCGGTACTTGCGCCGCCTCCGAAGAGACTGCCGCCCGAGGCTCCAGCTCCACCGAAGAGACTCGGCTTCTGCTGTTGCTGGGCCGCACCGCCGCCGAAGAGACTCGAGCCACCACCAGTCTGCTGGTTCTGTGTGTTGCCGAACCCTCCAAATGCACTTGTGCCCGTGCCCGTGCCCGTGCCCGTCGCACCTCCTCCGAACAGGCTCTTCTGACCTTGCTGCTGCGATCCGCCGAAAAGAGAGTTCGATTGAGCTGGTTGTTGGGTGGTGTTGCCTCCGAACAAACCGCCGCTCGCAGGTTGTTGGGTCTGCTGGTTTTGACCGAAGAGGGAGGTACCGGTGGTGCCGGTGCCAGTGCCGGTGCCGGTGTTGCTGCCGCCGAAAAGACTCGGGGTGCTCGTCTGCTGCTGTTGTGTGTTAGCACCAAATCCACCAAATAGCCCTTTGTTCGGGGTCTGTGCCTGATTCTGAGCCTGGTTTTGCTGGCCAAAGCCGGTACCACTACCAAACAAACCACCGCTCGACTGCTGCTGTTGGCCTCCAAACGGAGAAGACGTAGCTGCGGTGCCGCCAAATGGAGAGGCTGCGCTCGTGTTCTGTGCGCCAAAGCCACCGAATGCGCCCCCGCCGCTGGAGGTACTACCTCCGCCAAAGAGAGGTTTGTTCTGTTGCTGGGTGTTGTTGGCGCTGTTGCCGAACATCCCCCCGGAACCGAATCCAGTGCTCCCGGTAGTGTTTCCAAAGCCACCCGATGTTGCCGTGTTACTGCCGAACAGGCCCGACTGGGTAGTAGCCGTAGCAGCAGCTGGCGTTCCGCCGCCGAATAAAGTGTTGGCGGGCTTCTGAGCTCCGAACAACGGATTGGAGGTATTACTACTGCCAAAGCCGCCTGTGGTTTGGGTCTGGCTGCCGAAGGCCGACGGGGCACTTGTGTTTGCGCCGAATGGTGAAGAAGTGTTTCCAGCTCCAAATCCAGTGGATTGAGTTTGGCCACCGAAGCCAGAGCTGCCGAAGGCGGAAGCGCCAAAGGCGCCTGCTTGTCCACTTCCGTTGCCGAAGCGACGGCCTCCGTTGTAATCGCCTAACCGAAGCTCTTCGAACGAATACTTGCTGTAAGGCTGCATGAACACGATGCTCTGATAGTGATTGGTCGTGGTGCTGGCGGCGTCCTTCTCTGTAAAGGGAGTGAACGGGGTGCTGCCGGTGCCTTCGGAGGGAGGTACAGCTTGGTTGAAAGCGGTACCGCTACCGCCCCCAAAAGCCGGTGCTGCTCCGCTCCCAAACCCGCTGGTGCTGGCGCCACCGCTGGCTCCGAAGCCGGTAGTACCAGCGGTGCTACCGAAGCCGGTGGCAGGTTTGTTGGCACCGAACAGTCCACCACCTCCAGCACTGCTGCCAAAGCCACCGCCGGTGTTCACAGCGGAGCCAAAGCCGCCAAAGCCGGTATTACCTGTTGGAGCCGATGTGTTGGTTGACCCAAACAAACTACCGCCGGTGCTGGGTCCCGGAGTGCTGCCGAAGCCGCTGGTGCGATTCTGCCCCGCACCGAACAAGGAGTTGGGCTGTGTCTGTGTATTGGCGCCGAATCCTAGGAAAGCAGAAGTGATGTTAGCGACGCTATCGAACAGCCTACAGCCGAATATCCTCAGAGCATGTGACGAATCTTAAGTTCCATATGTCCTTGGCAGGCAGAAGGCGGCTGGGAATCGAGAATTCCTGTTCGAGGGAAGATTCCAGGCCGCGAGACAAGGCCAGTCGTCCACAGTTTCAGAGCGGCATTGTTTACAGTCCAGCCCGATAGGTGATATGTAGGAAACCGTAGGGTCTGCCCCAAGGTACAGATGGAAGAGAAAGGATCGCCAAGCCCATGGAAATATAGTCGTCGAGCACGTACCTCCAGCGGAACCGAAGCTACTGGAAGTGTTCCCAAACAGGCCACCGCCCGATGTGTTACCACCTCCAAAAGCAGGAGATGGTGAAGATCCAAAGCCTAGATGACGTGGGAGATGCTGTCAGAGACTGTACTGAAGCCGCGATCCCTTCTCTTGCAGTGCTGCCGTGCTACTTGACGTCGAAAAGGAAAGTAAAGTGTCGACACGGCGGTGAGGTATCGATAGGTCTGAGGTGAAACTGCCGTGGATTGACGTCCAAAGCACGAGCCAGATTGAATTCCTTTACTGGGTCGATTGGGGAATGCCGAGCCAGTGTTGAGGGAAACCAAGAAAACACCAGAGAGGAGGCAGGAGTACGGAAGGGAAAGAAGCAGGTACGAAGCTTGTCAACAGGTCAAAACCTACCTCCACCAGTAGTTGTGCCTCCACCAAATGCATTGCCGGATCCAAAGCCGGAACTCTGCTGAGTGTTCTGTCCGAATCCTCCGCCGAACATCTTGCAGGTTGAGGTATCGCGACTTATAAGTTCATCCGTTCCGAAACGTTTTCCAACTGAAAGGCCGAGTCCTCGTCCACGTCAAGGTTTAGATGCGAGCTAGGTCCCGGAAATGGCGGTAATACGCTGAAGATGGGTCGATAACGGCGCGTCACGAAGCGTGCGAAGCGACGAGCTCGAAGGTTGGATTGAGAAGCCGAGATCTCGACGCGCCCAGAAGGAAAGGTGGTTTGTGGGGTGGGAAGGACAGCAGGGTAAGAATGTCTCGCCAGCTAGAGACGGGGCGTCACCGTCAAGAGCGGAGATGCAGTTCAGCGTCCTTGAACTGGGAGGCGACGATGAGAAGAAGCCAGAGAGCTGGTCAAAAGAGGAGGAGGGCGCGCGACGGAGAGGAAGTTCGCAGGGAAGGAAAAGAGGTTGCTGCAAAAGGGAAGAGGCGGCGACGGTCAGGCGGTGACTTGCTCGCTTACGTTTCCGGTACAGACTGTTCCGCTGGCAATGCGATGACTTCCAGGCAGAGTCATCCGGTAATTTTGACGGTAAGTACACCTCATTACCAATTGCTCACGTGAACTTTGGCGGCCTGAAACCACCAGCGAAAATGAGCAATATCTGCCTGAGGATTGTGCTCTTCCTTCAACTATTCGTGTTTTCCCCGGATGACGCTGGGCGTTATTTAAGACGAAAGATGTGAGGCTGCAGTGATTTCAAGTTGACAAAGCAGTGTATATGAAAGATAAGGCTGCTCATGCTTGTGTTCCGTGGTGTGTAGTGCCACTCTGAATGACGCATCAGTACATGCGGGATATATTTCATGAGATGTTCTGCTTGTAAGTAAAACAATGTCTTGGGGCTGCTACAACAGGACTTATCGCATTTGACTGTAACCTCAAGTGCCACTTAGACAAGCCACTGTGCAGTCAGGGATTCTCAGACACAACATAATAGGCGGTCAGGTGCTGCATTTGTCTCTATAAGGGCAGGATCCAATGTCGGCCTGTGAACGAATACACGGCTAGAAGAGCACAGCTCTCCATCTTACATACGATAAAGTGACAAACAGATAAGTGGGTAGTTTCGTAATTGAGGACATTATTCAGGTACTACAACTCTGAACAATACAACAATACTATCAGTATACACCCGCCGAACCCGAGAAAAAGTTCTTTCATCATTGGTATATACGTAGAGAAGATTGACAGCTCATCAGAATGCTGCAGTTCTGATCATGATGGGAATCACAAGATAACAAGAAATAAAGAATCAAACTCCACCTTCAGACATTATTAAGCTCAGGAGCACGGATGCAGACCACATCTGTGCTGATGGCAGTGTCACATGTCCTCCCAACTCTCGCTTTCATTAATATCGTTGACTGAAGACAAAACACCTATTTGCCGCGGGAAGCGTGCACCGTGGCAATAATCTTATCAACCACGGAGGGGTCGGAGAGCTGTTTTTGCGTTAGCGCTAGTTGAAGAACGATATGAAGAAGGTGAAACCTACGGTGGAGGTGTCACCAAGGCTGTCCTCCTCGCCGCTTAGGATCTTGCGCAGAATGCGACGCATGATCTTGCCACTGCGAGTCTTGGGAAGATCTTCAACCACGTAGACGGCCTTAGGGGCAGCGAACGGTCCAATAGAGCGGCGAACTTGCATGATCAAGTCCTTGCGAACCTGGTCGGTGGTCTCGTTACCCTCCTTGAGAGCCACGAAGGCATTGACGGCCTGACCGGTCAGCTCGTCGGCAATGCCGACAACGGCAGCTTCAGCCACCATGTCTATGCAGAAGTTAGGATCAAGTCCTCGGGATGGAGGTGTGAATCACTTACGGTGCTCGAGCAAAGCAGCCTCGATCTCAGCAGTAGACAGACGGTGCCCAGAAACATTGACAACATCATCCACACGACCCCGGATCCAATAGTATCCGTCGTGGTCACGGCCAGCACCATCTCCGGTGAACTAAGCATCCACAAGTTAGCCACACTGTTAAGCGATACGAATGAAAATTGATTACTGGAGATACTCACGTAGTAGCCCTTGTAGACATTCAAGTAGGTATCCATGTAGCGCTTGTGAGCACCCCACACGGTCCGGGCCATGCTGGGCCAGGGCTGCTTGAAGGCAAGCACTCCCTCTACATCGTTGCCCGAGATCTCCTCTCCGGAAACAGGGTCGATGATAGCGGGCTCGATGCCGAAGAAGGGGAGTGATGCGCTACCCGGCTTGGTCGGCGTAATGCCACCTAAAGGTGTGATCACGTTCGAGCCGGTTTCGGTTTGCCAGTACGTCTGTCATGATGCCACAGATTAGCCATAAGAATCATTGCACCTTCAATTGACATGCACATACATCACAGATATGGGCTTCCTCCTTGCCGACAACCTCGAAGTACCATTTCCAGACTTCGGCGGCGATGGGCTCACCAACAGATCCCAAAATGCGCAGATGAGCCATCTTGTGGTGAATGTGCTCGTCGCCAGCGCGCTTCAACAGGCGCAGGGCCGTGGGGGCCACGTAGAATTGCGTGACCTTGTGCTTCTCAATGACATCCCAGTAGCGGGAGAAGTTCGGGTAGGCGGGGGTGCTCTCGAAGACCACAGTCGAGCAACCCAGCAGGAGAGGAGCGTATACAACATAGGTGTGGCCGGTGATCCAACCGACATCACCACCGCAGAAGTAACGATCGTCATCATGAATGTCAAAGACGTACTTGCCCGTCATGGCCGCTCCAAGCAGGTAGCCAGCAGTCGTGTGCATGACACCCTTGGGCTTGCCAGTGGAGCCGGAGGTGTAGAGCAGGAAAAGAGGGTCCTCGGAGCTCATGGACTCGGGAGCAAAGTAGTTGGGGTACTTCTCGACCTCCTCGTGCCACCAGACGTCCCGACCCTTGGTCCAGGGAACCTCTGCACCGGTGCGCTTGTAGACGAGAACGCCCGTCACATCGGGGCACTGCTTCAGGGCCTCATCGACGATGCGCTTGGTACCAATGACCTTGCCGCCACGCTTACCCTCATCAGTCGTGATGACAACCTTGGAACTGGCGTCAAGAACACGGTCCCGCAGAGAGTCGGAGGAGAAGCCGGCGAAGACAACGGAGTGAACGGCACCGATACGGGCACAGGCGAGGAAAGCAATGAGAGCCTCGGGAATCATGGGAAGGTAAATGGCAACAGTGTCACCCTTCTTGACGCCCTGCTGCTTCAGGACCCAAGCAACTCGGGAGACTTCACGCAACAATTCGCCATAAGTGATGGTACGGCCCTCACTGGGCTCATCGGCCTCGTAAATAATGGCGACCTTGTTGGGGTTCTTGATGGCATGGCGATCGACGCAGTTGAAGGAAGCATTGAGGCGACCCTCGACGAACCAGGCACTGTCACCGTTCTCTAGGGAACCGGTGTGCACGGTCTGGAAATCTCTCTCGAAGGTGAGGAGCTCGCGGGCCATGCGAGCCCAGAAAGTGTTGGGGCTGCGAATCGACTCTTCGTAGAGCTTCTTGTATTCGTCGAGATCTTTCAAGTGGGGACCGGAGGGGTGCTTCTCGTGGAAAGCTTGGGGAACGTGGAAAGTATCAACATCGTGGGCCTCAAGCACCTGAAGACCCAATGGCAGAATAATTAGCAGATGGAGACCCGGAGATTTCTCGGCCCAAGGCGTGGGCGTGGGGATTTTTTTTTTCTTACCACGGAAGGCTTGGGAGGCGTGATGCTGCCGTCCGCCATGTTTTATGATTGGTTATGTGTGTCCCAACGGAATTTCAACTGGTAATTCGGAGTCGAGGGAAGCTGGGCTCTAAGGAGGGTTGGAAAACGAACAGAGTCAGTTCAGTCTTCCGGCGCAATGCAGAGGAACGGCCCAGGCACGTGAGACGGAGATTGTGCGGGCGACTTACTGATATGCACCAGCACTGGTTGGTGGATGGTGGGGGGAGGGAGGAGGGGAGG